TAGGACGCGGTACCGTTCGTTTCGCGAGAGCTACTACAATTTTCCGTTCCTTTCCCGGCTACTCTCTACGTTTCTTCGTCCTCCCCGCGAGACACGCTATTCTATTCCATGGAAGCTTCGTTACCACGCGACCGACGACGACGACGACGAAATTCTTATCGCGATGGAACCGATATATCGATTGCTCGCATTCCCGCGACAGCATGCCTCGTGATGCCTCGGCACTGAGAGGAATATCTTAAGTAAACGCCACCTCGGATGCTGGTCGCGACGATACGCTTTATTTACTTCGGAAGAGTTGGCTCTTATTTATACGCAAACTTTGCGAGATATTACAATTACCAAAGTATTGCGTCGCGATATGCGTCGCATCACGGTGCGCCGAGATGATTTCTTTCTTCTATCGTATCGACTACGAGTGAAAGTTATTGCGTGTAATTAGTCAACTTGTTGGAATCTTCATCTCTAATCACAGAATCCTGTTCTAGGTGGATAGCGCACTATTTGGATTTTTGTTGAATTAACACGTTTAAAGTCTCTCTCTCTCTCTCGAAACTATAACGTACAATTTCAAATGACACTAAGCAAGTGCAAATACCGTGTTGTAAATGTAAATAATAACTATGGTGTAAATTTGTTTGGCATTATTAGAACGAAACTATCGGAAATCGATTTTGGTTTCATCTAGACATCTGTAAATACAACTAGAATTTTCCACAAGATTAATACAACATCCGCGTTGTGAGTTAAATATGTCGTCTTTTAATTAAGTTGCCGATTTAACCTTTCGAACAAGTGGAGCAGTCGTTGAAACCACATAATCTTTTCTCGATGCACCTAACGCGTGCATTTTAATGATAACTCTTGCGGGGTAAAACGTTTGCAGAATTGATTTAGCTTGTCGTAAGTAATAAACTTGTATAAATCTCTAAAGAGAGAAAGTCAAAAACTCGTGGTATCATTGACGTTTCGAAAGAGATAGGAAAAACTAATGTCGCGTCTTCCCCAGGTTTTTCTTGGAAAACAAAATCATCGGTACGTGCATTTATTGAAAGGGATAACCGCGTGCGGAGCATCTTTATGATAACGAATCAAATTTTATTTTACGACGCACTTGGAATCGGCGGTTAATAAACCTACGAGCCAGTCAACGTTGGGTCATACGAAATTATTGTCATAAAGCGAGATTCAACATTTTTCAGGAGCGATTCTCAATCTACCCATTTGTATGGATATTTCGAAAAAATGGAAACTTTGCTGTATTGAGCGTGGCGGAAATTTGGTGATGACGCAATTTAAAGATTAATACAGGCGGTGAGAGGACGGAGGGAAAAAGAGTCTGTTGAAATGGGCGACGTGACGCCAACGTCACGCCAGCAGTAGCAGCAGCACTCTCGCGGATCACCGTCCGCGAGATTTATTTATAAGCGCGCGATCGAGCACGATTTCTTTTTATCCATTGCATTCCTTCCAAGGCCCCGACGGAGAACGGATCGGGCATCGGGCCGTCGTCATGGCCGTTGATTTCCATCTCTCTCTCTCTCTCTCTCACTCTCGAGTCTCTCTCGTTCAATATGGCACTGCCCGCCGCCGCGCCGCCGCTACCGCCACTACCGCTACTACCACTACCACCACCACCACCGTTACCACCACCACCGCCACCACCACCACCACCACCGTTGCCGACGCCGCCGACGCCGGACGTCTCTCGTTTCGGCGGAATATCGATAGCGTACGTCGACCGAACGACGGGGTACGCTCGAATAACGCTCACGAATTATGAGCTGCCGCTAGCTGCCCTACACTACTACGTCCGTTACGTGATTATCCGAGTTATCCGGAGCATACGTAATATGGCTATTGACTGGCGCGTTCCACGAATGCAAAAGTGCAGCGAACGCGGGACATTCCGTTGTCGCTGCATCGCGCTTTTACCAAATTAGCTCGATTAGTTTTCGAGCTTTCTCGTGGAAAGTGGTAAATGTTATACACAAACCATTTCTCTGTCGTGTGAAATATCGTACGAATCGTTTAACAATTCAAACGATGGCGATAAGCCGGATTTCCCTCTGCGATGGTGAATGGTAAAGAACGTCCTTTGTCAAAGCCTCCAAACTAATGATTTTGTTTCATTTTTCAAACGTCCTCGGCTCAAAAAGTTGTTATTAAGAATACAATGGCGCAAACACGTTTGCAGTGAGAAACATCGTTTACGATTGTACAGCGATCGAAGCTCGTATTGTGGTTTTAGGAGGGTACCCCTATGACTCCATTGCTGTCGCTTTCAAACAGTTGTGACTAAATTGCCATTAACTTTTGGCAAGTGGAATGTTATATCACGTAGAGATAAAAAAAGAACAACATTAAACTTGGCTTTTTCGAAAAACCTTGTCGTTCGGAACATCGTTTGCTATTGTCCTCTTTCGATGGCTCAATATTAAGATGGCACGCGTATGTATACAAGGGAATCTAAATTTAGTCGAGTTCCGAGCTTCGTTTAATTGCCGAAGACCGCGCGACGATGACATAATATCCAGTGCGTGACACGACGCGCTTCTCTCTTGACTTGATGAAACGTGATCGGAAAGCTGCATTTTTTCACGTATTGTTCTTTGCGTAATCAACAGTTTAACAGCTCGATATCATTGTTAAACCTCGCGTCATTACGGCTTGTAGCAGTTACACATATGTGTATACTATATACTACAGCTGTGCGAGTTGTTTTCTAGTGTGGATGAAGAGTAAGTTGTAAAGAGTTGGATTGCTTTCATTTATACCATGTAGTTTATGTAATACACGCTAGGCGTTATGAGAAACGTTTTTAAATCTTTTAGCGATCATTTTTGCCATTTAAATTATCTGTTAAATTTAAATGCAACAGCGTATCATTAAGACGAGTAGGATTAAAGCGGGAGTAACACACAGTGGCGACTAAGAGGAATGCACGCCAAGTCGGCAGGGCGACGACGACAATGCGATAGCCAGATAGCGTATGTAAATAAATGGCAGGGAGAGAGAAAAGTTGGGAGGGTGATAGTCGCGAAGGAAAAGGGTGAGGAGGGGGGGGGGGTTCAGCGCCTGCAAGGCGGACTTGGCGCGTCAGGTTAGGTAACGCGTATCCATGACGGTTTTTCTCTCTTGGAGAAAGTTAGTCTAGGCGCACTTCGACCGTAAAATCGCTTCTCGGCGTACAGCCCCCCCCCCTCTCTCCCTCTGCTTCTTTCTCTCTTAATCTATCGGATCGATAGCTAAACCAAAAAATTGTCCTAGTTGCGTTATTGATACACCTTTGGTATCTCACGCGTGAGAAAGTTGAAGAATTTGAATTAATCGGTGCTTTTACAAATCGCACGCCGTCTCTTGTTAAATATCTTTGTTATAAATAAATGAAAACATTGACACGCGCCCGCATCCGTACAACGTGAATTTTAGAAAATGTTGTCTCTACTCCACTTTCTCTCACTGCCGCTCCATGCGGTACAAGGTTCAATCGAATAATCTTTCCTTCCACAAACGCACACAACGAAGATCGCGCAACAATACTCGGACATTTTCGCGACATACACACCGCTTGACTTTCGATCGCGCTCTCCTCTCTATTAAAACGCGCGAGAGAGACTTGATCTCCGTGAGATCGTTTTTGAAACTTTGCATAAATAGAAATTGTTGTACATACGTAAAGTATATTTCGCTTCGTGTCTCGGGGTTTTGAAGGATAATATTTAGTACTTGTAATTGTTTTCGCTCGCCTTCTCGAAGGGTTATTCGTCGACTCCGACACGAAGGAAGGATTTAGCAACAAGTGTGGCTGAATTGTTTGGACGCATGGATGCGACCAGAGCAACTTGTTCGCGCCTTGGCCATCTTGTAAATGCGCGGGAAGGTACTTGACGCGACATCTTTCGCTAGCATGTCGAATCTTGGCTTTCGGCGATCATTTCCGGGTACGGGGTGACTCAAGCGCGGGGTCATTCCTAGAAACAGTTATGTCCGACTCCACGTGTGACACGGAGCGGAAAAGACGTCGTAAATCGCGAAAGCTTTGAATGAATTGACGATTAAATTTCTAATGCACGTGTCTTTGCTCGTTAGATATATCGCGCTGATGTAAACAGAATCGATCCTCGAGCCAAAGCGTTCTAATCTCGAGACTTTCTTAAGATGCGTGGCGTGTGTGCGATCCATTAAACGAAAAACTTTCTACGAGAAAATAGATGGCCGTGGTACAAAGACGTCGGATTAACAATTTTTCACGGGAAAATGTAGGATTGACCCGAGATTGACAATTAACGAAGATGGAGCGCTCTCCCAAGCGTTGCGCGCACGTTACTCCTCGAAAATGACCGGAAATGACGACACGATCGCGATTCAATTATTTGTACGCTTTCAAGTACTCGTCCGTGGAAACATTTCTTGAAGATTATCTCGCTTCAACGTTTCACCCTGAAGTAACTAAAAGTAAATGGGTGAAAATGCGCGCCAGGAATAATGTTTTCTCGCGAAAATTGAGAAAACACCTAGCCAAATCGGAGATTGAATGTTTGAAGACACGAGGGGGTGAAATTTGCATAATAACGACTGGCCAAGTTTGCGAGCGCGTTAGCGCAATGATTGGCGCGCCATCATCTTTGTCGTCGTCGACGAGGACGATTATAAAGCGCTGCGATAACGGTACGCATATTTCTCCCCTTCCGACACGAAGCGATGGAAAGACGGAAGCATCGCCGTGTAACTGGGTCAGTCGCGGACGACGATGATGATAGGGGAAAAGAAAAAGAGACTTCTCGTCCATCATTGGCGTAGTGTGGAAGTTTACGTACCGCTAACCAGCCTCCTAGAACCGCCTGCCATGCGTGTTTTACCGTCTCCATGTACCGTTAGGGACGTTGGGTGTCTGTCCTTAGGAGGGGGAGGAGCTTTCCATAACAAACGTAAATTGTAACATAATAAACCAATGACACCAAGCGTAATGAGATTTGTGTTTGTTTGGATTGGCGCAGGTTCTAAGATGAGATTGGAGGAGGATCTGGTGATCCGCAGGAGCCGACCCACAATGATCTCCGCCAAGTATCGCGCCCGCGAGGAACGCCGCCGTCTGCTCAAGATATCCGCCGGCAAGCTGAGGAAGATCGAGGATCCTGAGGCGAGCCTTTGCCGATCGGTTCTGATAAATAACGCGGTACGACGGTTGCAGCGTGAAAATCGGGACGAGAAGACACGGAGTTACGGTACACTTCCAGTGGTGGCATCGTACATGGACGACGCCAGCAAGGAAAACAACATCGCCGGCAGCCTGATCGACGTAACGGACGAGGAAACTTGCTCCAAGAAGAGGTACGTATCCAATACAATTTCAGACTCTTTGCCTCGAGACAATAATGAAATGAAACATAATATCTGATGAAACGTAGGTTGGCCGACGATTCGAGAAACGACGGACTCAATTCGAAGCGGCACAGGCACGATGACTTGGACTTGCAGGACGACGTATTCAGCGAGTTCTACATATTGCCGTCGCCACGTTTACTCTCGCACATCGACGAGATTCAGCCAGAATCAGTAGCGTCGCATCACAATGGCAATCACCATCTGGGCTTCCCGGAGGACCGGCTGAGCGGTGGGCTGGCTGATGGGCGATCGAACGGCACAAGTAGCACCTCCGCGACCACTCACGGCAACGGCATCGACAGCGCGACAAGCTGCCATTCCGTGCTCTTCCCCGGCGTCGGAGACCTCGACGACGCGAGTGTGCAACTCTCGAGACCGGGTGCCGACATGATGGAGGTGGCCGACGTAGTCGATCCCGATCGGCTTTGCGACTTTTCCAGATTCGCCGACTCGGCAAAGACGCTCGAGGAACGACTGGCCGAGCTGCAATCCTTGGACGAACATTTCGACCTCACCAAGTTCGAGCGAAACAACAATCAGAGTTGCGGCCGCGCCTTCCATGACATACAGACCTTCCACAGCTTGGTGCCGGGTCTGGAGACTTAGACGGCGATACCGTGTTGCCCTTGTCTCGAGCCAACGGTCTTGCGGAACATTTGCGCCAATGGCGACAGTGATGCCGACTTTGCGGCACGCAGAATCAACGCCTGACGAGGAGTTGAGCGTAAACCCATCGTTCGCCTTATCCTCGTGGCTTATCCACGTGCGCTCGTAGATGGAAACCGCGTGGTCAAACGATGCCGACGTTTCAAATACTCTTAACGATTGCTTACCGTGGGCAAACAGATGGGCCAATTTTTATGGTATCTTGTTATTCGTCTGTTAACATTAGACTCGCGACATCAATTTAATAAAAGCAAAAACAAGTTTTTTAACTAACAACTTTTTAACTACAAAGAGCGACATTTTTTAACGGGACTAAAATAACACATTTTAATGTTGATGAGATTCAAACGTGCATTCGATATATATCTCAATTTTTACTTTGAACATTTAAATTATACGCTTAATTATTATATGGAGAATGTGTATATGTACGATATTTCGGTCATATCGTATACATATGTTGCCTACAAGTCTGACTCATGTTGGTAATGATCCACTTACAGCACTGACTCAATGTTCAACGCATACGAGATACCCAATAATACAGTGAACGTACACTACTTTGTAAATGGCCTTTTTGTTTAGCAGTAATCATATTGTTACTGTTAGTAAGACCGTTTATCATTAGTTGAACAATTTACATACGTAAAAGAATCACGAGGACATTTCCAATTTTAAATATGTTATCGACACATACACGTTGTATACAGGCGAGACCAGCGATTAGAAGAGTTTATCGAGAAAAATTTATTATAAAACAAATTATTAAAATGTCTCAATAGTTAACAAATTATTTTTCTACATTCTTCTATCACATTTGTCTTCTTAATCTTTACTTTGGCAGACATCATTGCTGGCTTTGCTCTTGATATTGCGCTCCATCTATTTATAACCTGTGGTTAGAGTATACTGCCTTTTCTAACAATTTTTTTTTAAGGAATAAAATTAATTCTCTTTCATAAATATTTCAAATTTACTTTTTTATAATATCATTTTGGTAAATTGTTATAAATCTACTAGTTGAAGGAAAAAAAAATATAGTTGTAATATGAATTTGTTGAATTTTTACAACTGTCAATGTCACTGTAAATGGTGAACTTGTCTTGCGTAATCATGAGTCACGTGCCGCCAGGTGTCCTCCGCGTTATTCGCCCAACCTTGCCCGCGGCCTGAATCACTTTGCGTCGAAGCACCTCGCAGTGCCGAAGCATCTTGGAGATATACGTACATACGTGTCTGCATATTGTTCTCCACAACATTCGACACAAACTTTTTCGGCAATCTTCGGCATGACACACGCAAAGCGCGCGCGTATGCACACATTGTTTGTACATACACAGATAGATTTTTAATAACATGTTAAGAATATAGGATGAATTATATCGAGAGAGATAGCATACCGAGGTAGAACTATGAACGCGCGTCGAAAGCAGCTTAGCGTCAATAAAATTTGAAAATATCGTTTCGAATCGTAGTCGAGGTGACTACAATTTGGTCGTTTCTTTGAATTTTTATTCAAAGACGAAACATGAAAGGTTGCGTAATCTCCGAGGTGTATAAAAAATGGCGTTAAACGCACTTTCTTTTCCGCGTTGCGTTCAAAAACACATTGCTCTACAGTGCTTCTCTCGACTAGCCATACAGAAAACTTGCATCTTTGCAATGCAGTTTTCTCTGTGGAAAAATTTGAAATTTAGTATTGTTATCAATATAAATTTCGGCACTCTCAAATGTGAATGACTGTTTTTAAACGGTGGTTCTAATGCGGTGCAATTCGTTCCGGAGCACGTCCTCCGAAGATCGTCTTGTAAGCGCGACGAAAGACAACACGCTCTCACGTAAACGCCACAACGAGCCTCAGCTGTTGTACGTGATTGCAACATTTTCGTTAATGATATTTCTTTATATTCGAAAAGTAGACGCCTTGATAAGCAATAGTTGTACTTGCCTACTGGTGCTTTCCTCTCTCTTTCTTTCTCTTTCTCTCTTTTACGGAAAATCCATCATGTATACATACACAACTAAAGTTAAAGTTGAACGGAATGAAGGAATCACAAAATTTGAGTTTCGCTAATCTATTATAAAATTATGACAAGGTTCAAACATGGGAGGATAATTCCGATTTCCTATTTTCCGCAGATACGATAACGCCAAATTTGTATCCTTTGAGTGTTTTAAAAGTATTTTATCGGGCGCGTATATAAATTTAATTTTCGATGGCTATACACTTGATCGTCATTTATCATTTATAAGGTTCTTTTGCTTCCTGTGAAACGATGCGTTTAGTATCTGGCAAAGGAAAAAGAGAACGCGGCGATCAACGTGGGAGCTCATCGAGAAGTCACTACCGCGATATCACTAGAGAAAACTTTTGTGTTTATCGCTACAAGAATATTTTATTATTTTATTATCAACCGATACGGTGAAGCATTTCTTAAATTTAATTATTGTTAATATCTTCTGGTTCTTAACTCTTAAAAATTGTTTTCCTTTTATCGAAATTGAGTTTTCATTTAGTTTTATATTAAGGAAGCGTCTATATTATTTGTAAACATTGTATAATGTACAGACGGTATATATACGGAGCATTAATGATGTCCAATGCGCCTTGACGTTAAAGAAACCAACATTTTCTCATTTAAATACAACTGCTTGACACAAAAGAAATAACTGGACGATGTTAACGCTCCCGATTATACATACATTGAAGATAGCTGAATCATCATGTCGAGCGGCCAAGTATCGTTACGAGTCCTTCAGGAATTCTTGACGGATTTCTTTTAGTGCAATGTCTTCATTTCGGGTATTTGCCAATCCGTTTTTTCACGATACTTTTACCGGCGATTTTTACGTTTGTTCAATTGCTCTGCTCGTGCCGCACGAATACCTACATTCTAAATAATTTGCGTTACGAAATTATTTAATGCCACGAAACGATAGGTACGTATACCGATGAACACGGTATTGTTGCGTTCTCTGTGCGATATTCTTGTACGCGCGTGCAACGATTGTATCATCTTTTGAAATAACGCACGAAGAAAGACCTACTGATTTATTGGCTGCGTATGCGCGCAGCCACGTTTTGTTGGTCAGTTTCGTTGGTCGGCAAGCACGCAATCCTCTCTGTCTCTAACTTATTTATCCCTCACAAAAGTGCTAAAAGGAATTGGATAATGTTTCGGAATGATTTGTCTCCCATATACATGTCGCTTCTGCCATCGCAAGCAAGTAAAGTCATTTTTTTCCCCGAGAGTTTGTAAAAGAAATTTCTACGTTGTATGTCTTCTTTGGAGATACATATCGATTATGTAGGCAGTATCCGCTATATGAAACCGAAACAAATTTGGCCGTATAACTTTGTAGTCCGCCAATCGATATCGTTATCAGCGATACTATTTTCGACAATTCTGATATTTATGACAATTGAGAAAAGGAAAATATGTTTGAAAAAGCAGGGGAAGCACTATGTGGGTAGAGACAATTCCGTCGCAGAGTCTGAACGCACAGACAGATCCAAACTTCCTTCGAACGCCTGGGCCACGTTTCTGAAAAATGTGTACAATGTGTGTCTAGCGTAACGGGTAAGAATTTACGTGTATAGCTCTCCCGGCACCTACGCTACACACATGGCGAAAAACACGGCTCAATGCGTTTACTTGTAAATAGTCGCCTTAGCACTACTAAGATAATTAGACATGTATAAAGTTTCATACGTTGTTTAGGTTTCTAGTGTCAGTTATATCCGAAATCAGTTACCAATTATATGAACAAATTGCAAATAAACTGCAAAGCAACAATCGCTGTCTCTTTCATTTCTTCCTCGTGCCGCAATATTTCTAATAAAAGAAGAAGAACTAGAAACAATAACAAGATTATACATATATATATATTATACATAGTTTATTTATCATTATATAATTATCATCATGTACATTATGTAAATTGCAATGGCAGTGGTAATGAAATGGGAGGCTGCACACTTTTTGATGGCTTTTGTTCTTTTTATTATTTTTTTATTGAGATTTGCGAATATATATACGTACACGACATATATGTATGTATATAAATACATATATGTATGTATATATACATACACAAAGGATGAAGAACTAATGGTATAATAACTATTACGCTTAAAAACTAAATAAACAAAAGATTAGCATACTAGCGTTAACGTGTTAATTTAAATAACGTAATAGTAACACCGCGCCTGTGTCGCGTGTATTGTGTGTGTGTGTGTGTGTATGTGTATATGTGTGTGTGTGAGCATGGACGCGCGTCAAGATGAGAGCTTGGACACACAGGCAAAGTTACCTGCTTCCTCTCGTCCTTCGTCCTGGTTTTTATCGCAAATCACTCGGTGCGCCTCTCGTGATTCTACTTATAGATCCCAACAATCTCTTTCCGCTTTTCCTTTCTCGATCGATGTCATTTGGAGTAAAACGATTTATCTTGAAAAACGGAAATCGTTTGCTCGCAATTACTTTATCACTTTGACATTCTTGTCGTTCGAGATCGTCTTTATTCATTCGACCCGAGAACAATGACAACTCTCGTCAAGGACCGATATCGAAATATCAAATGACAATGCGATTTAGATCGCTCGCGCGACAGTGACACATATTTACGAATATATAATTGGCTCTTATCACACTCGTAATGTTACAAGAATTCCAACTGTAAACTCACGTAGCAGTAGATAGAAATAATTAAAAGAAGGTCTACGTCCATCGCCGATACGAGACGCAAGTACATACGAGAGAACATCGTAATGATTTTCATCGATTATTAAAAATAACCTCGGTCTTATAGAAAAATACAACGATAGATCTTAATCGCGTTTCCTAGTGATATATCTTAACAATGATAGATCTTAATTATCATAAAATTATACCTTAGCGATCGAATCGATCCTGATCCCAATCCCGACCCCGACCCCGATGAAAGTTGCCGCCGCATACAAATGTGCTCCTTACGTTGGAGAGTGACAGCTTTGAAAAATCTTTTCAAGAATTATTTCGAGAAGGCTTCGATCGCGCAAAGAGCAAAACGATCGAAATACATCGAGGCACATCGTGGTCGCGCAAAAACAGCCTCAAACCCCGTTACAAGTGTTTGTGCGTTTCGTTACATCTACATACATGGCGATCTCCCCGCGAAACATCCTCTCACCGTTGGCTTTAATCCAGAGATACTTTTCCCGTCAATAAACGTATATTATCGAAAAATTTTGTTTACAGTATATTTAACGCATGCCACACGTTTTACAATGCTTTCATCGATTATACCTAACGCAAATACAAATTGTGGAATACTATTTTCGACGAAAGAGCGCGAGGGAAAATTTTGCCATGTATCAGGTACTCGAGCAAAATTAAATGCTTCAAGTTGTTTTCCAAAAAGTTGAAGAAAATAAGCGTTAAATTGAGTCTCAGCCAACCGAAATTAATCCTCGCAATTTCTAAAAAGGATGGGTCGAAGCGTTACTCTCGACTCGACCTCGAACGACTTGGCCTTATTTAATCGAGTTAATTTAGTCGAGTGTGATTCAATTTTCACGGCGGCCGAAACTAGGTGTCCGAATATGGTTTTCGTGCACGAGAGTAGAGAAGCAAATATCGCGGAAAGAGAGGCGCAAGGAGATCACGCACGATTCGACCTTTTCCTTGTAGGTTCTTCCGACGGAACTCGTCCGAGGCAAGAGAGAGAGAGAGACGAACCGCGCGTGTCGTCGCTCGCTATATCTCCGACGTTTAAATACGTCTAATGTCATCTCCTCGAAAGGCCCGACGATCTGCCTAAAAAATGTATTGCTTTTTGTCTCTCCCGACTGCGCGCAATTACATCCGCATGTTTCATCTCTTTACGCACTAATAAAATATCACCTTTCTGAAAAATATTCTCTGTCACGCACACGCAAAGAACCTCGAAACATTTTGCGTGACGCGACATCCTTTTCGTTTTCCATCACATTCGCTTTTGCACTCGCAGTTTTCCTCGAGATCCGCTCTCGTTACCAAGGCCGCCATTTTTTTCTCATTTCACTTTTTTCGTGACGAAAGCACGAAAGTCAGCTGCTACAAGGAACGTGCGTTCGGAGGAAAGATAAGAACGAATATACCGAAAACGTATCGGTTAGCGAATTGTTCGCGACGTTCCTCGTCACCAAAAAAGTGAAATAATCCATCGACGAGTGGATGAAGCTGTTGCTATCGATACATGACGCATCAGCGTCAGTCACTGATTTGAGCAAACTCGTTGTATCTTTGCAATATTTTGCAAATAATTTCTTTCGCAGAAAAAAACTAACCAGAATATAATCAACAATATTACAAATAATGTTATTATAAAATAATTTCACACACGCCTCTAATCCTATCAAGATTTGCATTATATACACACACGCTCGCGCACGCACACGCACACACACGCACACAATTGTTCATCTCACTCATCGTCACCACCTTGAAAAAATCCCCGTCAGTAACCACGTATCTCGCAATGAACAATCAAGATGTAGCATCACCTTCATCCATTCGTATTTTTACAACTTTTCCGCGCAAAGTTAAGATCAATCTCCAACATTCTCGGGACGTTGGTTGACTCTTGGGACACATGATGTCAATTGGGTGAACATGTGAAATTAATTGGATATCGCAATACTTGAGCAATCGTGATCGAGATAGGGAGAGAAACGAAGTTTATTTAACCGTTATCCACGCGTAACCGAGCGAGATTCCTCTTTCAGAGGTTCGAAAATTATTTTTACAAAGAAATTAAGGAGATTTACTAAACGTTTAGCAATGGCCAGTTCTTATCGGATTTCATAAAATTACGACAGGGAACTCTCTCCCTCTCTCTTCTTTTTCCCAACAAGTCCCGCGAGTGATTTTGACACTTTATCTCTTAATGTGGATGTCACAAGTTGAACAATAAATAAATGATGATTATCACTGAACTGATACCCAAGAGCAATCAGTCAGGGCAGCCAAGAGTCAAAATCGTCCATTCGACATGCATTTACAATAATTACATTTCCTGCCGCCAGAAAAATAGAACTCTTAAAACTTAAACTCAGTTCTTGTTCGTTTGCGATTTGCAAATTTTTCTACGCTTGTCCACGCGGCGGACACCGTGCCGTGTGGAGTGTGTGCCTCGAGTATGAAATGCGTGCAAATAGCGAGAGTAAATTCGTATTGGTGAACGCTCTTTTGAACGTTCCTAAGAAATAGGAGTTTTGAATTACCGCGAATACCGCGATTTAAAATTGTCGTCACTATGTTCTTCGACGACGTGCTTTCAAGAATTTCTTCCTGCTAACAATAAATAAATGGAATAGATGAATCGATAAACGATAAAAAGTAAAACAAAAAGTATACGTGCATTGGGAAGTTTCGATATAGCTAGTATTTCTCGAAACTTGATTTAATATAACTGTGAATTTTTCTCGACAAGTATTTCTCTTCGTGTTTCGTTCTTACTTTCGTGAAAAAAATTGTTGATAAAAATTGTTGAGAATAGAGTATGTGCTCGCGTATTTCATTAATGTTTCACGAGACAGTAAGGTAATGCACTATGGTATTTTGAAAGGAACATTATGTATATAAAAATATTAACGCTACAAACACAAGACCCGCTCTTTTTTTGTTTTAAAATAAATACAAATTTACACATATAATATCTTTTAATCTTAATTTAAATCGAAATTATTTATGACAATAATACATCTTAAATATTTATGTGGTTAATTTTATCGGAAAAATTTATCAAACAGACTGAGAGACAATTTTAATAATCAAGCGGACCTATGTAAAATAAAAAAGGAAAGTGAGAATTATTGAATGCAAAATTATTGTGATCTATTTACGACTTTCTCACCAATAACAGAACGAGCTTAATCATTGAAATTTCATTAATCATGAGAATAATGAAAAAATTGAAATAGATAAATAGGTGAATCGATATCAATATTCTATGTCCCAATTGGTTCGTCTCATTGTACAATTATACAATATATATCATATCCACATAAAGATGTGTATTTTTTTGCTTTTTTACACACTCCATCACGGCTATTTGCAATTTCGGAGATATCCTCGCACGATATAACAATACTTATATTCATCATCACTATATTGCCAGTGATTTGCTTTTTTCTTTAGTTCAATATACATATATTCATATATGTATAGGTATATCAAAAATATCCTTAGTAAAATATTTATATATATATGTGTGTGTATATATATATGTATCCATGTGTGTGTATGTGTATGAATGTATATAACATATAGTCACGTATTTTTCTTTATATTATAGTGTATTATGTCTGCCGTTATATGTACTATATTTATAAAGAATTCTTTATTTATAACGTTGTTGTCATATATATATACACATACATACATATATGTATATATATATAGAAAGTTATACATATACTATATGCCTATGGTTTTAATAGTACATTCGCACGCATTTACGCGTTTATTTGTTAAATGTGTTTTACACGCGAGTGTGAATACACGAGTGCACGCGAAGTATGTATGTATGTATGTACGCGTAATTACGCGTAATATTGAATATTTTTCCGATAAAATGGGTATTTTATTACGCGTATTTATACTTGTCTAAGATATATCTACACACACAATTGTTCAATGTTTAAAATAATATCTATATACATTGGATCAAGAGCAATGTTTTCTCGGCAGATACAAGATTCTCTCGCACAGAATTTACAAGGAATTATTTTTACGACTTTATGAAAATTTAACTTTTATGTAAATGTGTATATACGACTGTATCATTACTGTGTCATTACCGAATCGATTAACGAACAAGTGACACCACAGAGTAGTAAAACAATACAAATATATTCAAAAAGAACATATCAGAAACACTTCATACATCTATATCGTACAAAAGGACATAAACTTTTAATTACCAGTAGTTAGAATAATGATAGAACGATTGCCTCGTATTTATTAAACTTGCAAGTAGTTGGACACTAACAATAAGGTAATCCATAATAGCAATGATTATAATTATTGTATATGTTTGATTGGACAATGCAGGCGTGATCCCTCGAGATAAATGTAACTCTGTTCTGTGATCCAGGCGCAAGTAGAAACGCGTCATATTTGGCAAGTATATTGAATGTTCTGATATCTCTATTTAGATAAACGAGTGAATATGACTAAAATGACAATAGAACAATTGCGACAATAGTAATAGACAATCATGAGTGGATTAATCCGTTACTAATAATGATAATAAATATTTCTTATAATATAAAAAATCCAGTAACTATTTGACACGATTATCATCGACAATTTTAAGGCATCGATTCGCTGTTTTACGTGATACAAATGAAAAGATTTTCTGCCGACAGTTTAAAATACAGTGCGAAGAGAATCTCGTATGTGTGTGTAACAGGAAAGTGGAGTGGAGTGGAGTGAAATGGCGTGGCGATGATGCGCGTTGAACGTCGAATGATAGATGTACGCGAAAAGAAACGCGCGAGACGAGAAAATCTTCGCAGTCTCACGCGTAGCATCTCGATCGTCGATTCTTACCGTACGATCGTTCATAATTCTACAAACGAGTTGGGTGCTTCAACTCTATCATAATCGTTTTTTCATTATGAATTGTTTAGAAACTAGAATAATGTACTATCGATCTATATGTACAATGCGTATTAATGATAGTAACGTAATAAATAAGTTTCAATAAGAATGTTAAATCTATGCTCACTTTGCATGTATTTGACATTTCTTAACAGCTTAACACTTCGAATTAAGCGTTACCTCCAAATTAACTGTTATTTAATTATTTACGATCATGTCATTATGCTCCTAAAGATCGAGCAGGCCAATATTATATAATATACATTTGTTCGAGTCATTCTCGCGAACGCTCAAAAAGAGTTTTACGTAGATAAAATATAGTGACTTGCAGCGTGCAAGCACGTATCGCTGGTATGCGCAACCATGTCCAATTCTCTCTTTAGACGCGGCAAGAGGAACGAACTACCGATAACAATCATTCAACCGGACAAGATTCGATACACATTTTCCTTGCACTCTCCCCCCCCCCTCCTCCTTACCACCCGTCTCCCTTTTCAAAAAATATATATATATGTTCGATATGTCGAGCAAGAAAAATCAAGTAGGGGTAAGCGTGAGTTGAGTAAAGTGATCTTTACAATTAAAATCCTTCGCTTGATAAAGGAGTCTATTCATCTATCTAACACACATGTCCTACTACGCTTCTAATTAACTAAATACAAAGAAAGAAAGAAAGAGTAAAAGACGCAAGCTGTATGTTTAAATTAAAATCGACGCATTGCTGTTAAAGTAATAAACTCCTTGTACGTATGTAGGTGTAGGGCATCCGATAAATCGATGGTTAGCTGATACAGCCGGTGGTAAGGAAGTGATCCCTCGTGAGAAGAAATCGAGTTTAACCAGATTTATAGAATTTTCTGATTACGTAAAGATCTTGGAGAAAGAATTTTCAATATGAAAATATCTATTTGATCGTACTTGAAGACAGTTAGGACGCGGCAGCGTCCAACGACGAGGCTTCTGCTTGGGGAACCATCCTCTTGATTATGGTCTCAAACACCTTCTATAATACATTGAACGTTGTGGAAATTTGTAAATTTCAAGTTCCTTCCACTCGTATTGTCACTAGCAAGTTTCAGCCATCGTCGATCTTTCTTCACGAAAGATCACTGCGCATTGTACCAACATTTATTAGAGTCTCGCGGTGTACCGCATTGAGAATCTCTGAATCTCATCAGCATAATTACGTAATTAATGTAACGGTTTCTCGCCCGCCTCCTGTCATTTTAGGCACTTTCCGTGGAAACAGCACTGTTAAACACGCTCTTCGTTAATGCTTTTTATAGTGAAACTTTGGTTGTTAATATATGTATAATATCGTTAGAATGAAAGAGTGTCTCAATTTGCTCAATTTACCCTATTAATCTATCTACAAGTTTATGATCACGATCGATGCAACAGGTATGTATAAATTGCTAGTTTGTCTCGTCTTACTCGTAACATAAAATCAATGTGTATTTGTGAGCGTTCAGGCTCGGTAAGTGCATATCGCGATGCGCTCACATAAGGCAAAAATTGCTCTCAGAGCATTGACCATAATCATCATGATAATCATCTTGCTTACTTCGTTTCGGCGGCAATTTCGAGATTTCATCGATAGCAACGTGTAAAAAAACGTACAAACTTGTACGATCAATCCTTCCATCCTCACCGCATCGCGCGTTTTCTCTCCTTGGAGAGAAAAAGAAACGAAGAACAGAAAAGAGACTGTGCTGCGTACACAACGTGCCTACTTACGTCTCTTATTCTCACTTTTCAACAGATCTCGTGACGGTTTGTGGTATTACCGTCAAAGATTTCGGGATTTTCGGCAAAATCGGAATTGGATTGCTCGTCAACGATGACTTGGTCGTCACCTGGATCGACTTGGGCAAATTGAGGTTGTGGAGGATATTTTGGCTGGTTGTCGGGCTGTTTTCATTCGCGCAAGTAGCGGAGCGCGTAATGTCGCATATCAGTGGCTCAAAGGCACCGCGACTTTGACGATTCAACATCTCTTGCTGCATTCGCAAGTGCCTGTGAAACTGTTGATTGTGGCCGGCAACGGCAATCTGCGTTTTCTGATGTTGCGATCTAAAGCTTCCGCTAGTCGACCCGTTGTTTGTGCCAGCAGTAGGTCTGTCATTTAATTTCTGTCGTTTGAACGGTTGCATGCGCTTCACATCCGACTCGCTCAATTGAAACACCTTGCCGCCGCTGGCATAAACGGAGGACAAACCCTGGCCATCTCTCCGTTTGGCACCACCACTACCGTTTGTCGTGGCAGTCGCGGCGGTAGTGCCGCTGCTATTGCTACTACTATTGCCATTGCCACCGTTACCGTTACCGCTATTGCTATTGCCATTGCCATTGCCACCGTCACCACCGCTGCCGCTAGTAGACGGTAAACTCAATCGTTGTAAACTCGGAGGTGATTTTTTTATAATTGACACCCCCGAGTTGAGTTTGAGCATCCGCGGCGAGTTTACTTTAACCGAATGCGACGTGGAGGCATTGCCGCTGCTAGTCGACGGTCTGGACATCAGACTCGTGCTGGGTAGAGCTAGCCTGTCTTTCTCCAGTACGTAGCCACCGCTCAAACGGCGCGGGTTACTGTACTCCGTCGCGATCGGTTCCATTATAGGCTCATCCATTTTCTCCGGACCCTCGTACGATATCAGCCTATTCTGCACCGACGTAGAGTAGTTGATTGCATTCCGCGATGCGTTTGGCGCCAATATTAGATCGCCCGCTCTGTAATACTTTTCCAGAAGGATCAAATGACGCAGAAAGGAGCTTTGATTACCGTACGGTCGCTGCAACTGCTGCCAGAGATGTTTCGTCTCTCGATCGTACTGGATCATCGTCGCGCACTTCTCCCATCCTTGCGGCGTGACTTCGCGCACGTTCTGAAACTCGATGTTCACGTGAAGATTCATCTCCTCCTCGCCCGGGAAGAGCGTGCGCACGCTTATGGAGGGATTCGCGCCGAGTCTCTGCACCACAGGCGTTATGTCGTTGTTGCTATTGCTGCTATTGTTGTTACCGAGCCTCGATCTCTTTGGCAATCGCGTTAAGGTGACCTCATCCATCCCGAGTGTCATCCCATTCGCCATACCGTCGCACAGAGAGATGGACGTGCCGGGCGAGCACGTATGCATATCGAGCATTTTCCGCTTTTTTAGGTTCTCTATGCCTTCGATATACTGAACGTTCATACTGCCATTTTCGTCGTTGGCCGATTTGGGGACGCGACTCTCGCTATCCATCTCGGAGCAGCACTCAGTTGTATTCTCATTCTTGTTCGGTTCCGGCGTCGACTTCTCCGACGTACCGCTGGTCGTGCGTTCCGGAGACTTGGAGCTTCCACTTTTTGGCTGTAAATTCTTGAGGCTCTTCTTGTTTTTCCGCTCCTTCATCTGACTGGCGTGATGCACCTGTTGTGACGAATCGTCGTCTTCGTCGTCGATCACGTCGATTCCGCAATTATGTAGAACCCTGTATATCGAAAGGTATACTCTTCATCAGTCTTTTTCCCCCCTCCCCCATTTCTTCACTTCAATCAAGCTTCGTTCACCCCACATCATCAATCGCGTGGTTTTCCTCAATTTCTTTTTTCAATGAAACTTACTCAAAAGTGTTTCTTTACTCGCGAAACAATTTGTTGGAACGATAAAAAGATTTGTTCTGTGACTCTAATAAATTTCCCAAGCTAACAAGCTATATTATTATACTCTACGCGACTAACCCAGGGTCAACGATCTTTACGCTCGTTATATCCGAGTAGAAATCACTCGGATCTCGTACACACTCACCGCTTTCGATAACTTTTGCAGTAGCTCCTATGACTCATACTCATATTTTCAATATCCCTGTACTTGAGTTGCAGTTGGGCAAAGTAACGACAAAGCTTGCAGACAAACGTGCCGACTGCTAGTAAGACGGGAATTCCTTGTCGATCGAGTAGGTGATTCAAGTCGTCGATCTCTGCATTAGTCAACGGGTAAGTGTGTTGCCGGGTAAGTCGACGCTTGCAGAGCGCGCACGTCAAGAAGCGGCCGACCTTTCCATAATGATTAACGCAGAATGACATTGTAGTGTGTTGACTCGAGTCCCAGTCTATGTCGACCTGCAATAATATTTCTCGTGTGCATGTACAAACGATACGTAATTTATCACCGCACCAACATCGCTACATACGCAAGCAGTCGAGTTACAAATATTAACCTGATTCTGCAGGCCAGGCCTTATTTTGAACAACCAACGGCGCTTAACGTGATGCCGCGCGGGATCACGACATTCGCGAGCTGAGCACTTTGACATCATCAATTGCCTATGTTGTTTCTGCGGCTTTTGCTGCATGTTTGTTGGACTAGTGTTCGCCTGAAGAAGAAAAGCTTCCGATTAATTTCCAGTCAGAGGCATTACAATTAATTATACAGAACAAACGAACCTTTCTGTCAACATGACGATAGCACGCGTCACACAGACATGAATCTTTCGTGAGATGTCTCTCTATGTGCAAGATCTTTTTGCGCCTTTCGTCAGACTTTATCTGGGCTAGATGCATTGGCGTGTCCAAAGAGCCAAACTTTCCAAAGCAGTAGCAACATACGTCGGCGCATACACGACCAGGATGTATAGAAAAAGAAGACGATTTCTCTGGAATAACAAGCGATTGACGATCCTTGGGGGTAGCTTCTTCGTTATCGTCATCTACGATCAATAAAATTGACGAATCAGATGTTTCGTTGAATGTTGCGCGTCTCTCGATGTAAAATGCCTTTGTCTCCCGACTTATTGGTAAATTTATTATTTGACACACAAATATATTAGTGAGAATGCAAAAGTGTTAGCGGGTAACTTTTAATTTGAAAAGCAAAAACAGCGTAAAAATCTAGCACATGCATTGTTATAAATAATATCAGGCTAGAATAAGTATAGAGAGTTTTTGGAACTAGTGGTCTGTAAAATAAATGTTGCACGATATTCCACATCAGATTGTAGGGAGATAAGCAAAATGTGATCGTTTGTCAGTTAAACCATACACCATATTGAAGATGTGTAGCGCTTATCGCATTTTTTAAATTGTCTCGAGCATGTATGTAGCAAGTAACTTTAAAGATGATGGAGGAAAACGTGAGAACATTAACAATTGTTCTCTCGCGAATATCTGCGAATATCGAAATGTGAATCGTCGCTCGCTATACTGCACTAGTCTAAATGGCCGGCTTAGAATAAAAGAAAGTGTTTGAGATTTTCGGAAAAAGGTAACTAGGGAAAAATAAGTGAGATTATCAATTTAGTTATTCCCGCAACCAGGATTACCGCAAGAATGTCTGTGGTTAGTAGTGAACTTTCGGTTCGCACCAGAGCTGCTATCTCCCAAACCACTGGTTCCAAACTGAAAAAAAAGAAACAAAATATAATTGGATTGGTAAAAAATATATCAAATTATAACTCATTAGCTTACTATTCAACCTTTCTTTTAAATCGTTGAAGCAGCGTTGAAGTAGCGCTGAGAAATGGAAGTTTCTAAATTCATTCCTCACACGTATACACGGAAATAAAGGATAAATCTCCAAAAAAATAATATACTAGGAGCGACTTGTCCCTAAGTCAATAATTAATCGTACGATCGATGTCGCAATTCGACAGATTGAACGAAGAAACAAAAATGATAAAAAAAAACCATGAAAGGAGAAAAATGAGAGAGAGAATGTGGCGAGAAAAATTCGTATGGTAAGCAAATGAGTTACAGTTTCCATCAAGCGAGAGCGAGAATTTCGAATCTCACCTCCTTTTGAATGGTGTAGAATTCGGGTGAATCACCCTCTCCGTCCCCACGTCCCTGCTGCTTGAGAACCATTTTCAACGGAGATCGCGAGCCTCTCTTGTCCTTGTCCTTCTCCTTTTGCGATACTCTGATGATCGTCTTCAAAGTACCCGTGGACGACGACTGTTCCTTCTTCGTCTTTTGCAGATTCTGTCTCTTCGCGGCTTCCTCCAGAGACTCGAGTCCCAATAATCGCAGAATCGATTCCTTCCTCTCCTTGTCTTCAGGCGTTTCCAGGATCTTTGGCGTGCCGCTGTTGGACGATTCGCCGGACGTGGACGTCTCGTCGGAATCCTTGTGCGCGAGCTCTGGCGTCTTGAGGGTGGGGGTCTTACGTTCGTTTTCCAGCATGCCTATATTGTCAGCTGCCTGTTGCGACACGTGATTCTCAGATAGGTTTCGCGAGAGTTGTCGTTTCTCGCTCTTGCCGGTGTTTGTGCCGGCGATCGTTATGTCGTTTTCTGATTTACTGCGCAAATTAGGATCCTTGTCGACCTTGTCCAATCCACCTTGCCCGCCTTGCCCGAAGAATCCACGAAAGCTGTCTGTGCGCTCGACGCCGGCGCTGGCACTGGCGCCGGTATTGGTGCTGGCGCTGCTGTACTTGCTCAAATATGACTGGTTGTTCTCGTTGATTTTAGCAACCTCGTTGTCCAGCAGGGTCTCTTCTTTGTTTTGCTGCTCGGACCTTCGTAGATCTCGCTTGACGCGTTTGGTCTTGGAGCCACTGGACAATTGCGACAATTCCTCTTTACGTTTCTTCATCTCTCTACCGCGCCGGCCACGAGCTTGAGGCTCGAGTTCGCCGGCCAAATCCAATTCGTTGCTGTTGAACGAGTCATTTCCATCTTCCATCTTTTGAGAACTCTCAACGCTAGCGATACCACCCACCGATACCACCTCATCGCCGTCGTTCTGCAGAGCGCAAGTCTTTTGAATCGCATTACCTTCCTCAGTCTTGACGTCTTTTACGTTGTCGGCGCATTCTCGATTACGAGACGCGGTTTGTCTGTTTTCAAGTTTCCTCTGCTTGTCACGAGTTCGTAACACCCTCCTGTTTTCCTCGTTAACGAGAAGCTTCCGCTCGTCAGGACCTTTACCGTCCAAGGATTTATTGCTTTGATCTGCCGTCGGAGCAGCTTCATCGTGTCCTGGCTTCTGCTCCGAAATACTCTCATCCACGTTTGACGTAACGCTAGATTTGTTCAATTCCTTACAATTGTTATCGTGATCGTGGTCAAGCTTGTTGCTCTCATCGTTCATAGAGAGTCGATCGGGGATGCAATGTACAGATGGTGAAGTGACAGAGTTACGTTCGCTATTCGAGTCACAATTCGGAGCAGTTGGTACATGTAGCAAGTTATTGTTAACTTTGGAACGCCTCGCGGTCTGCGCCATCTTACAAGACGCCTCGCCCTCTCGTAACGTCTCGAGTACATCGGTAGACTTGTCGTCTACGTGAGCCTTGCTCGATGTCTCGTTCGCATCATCGACAGCCGGTTCCGATAACATGGAATCGTCATTTATATCTTGAATTTCCCGTTTCTTATCCAATATCTTTGTCTCGGTAAACACATCTTTACTTTGCGTCGTGTCAGTTGTCGCAGTATTTGGTAATGGCTGGACAAACTGGTCCTCCGCTACTAATCTTTCCACCTCGCGAGATATACTCTCCAGCGTTTCCGACTCTTCCGAATTATCCGTGAGGTTGAAGAAGATTTCAGTCTCCGATTCCGTTGTTCCTCTCGTTTGTACAAGTCCTTCCGCGAGTCTCTCCTCCGCTCGTTCAGGAGACGTCGCGCAGGATGCAGCCGCAGTATTGGAAACGTCCGAGAGCTGATTCTCCGAAACTGTTGATTCGCTCGTAGATTTTTCTACATCCGCCGAAAGATCCTCCACGTTGTCCGACCTTGAGACCGCTTTACTCGGCGTTCTATTCGACTTCCTCGCTGTTTCGCCGTTACTGACACTGTCTGAAGTTTTATCATTGATTCTCGAAGACTTTCTCGTAATCTTCTTCTCGTCCAATGTCTTTGACTCGTTACCACTGACGTTGACTAAGGCGCCGCTAGCTGTGCTACAACCAACGTTTTCCTCCTCCGGTTCAGCCATATTCTTGTAAGATTGTTGCGTGGCGTCGTCGTCGTTGTTATTATTATTATTATTATTTATATTACACGTAGATTCGCTAGTACTATGTACATGATTAATTCTGTCGTCATCAGAGGCCTTGTTCTCCTGGACGTTCTGCGAATGTGTCTCTGCTTCTCCGATATCAAACTTGACTAGTTTCTCTTCAATCTCTTTGGCAGTATCGGCCACTTTTGGTACTGAATTTTCGGTATTGTCTGACGTGATTTCATTTTCCGTAACGGTGGACTTGTCCTCGTCGGTATTGTCTTCCAGTCCCATCTTTTGAGACTCGGTACTGAGCGGCGCGACAATTTCCTCGATCTTGGGCACGTCAAAGTTCTTAGTTAATCCAAGGGCTAAAGATCCTGTCATCCTGTCCTCGATGGACCTTACGATATTCAACTTTATGCTCTCAATCATTTGATCGATATTAGACTTTGAGTTGCCGTTCGATTTGTCGGTGTAGTAGGAATTGGCCGTTTTCTTGGTGTCTGCGTTCAAACTACTTCTACGACCTTTAGATTTGTCCGCGAACTTGGTTAGAACGTTGTCTTTCTTCACTTGCTCCAAGATGTTGTGCTTCCTCGAGTCTTCTTGCGCTTCCGCGCATCTAGGTGCTATTCGCGTGCCGTCTTCAGCTTTAACATCGTCGTCTCTGGTCGTCTCGCACTCGGTGGTCTTGGCCTTAGTTTTCGAACGCAGTATCGGCCCGGTCTCGCCTGTCCTGTCCGCGCGATTATTGTTATCGCCGTTATTGTTGGTCTCCATTTCCGATCCGGTCTCAACGTCCTCGTCGAAATTAGACGGAGCTCCATCCTTGGAGCGAGCCTCCTCCTTGCCCGCTGCCCCAACACCTTGAGATTCATTGCAGCCAGGGTCCGAGAAGCAAGAGTCCATATTTATATTGCAATCCGAGTTATGTTCTATCGAATGATCCGAGATAACAGTCCCGTCTGAATTTAGCCTGTGCCGCTTCTTCGAATCGTTGTTATCCGCGGCATTTCCCAGATCCGACAATTGACGCTGCTTTCCATTACGCAAACTTCTTTGGGGCGTTTGGTCGACCTGGCCGACTTTCGATCTCTTTCTCAACTGAATGGCGTTCTGAAAGTGATCGGTCTCCACAGACTCACCGTCCGACGTGACTTTGGTGTCGTCGACGTCGGGCTCCTTCTTAATCTCGATGTCGCAGGCGATACTTTCCTCGACCAACATCTTCTTGCTTCTCGTCAGCTTACCCTCGACCTCGGAGTCGCTCAACATCGAAGCAATCACCTCGTCTATAGTGAGGTCAATGGAATTCTTGTTATCTAAAGCCGCCTTTGGGAATTTCTCAACGCCAGTATTGCTTCTCGCGGCACCACTCGTACTCGCGCAATCAAGTTCCTTGCCAGTGCTCTTGCGCTGCTTCCCAGCAGCCTTGCTGTCAGCCTCGGTAACTTTAACCAGGCCGGTGCTATTCTTCTTCAAGTTTGTTAACTTTACCGTTTTGGCACTCTTGGACAAAGAATCAGCACTCTCCGTCGTTTTTCCTTTCCTGCCAAGTTTCGGGCTGACTTTGGTCTCCTCCTTAATCTGAACGTCAGATTTGGTCTTTTTGGTCCTGAGATTACTCTTGGCACTTTTGCTCGGTGTTTCGCTCGCTCTGCCCGCGCTGTCCCCGTTGTTGGCCTGATTCTCCGCAAGTCTCGGAGCGATCTCGACCACCCTGACGGTCGACGGTTCCGACTCGGACTGCCTTCGGACTTTCTTCGCACTCTTGGCACCCTTCTTAACGTCAGGAGCTACCCTGTGTATCACTTTGTTGCTCACCTTCTTGGTAAGCTTGGACTTGATTACCTTGGCCGCTCTTAGATTCTGCTTGCGTTTCAGATTTTTAAGGGCATTCCTACGCGGCAAGCTCGCTTCTAGCTTACCAGGGAGTTGGCTACCTGTCGCTACCGTATCAAAAATTTCTTGTGCAAGTTGCTGCTGCTTTATATTCGGCAATGACTTGCCTTTCTTACTCTTGACCTCATTGGATGGCAAGACGGGATCGTTACTCGCCTTCTGTTTCGATTTCGAAGGCGCTAAGGGTTTCTTTTCCCTGGATGCCATCTCACTTCCACCCACATTGGGCTCCTGCAACGTTATTTATACTCTCTCAGCTAAGTCTAAGACATTTGTCAAACATTACAACCGTTATTCGCGATCGCTCGATTATCACGTAGGCTACTACCTCGGATTCGGAGCAACAATTTGGACAATTTTCAGAGAGAGAGAGAGAGAAAAAGACTCGACATGTAACATTTGTAAATATTTGTGAAAAGACTAGGATATCCAAGTAAAATGGCGAGTCAAAATCCAAGTTTTGCAACGGCAAGGAGTCTTGTAGCGCGCGCGTGCGCGCGCGCGCAAACGCGATACCATTTCGCGGTGCGCGAGATCGTGCTTTGCGAAACGCACGATTTGGCGAGGCACGAACGCGGGAGAGCGCATCTCTCGTCGCGGATATCGCTAACGGGGCGCGAGAAAGGCCGTCGCCGTCGCCGTCGCCGCTGCCGCCGCCGTTGCCACCGCCGCGCGGCGTCGCGGCGTCGCGGCGTCGCGGCGTCGAGTCGCGAGTACTCGCTCGGCGAACGCAGGTCGCAGACAGAGGGTTGAGATGCGGCCCTGGGCGGGCAGAAAAATTACGTGACAAACTTTGCGCGAACACACGGATGCACGGAGCGCCTCCGGCCTCGCTACGCTCGCCACTCGGCCGCTGAAATATTTCGCGCGATATCTCGGCTCGCGCCCGGCCGATCCCGACGATTCCGCGCTCGCGAGAAAGCGCGCGTCACAGGCTAACTGTCGAGCCGCGAAATCGGCTCGGCACTCGGCGGGAAGGCCGCGAAATCGTCGCGACAAGTCGTCGCGAAAAAATCGCCACGAATAAACAAAAGGTCGGCGCTCGACTCGGACCTTGGGGATCGCGACGCGACGCGGCGGGCCCGAGGTGGCGGTCGCTCGCCGGCCCTCTCGCGACCCGAGCGACGGCACTTACCTTGGGGATCGAAAATCCTCCCGTAGGTCCGTGATGATTGCGAGAGAACGCGACCGACAATCCCCGTGGAAAGGACAGTCCCGTTGCAGGGTGTCTATGCGCCGTCCCACTGTTTCCCGGTTACCGCCACCTGACGGCCGTGGCGCAAGGCTTCTCCCAGGAGCATAGTCCGTTCGTGATAACAAGGCGCCGCTGCCGCTGCCGCCAAGCAACGCTTTACTCGCTCGTGGATCGGCGGATCGCACTCCGCGCGTGCTCACGTCTCTCGCCTTTCGCCGCCCGCTCGAGATACCGAGCCGATGCGAGTTTCCCAACGGAAAAACCCGCGCGTTGTTGCCGGCGGGCGTCGCGACGCCGGCTACCTACCTACCGGGCCACTAACTACGTTCGCACCTCACCTCACCTCACCTCACCTTACTTCACTTCACCTCACTTCACTTCGCTTCACCTCGCCCTCGCCTCGCCCCGCCTCGCCCTGCCTCGCCTCGTCTCGTCTCGCCTCGCCTCACCTCACCTCACCCAGCTCTACTTTATCGCGGCCGCGTCGCTTGCTCGCCTACAAACGCTACCACACGCTACGGTACGTGCACGCTAACTGACCTCGCGTTACAGCGCGAATTTTAGCGCAGCACGTAGCACACAGCAGAGCGCACAGCCACGTTTACCCACCTATCGGAAGCGGCCTTGTCGTCGTCGTCGTCGTCGTCGTCGTCGACGACGGCGGCGGGCGCAGGCGGGCGTCCGGGCGGCAGCGCCGATGCTTGGATACTCGAGCGAGAGAAACGAATGTCACGACAGCGGCGCGAGTTGGCACGCGGTTGCCCGCGATACGAGACCCGCGCTCACAGAGTTCCAGACTCGGCCGCGGTGACGAGAGAGCACGAAAGGGAGGACGCGCCCGTCGTACGGTGCGCATCAATGGCGGCCGCCGACCCTTATTTACCAAAGTCCTCAAAATGGCCGCCCTTCGGATCCTCGCACGTGGTAGCCACGCGTCGTTGACGACCTCGCGAGTCGCACCCCTAGTGCCCCAGGTACGTGCCAGTGTTCTCCGAGAGTCGAGTCGTCCCACGGTCTCTCGACGTTGATCGAGTGACATCGTCTAGTTGCCCGAGAGCAACTCTCCACGGACACTAATCGTACCGACACAACGTGTCGTTACTCAATACCGAATGTAATCATCCTTTATGCGACTCCTTGCAGATTCAACACAGATGGGGTAGTTACAAATCAGCCCCCAAATATACAAAGCCTGAAAATTATACCGATTACGAGGTAACCAACGATCCAAACCAATGGAAATACGTAGAGCGTCTACTCCGATATAAACTCGTACCTAAACCACCTACTGGAGATATCGAGCTCCCGTCAGGTTATAAACCAGCATCCGGTAAATTATTCAATTATGCGTCTCAACTTTTGCCTTTCATAATAAATACATGTATTTTCATTTTGCAGCTTCACCTACGGATTGCTCTTATTTCATCGAACGTACCAGAAATTACATGCAGCCTGTGTATTTGCTTAGAAATCCCAGAGGGACTAAAAAAGTTACAAGAATCAGTAAAATTCAAGGAGATATATGGGCACTGGAACGCGACATGAAACAATATGTAGAGAAATGTATGGGGAAAAAAATGGCTAGTCAGATACATGAATTTTCAGGTGTGATTAAATTTAAAGGTGACGTTGTTAGTCGCGTTAAAGAATGGCTGGACATGAAAGGCTTCTAAGAATCATTATTTCTCTAAGAAATTATACATTGTAAATAAACATTGAATCTGTGTTACGAAACACGTTGTTGTGTATTTTATACATTTTCTCGCAAGATCTTGCGTTATAATTTTCCGGCTAGTGAAATGATGGAGCGCGTCTTAGGACTCTAACAGTATCCAATTTATTTTTGTGAAAATACATATTTTTCTCAATCTCGGACAAATTATCTTTTTAAAATGTTAAATACATGCATGTTACATGTAACGATTCTTACTTAATTCAGGATGGAAAGTATCGTACATGGATATAATATCTCTTGTGGGAATGCCAAATCTAGTAGTCTCATTGTAGTAGACATATATACATATATATACACACGCGTGTAACGGTTCTTCTTGAATGAAATTGTTACGTTTTTCACAAGTTTCATCACGTTTAATAACGTAAAACGCAAAATATTAGTTTCCTAATAGAGATTCGTCATTTGTAGTTGGAATCAACAGCTCGTACTGACCGATAAAGAATAACAATCGGGATTGCAAATAAAAAGTAAGAAACAAAATGATGAATATGTGACGATAAACAGTTAGTAAAAAGTAAAATTTTGCGCGTATAAATTCTAAATATACGTATAGTACGCGTGTGTATGTACACGTACGATAAAATGTTACGTTTTAGAAATAAAAAATATACATTATAAAAGCACTGTAGATAACATCTGTGTATATACAAAAGATTTCATATCGAGTAAAAATTGAAAGAAAGGAACATGTTATTTAGACGAAAGAGATCTTTGGGGCTGCTAATTTTTATCCTCTTAAATACAGGGTTTTTCAAGTATGTAAACTTTTCCATTCTTTATCGTTTCTTTACATTTATTTCATTCGAATAGGATCTTCCACTGTCATCTCATCTGACGCAAGGTTTACTTGAAAACCTTTCCTTGATTGAATTTGCGCCCGTCTTTGTCCGTGCCGGTCCAACTAAGATATTGCTTGACCAACTCCTTTGTTTCTTGCTTAGATGAATCAAGTTTTGTCCAATTGTAAGATTCGTAATCCACTTGCCAATCTGGACTCAGCTGAAAGGAAAGAAATGTACATTTACTTTTTTTATTCACAAATATTCTTAACATTTCCTTTCTTTTTCCGTTTAAACTGTGCTCGAGCGAAACGTACTGTAAAAACAAGATCTTGTCCCCGCCAGACCCAGATACCACTGATCGTATTGTTGTTATCTTCCCCAAATATACAGGCACTGGCAAACGCACCTTTTCTCAGCGAATCTAATCGTTGGTACATACCACTGATCAAATTGCAAGACATGAAAACCTAGAGAAACACAAGAAGCGTGTAAGTTAATAATGAAATGTACAATGCTAGTAAATTTGTCAAAACAAATATACCTTTGTTAGTTCATTATTGTACTTGTATTCGCTGAGCCAAATACTATAATTTTCCGGGTCAAACTTCTGCCAGAAATAAGGAATTGATTTAGATTCTTCTTCATTGGAGTAAAATCGCTTAAAATCGTCAAGGTCGAAGGAGCTTTTAGGCATCGAAGCAAAGGGATTCTTCTTTTTCGGCTCGGCAGCTAATGCCTCTTCCGTTGCGTCGGTTTCATCTTCTACCGCTGGGGTTTTCTCTGCTACAACTTTCGATTCTTTCTTCGATTCCTTGGGTTCTTTTGGCTCCTTCGCTTCCTTCTTAGACTCTTTCTCTTTCTTTTCTTTTTTCGAACTCTACGCAAGATCACAATAATTGACAACATATTAATCTTTCTTGTAGCATAATTGTACTTTTGTGTACTTTTGTTTTTAATCAATATATTAACCTTCCCCTGAGTTTCTGCAAATTTCTTAGGATCATACTCAATTGTTTTATCCGCCAATTTAAAGGCACCAATTACAGCAATGGATTCAGGTTGGTAGATGACCGTTTGGAACCATCGATTTACATTCTGGTAAGGCTTACGTAGCTCCGGTTCGAGAATGTATTGATACAAATGCAGCAATGTCATCGCTACGCAGATATCTGCCAGAGTCAGTCGTTCTCCCACTAAGTAAGTCCGCGTAAGTAAATGAGAGTTTAAAACACCGAGTGCTTTATTTATGTCCTCCTTAGCATGCTCCACAGTCTAAAAGGAACCGTACGAATTCAATCAACTAACATTACGTGTCAGCATCTTTGCGTACGTCAGCGCGCAATTGGTATAATGTGTATGCAGTATTATTCAAGTACATGCTACGTGCGTGCATGTGCATGTGCATGTAAATGTAAAATACGCATACAAGTTTAATCTACCTCTCAGAGTTACAAAGAATGGCTACGTAATTGCGCCAGTTTGCCTTTGAAGGAGGATATACGTATGTACGCGACAATAATACGACTAATATAGAAAAACTTTACTGCAATACCTGTTTATGATACGGCATTATTCCAAGTAAAGGAAACACCCAAGCACAACTGGCAGGAAGAATTTCAGAATCGGCAAAGCCTAGCCATTGGTTAACCAACGCGCGTTCAATGTCAGTTTTCCCTCTCAATTGTTCGTTAGCCACTACAAGTATAGCACGTATGTGTTTAAATAAACAGATAACAGAATACATAATTGTAATCTTTTCTCAGGAAAATCTCACCGTAATAAGCAATTGCATTGCTTTCCGTGATATATTTTCCGTCGCATGTTTCAAACGCTGGAACCTTAAATATGTTTTCTATTATTACATTATAAATAGCAACCAAAAAAATAGGAGAAAAAGTCGTTGGAGCGCTCGTACTCCACGTTACTAAGATAAATTGTATATTACAGTGTATAAAAATATCAATCAGTCAGTCTTGTAACCATACCATATGAATCGTTATATCTTTACATACATGTAATATTGTAAACATGAAAATGCTAGAAACATAAAAGAGGGACGTTGTCCGAATGGTATTTTATACGATAGTTGGTTACAAGTGAAAAGGTCGTCATATGTGACAAGAGGATAAGGGAAAATAAGAGGGGAAAAAAATAGCTGAGCAAGTCGAATGATTTTGCTTACCTTTCCCAAGGGAAACTTGTTGAGAAACGCTTCGCTCTTGTTGGTCTCGCCGAAAACAAAGTCTTGGGCAAGTTTGATCTGGGTGCCAGAGAACTGAGCCGCTATCAGAGCCTTGTAGGCTCGGAAATTTTCCGGGTACGTGTAAAGGATCTGAAAGAAATTCACAATGCAACGGATGAGAGATTGGGCGAGCTTCGTTTTCAGACAGTTCGACGTCGGCGTTGGCATGCCACGGCGCGGATGTCGACCGGTGAAAAGCAGCGTGAAAGCTACTTACTCCAGACGCCATTGTGTCAAGTCACGAGAAGAGGAAGTGCGAGGAAATAGAAGGCCGGTAAAGATCGCCCTACTTGAACAAACGCGCATCGTGAAGTACGTCGCGAGTGGCAAAGTGCGAGAGCGATATACCTGCCGCTGGTTGCGCCCTCGCGCCTGAAGTTAGGCATTATCACTCCGAATGCCTCACATGTGCCTCTAGATATTCGTATATCGTGACTTTGGATTAATCGACATTCATACGTCAATGCTAGAAACTAGAAGACTCAACTCCTGCTTAAATCAGTGGTGAGGGTAAAGTCCGTATCAGACTACGGATTGAGATTGGGATTAGATTGAAATTTGACCAATCAGAGTAAAAGTTACTGAACTTAAGATTAGTAAACTTTACTGTGATTGGTTAAATTTCAATCTAATCCCAATCCCAATCCGTAGTCTGATACGGGCTTTAGAGTCCCTATAGTAAGAGTCTGGCAAGAATATTCTGTTTGATTGGTTTGACGCAAAATGGCGGAACCAATAAGGTGTCTCGAATCTGTACTCTAAACGCGGGATTATTATTATTATTATTATTTGGTTACCTTTGGTCTGTTCGTTATCGCTGCATTACTGCACTAGTGCAATTAACTAACTGCACTAGTGCAGTAATGCAGCGATAACGAACAGACCAGACGCCATTTTGCGTCAACCCTTGCCAGACTCTTACTACAGGGACTCTAGTGAGGGTAGACTAAAAATGTGATAAATTCTTGGAAATTTAGATAGTGCCACCTCTTTGCCGACCATGTTCTCCTGATACTTTGCCGGTTTCGAGATTCTGGATTTTCGCGATTTGAAGTTTGCAATTCTCGGAATTCCAATTCTTGAAAATGGTGAAAAATTCTTGGAAATTTAGATAGTGCCACCTCTTTGTCGATCATGTTCTCCTGATACTTTGCCAATTTTCGAGATTCTCGATTTTCGCGATTTAAAGTGTGAAATTGTCGGAAGTCTAATTCTTGGAAATATACAGGGTGTCTCATTTTTAATGATCCACGCAAATATCATCAAAAATATGAAAGATACGGAAAATGTTTGAAACAAAAGTTGTTTGGTTCGAAGGGGGACAATAGGTGGTGCCATTGGCTTGACCTTGAATAGTTATTTGAAGGTCACTTTCAGTTTTTTAAATGGAACCCCCTAGTGTTTATTATTTGGACGCTTCCAAGTCCAGCACGCGTAGTTGACGAATTGGCCGTTCGACCATATTTTAACCTACCTTCACCATTAAGTTGAGTCTCCTGGTCTTGTTGATCGACATCAGAGAGAAGCCTGAGAGATGTCACGGCCCCGTTTTTCGTGATTGGCTAGAGATCCTCAAGTAAGAGATGCGCAATCTTCGGTCGTTTGCAAGAATATGGCGGCCTGCGCGCCAACGCGCCTGCGCGGCAACAAGCCTACGCGTCAACGCGCCTGCGCGGCAACAAGCTGCGCGCCACCGAGCCTGCGCGCTAACAAACCGCGCACTAGCGAGCCGCCATATTCTTGCAAAGTCGGCCAGAACCAATCCCGTTGCGTTCAAGGTTTGCGCATCTCTTACTTGAGGATCTCTAGATTGGCGAATGCAATACGCCCTCTGTGGACATTGAAAACGTGGACATTGAACTACGTAGCCAATGTCCACATTTTGCTAAGTGGGTAACGCAGATTTGCACAATTTTAGCCCCGTCCCGCGCTATGGTTAGATCCCATGCAATGATCTTGTACTTAAAATAATCTTAAGTACAAGAGCATCGCACAGGACCTGACTATAGCACGAAACGCAACCAAAATTTTGCAAATCTGCGTTACTTATTTGGCAAAATGTGGACATTGGCTACGTAGTTCAATGTCCACGTTTTCAATATCCACAGAGGGCGTATCGCATTCGCCAATCACGAAAAACGGGGCCGTGACATCTCTCAGGCTTCTCTCTGCCTGCGTTCGTTTTCTCCCACCGGGAGCATAAACTATACTGAAAGTCTATAATTTACGTAACGTAAACTATAGAGTTTCAGCATAGTTTATGCTCCCAGTGGGAGAAAACGAACGCAAGCTCTGTCGACATGAAGTAAAGAGAAGTGACCAATCACGGTTTTGACACTTGATCGGCTGATATAACTTTTAACTTGATGCGATGTCTTTATAAATGTAATATATAGGATTCCACATAGTGGCGCATGGTTGAATATCTTGTAAAATATTCAACGTCTATTCTCTTTTCCAGAAGCTGGAAAATTAATATCTTTTAATTTTCGATACGGGTAGAGCTGGTGGAACATTGAAGTTTGAACTTGTCCCGTCGTATCTCATGTGTTTGGATGTTTCATGGCGAGATAAAAAATGGCAGCCCTCGAAGATGTTGTTGCCTCGTATCAGAATTTAAAACGCGAATGGACAAAAACACCGTGTAATTTGAAGAAATGTGGCGAATTACTCAACCAATTGAAGGTAATTTACATTTACTTAATTCGCGATTATTATCTCGCGAGATAGCGGTAGAAATGTCATTGTAACCTCATTGCTGGAAATGGATTGTCATCGTTTGCTCTTCCCCTTGACATTTCAGCTTTTAGATATGTGTTGATAGTACAATGGTGTAGCTAATTAACAATTATCATACACAGATTGGCCTGACACACCTCATGTTCCTCCCGACGTCGAATAGCACGGCCAGTCAAAATGAATTATTAATCGCACGTATGTACCGCTAATTTCCAAGTGATCGAGGGTGAGAACGCCAATTGAGATTGTAATTGAAATTGTCCTTTGCTCCAACTGCAGGAGACATATTGGAGATTGGAGCGCAATGGAGCATCGCCACAGAGGATATACCTTCGTTCGAGAGATACATGGCGCAACTAAAGTGTTATTATTTCGATTACAAGTCCGGTTTGATGGAGTCGGCATACAAATATCAGCTTCTCGGTCTCAATCTGTTGTTTCTGCTGTCGCAAAATCGCGTCGCTGAATTTCACACGGAGCTGGAACTCCTGCCGTCCGATCAGATACAATCCAACGTCTATATAAGGCATCCTCTAAGCTTGGAGCAGTATCTGATGGAGGGTTCGTACAACAAGATTTTCCTGGCCAAGGGTAACGTGCCCGCCGCGTCCTACAATTTCTTCATAGACATTTTGTTAAATACCGTTCGCGACGAGATTGGCGCGTGCATGGAGAGCGCCTACGACAAGATCTCCATTCAGGATGCTGCGAGGATGCTGAATTTAAGCACGGAGAAGGACATAAAAGCGTTTGCCACCAAGAAGAGCTGGAATCTCTCCAAGGATGGCTATTTTTATTTCACCACGACTAGCGAGAAGAAGTCCGAAGAGCCTATCCCGAGTTCGGAATTGGCAGCGCTCGCGATAGACTATGCCCGAGAGCTGGAAATGATTGTCTAACGCTTCATTCTCTCGACTCTTTGTATCTCACTTGTCTAAATAAATACAGTCTCGCTCCTGCGCAATGTACAACAACGGAGCCTCTTGCACACAAACGCATTCGAGTGTCATTACCCTCGTAGGTTATGTTACGTTATGTGTCGCGTACACGTAGATAAGTCTCTCTCTCAATATATCGTTGTAGATAATTTCCTCATTAAAACATTTCTAAAGATATTACTTTGTCATCCAATATCCAACATCCTCGTCGAATCAAGGGCAGATATTGACGAGTGTACCCGAGTGTACCTGATGGTACTGCGGTTAGAGCACCTCTAACCAAGTGGAAAGTTATCCGCGATAGAAATTTGTGAGAGACAACTGCGCGAGACCGTCAGGTCAAAAAGAAAGAAAGGGACAGGATACAGATTTATGCTACAGGTTCACATTTACCCGCATCAATAATGTAATCTCGCGAGAGTTGTTCTTATCGCAAACACGAATATGTCCGCGAACACGTAGCACTTGCCTTTATCGAGCGCATCTTACGTGGCACCGACATTATCCGAGATATATCCAATTACCTAGGGGTGTCTTTCTTAACAAAACGCTACTGTTGACGTAAGTAGTAAGCGCAATTTAGTAGTGATAATTATATCACTAACTAAATGAGGTGTGTTTGAGTGTGAAATACAACAAGTATAAGTAAATTGAGTGAAATGGGTCGTTAATTGAATTCCTTGGAAAACAGAGGACACGTCTGTTCTCATTACGTTTGCAGAATTGATTGGGATGCACGAGAAAAGGAAAAAGTTACAAACTATGCGTGCTTTAATACTTGTCGGTGGTTATGGGACCAGACTGCGACCTCTGACTTTAAGTCGGCCTAAGCCACTTGTCGAGTTTGCAAATAAACCAATGCTTCTACATCAAATCGAAGCACTGGTACGTCATGAAATACTTGACAAACGTTTCTTATCTTCCCCCAAGGATACTTATCGAGCTTTTTCAGGTACAGACAAATGTAACTGAAGTTATATTGGCTGTTTCCTATCGGGCGCAACAGATGGAAGAAGAGTTGGTTCACGAGACGAAGAAACTGGGCGTACGGCTTATCTTCTCTCACGAACCGGAACCATTGGGTACCGCCGGGCCACTCGCGCTCGCGCGCCAATATTTATGTGCCAGTGACGATCCATTTTTTGTCTTGAACTCTGATATCATTTGCGACTTTCCTTTTAAACAGCTCCTCGAGTTCCATGAGAATCATGGGAAAGAGGGAACTATAGTCGTCACGAAAGTAGAGGAGCCGTCAAAGTATGGTGTAGTTGTATATGGAGAAGATGGAAAGATTGAAAGCTTTGTTGAAAAGCCACAAGAGTTTATATCGAATAAAATTAACGCAGGAATGTACATCCTTAATCCAAGCGTATTAGACCGAATAGAATTGAAGCCTACGAGCATCGAGAAAGAAGTCTTCCCGAGTATGGCTCAGGATGGAGAATTATACGCCATGGAATTGCCAGGCTTCTGGATGGATGTGGGACAGCCTAAAGACTTTCTCACAGGTACCTCCTCGCAGTACGCATTGCAGCTTTCTCCAAGTTATTTGCTTATTCTACCGTGCACTCAGTGTCCATAACTTTATTATCAGGAATGTCTATGTATCTTGCCTCGTTGAGGCAAAAGCATCCTGAACAGCTTCATTCCGGGCCTGGTATAGTAGGCAATGTCTTGATAGATCCAACGGCTACGATCGGCAAGGATTGTAGAATCGGACCCAACGTCACGATTGGTCCTGGCGCCACTCTAGCTGATGGATGCTGCATTAAACGAAGCACTATTCTTAAAGCAGCTGTGATAAAAGAGCATGCTTGGCTAGATGGGTAAGTATTTTAGTATATTAGTTGTATTACGTATACGTAAATAATTATGTCCATTTAAAATTATGTCAACAGTTGTATCGTCGGCTGGAGAAGCGTTGTAGGGCGATGGGTGCGAATGGAAGGTACAACTGTATTAGGAGAAGACGTTATCGTCAAGGACGAATTATACATTAATGGCGGACAGGTTTTGCCACACAAGAGCATCTCCACTTCTGTGCCAGAACCACAGATTATTATGTGATCAAAGACATAATTGAGTCGGTCAAGACAACCATTTTTTAATTCACTTTTATTATTTTTATATAATATAAACTCTATAGCTTTCTATGAAAATATTAAAATTAAAATGTAATTTTACTCTACAAACGACTGCAGTCTTTTCTCCCGGCAATCGACCTCGTGAGGATTTAAAGTATTTTTATTGGTAAACCTCGTACTACTATCGCAGCTGCCGTCATATACTGTGAGCAGCTACTCTTAGACTTTGCCACTGCTCTTAACATTTCTGGCTCCATGTTTGTTTTATCCTTCGCTCCAGTCTTTGTAAATTCTGAAAAATTTAATTACACCAAGCTATAGAGCATACGAGACGTTGAGAAAGCAAATGGATGGATTATTTTCACTAATACCAACTTAGAACACCATGACACCAACTATCCATGTCTATCTCGGCCCACGATTTCTCGGAGAATGAAGGAATCCAATTACTCAAGAAATTTGTGGTCATTTTATCGATATCAACATCCGTTACTTCCCACAGCATACCCAAAAGGCAAGGACTGAGAATTGTAAATTAACACACATACATATATATGTATATATATTTTTTGGTTGTGTAGATACGAATAAAATGTATGAATAGAGATTGAAAGACAGAAAAGACAGAAAATTCGACTCCTCTTGTAGATTGAAATGGAAAGCAATTTTCACATAGATATCTCACATAGAGATTCTTTTTACCTGCACGCTATTAAATATTGATTTGAAACGCCATAAGGTGGAAATCTTCCACCTATTACAAGCAGTTTCACGCTGTTACATCCAAATAATAAAACTGTAGATTTCACTCTCATTTTTTCAATATCTTCTCCAGATAAGTATTCTATTCCATTTCCATGACCAGCGTACCTATAAAAGAGAAGGGGAGAAAGAGAAAGTGAAATTCCTGGTGGATAATGCAACAACCGTTACTAGAGAAATAAAATGTTTGTACATTAAAATGTCACGATTTATCAACGCGTCTTCGAACAGTTCTGCGCTAGGTTCTGCGTTGTAACAACTTTTCCACTGCGATAACCAAAAGTCCATAAAGAGCTTGATGCGTTTCTCCATTTTGTCAAGATCACCGGAGGGATTGACTATGCAAGTTCCCATGTTGTCTCTAACTTTAATTATTTTACAACCGTCCACTATAGTATCTTGGTGTTCTTTGAATAATGCATATGCCACATGTAGAGATGGAAAACGCGTAACGGGATGATTCTTGATAATTTCCATAGCTTCAAATGCTATGTAATCCATATGCTTAAGAAACAAATGACAAAATTATAAACTTTATGTATAAATTTACTTTGATGTACTGTACGTTTACCTCATCGATAATGAGAACCAACGTTTTCCGCTTTGTATGCTCTAGTTTCCTTATGTATGGTAATTTTCCATAAATAGATAAAATGATGTTGTTTGCGAGTTTTTCATGCTCGGGAAGTAAAAACTTGATTGCACGAGCTATTTCCTCACGCGTAAGAAAACACGCGCCTGTGGATACTTTCCTCAAAAGCCACCTACATCTGTTTGATATCTCGTCGCTAATGAAAGTGAAACAACGAAACTTGATATTTAATATAAATAATGGAACGAGTAGAAGGAACTTTGGTTAAATATTACTTACGGCGATTTGCAATCTAATATTAACTTGTCAACCATTTGATGAATCTCATCTACTATTTCCAAGTTCTCGATAGAGTCGGCCATAAACAATACCCTCCATTCTCTCAACCACAAGTTCTCCAATCCGTTTATGGCTATCTGTAATTAATGAGCTTAAAGTATCCCTCGTTGAAATGTATGTGCTAATCTAACAAGTCTACCTTCATCCTATTGTTATAATTTGCACGCATCATCCAATATTGTTCATGATTCGTGTAAGTGGTCTTCAGCATGGATGGATGGCCATCCAATAGTGTCCGAATCTCTTTGCAGATATCGTAGGACACTTGCGTCGCGGGTCTCGGTACAGTTATACACAATGGTTCTACATCGGATACACCCGTTGGAAGTACCGTAATATGTACAGCGTGCATTACATTAGATGTAAGCTTTTTGTATCTCAATATAGTCGGAGATTCGTATTGGGCGGTAACCTGAATCATGTACCATTCTGTCAACAGAATAAGATAAACTTGTATGAGATAAAATTGCATGAGAAGGCAATGAGATATGCGTACCTTTCGGTAAGTTTAACAATTTTCTCTTCAACGATTCACTATTATCTGTAAATGTTGTTTCAAACTTTACATGCGACGGTTTCAGTCCATACAGTTGAGACTGATTCCACATGGACTCGTACAATTGAGTCTTTCGATATCTGTGCAAGATGTGTTGTCGAAGTATCACTGCATGAGCTTCGACCAAATGATGAATAGCCGTCGACTCGTTGCCAGTCTGAGGAAGAATCAAATGTATATAGTATCTTTCTATTCCTTCAACTACACAAACTAGAATTTCAATTACCTCCAAATTACACAGAGCCAGCAGCTTATTTAAACTAGCATATTCAACACTTGCTATATAGTTGCATTGTGTAACTGTGAAAATTCTTTCCGCCCTACTTTTCATTTCCTCCAACTTTCCTCTCGATTCTTTCGAGTCACTCGAGTCCCTTGTCTCAGTCACAAAATCATCCTTGTTGGGATGACACTCGTGTAGAATTCGCAAAATTTTATCAGTAATACGTGACATGGTTACTTTACTCCGATATCAACGTATACAGCTTTATTAACAATCATAAATTCGTTAGTGTCGTCCGGATGCGCAGAGAGCAAGCTTCACAATATCGGATTCTTTATTTATTATTGTTACTACTGGGCCTACTGGGTAGCGATCACTCGTGCAATTCTTCTGTGGCGACGCTTCGTCTCAACTTTATCTTACTCTACATCGAGCCCAATTGGGTAATTTTAATAATTATATTTAATATTGAACAATTATATTAAGATAGTGCCCGTAAACGTCTCTAATCAAGAGATTTCTCCTCCATGGTACACTCCAATTTTGAGTTAAATCAGCAGTTACATACGTCAAAAGACCTGCGCATGGACAACATTTTACTAGCGACATCTAACTGTGCCCCATGTACTACGATTGAAAAGCGCGCCAACTTTAAACGTTCAACTGGTTCGACTGATTGTCAGTGTCGCAAAAATGACAAGTTGGACTTGTGTGCTTATAACAGGATTTATTACTGGTATACTTGATAGTTTTATTCCATACACACGTGATAACAATGTATATAAAAATGCGACGGTCGCAATACTTGTAATAATATTGCCAGATTACACTCGAATTTATACAGCCAAATTGTACGCCTAGTTATTTCTCGATTTACACTATATACAATCTTTGATCTCGGTATCCTTTCCCTTTTATTTCATCTCATCATCAGACCAGTCTCGTCGTGGAATAAAGGCAAATATTAATATCGAAATTTCCTTATTACTCAAAGTCCATACTAGGACTAGGGAGAATGATTTCTGGTCCTGAGAAAGATTTGTTGGCAATGTGAGACAAATTTTCTCCTGCGTATGAACGCAAAGACGAGATCTCGACATCGTCCCCGACGTCTCTCGCACCTGCCTCTAGCAACCACTTTTTGTGTAAATTGAGCAAATCTGCGCGGGCGGTGCTCGGGCAGTCTTGGCCAGCGGAACTCGAATTTTTCAGAGGACTGAACTCCTCCTCGCGCCTTCCCTGCCACACCGCGAAATTCTTTGCGAAGGGAAACACGTCGAACACAAATTTTTCTATCTTGATGCCGTTGGGAATTTCTGGAACGATTCTTTCTCCATCGTCATTAACATACGGGATTTTCTTCTTCGCCACGTGCAGAGGCAACGATTTCTCGTAAACATCTCCGACGTCCTTAAGAAAGTCGATTGTAAAATAGTGGTTGCATATATTAGCAGCATCGTATACCAGTTGTCCATTGGCGCGTCGAAGCTCCGCAGTCTCTTTTGTTATCTCGCTATATTCAACCACTCGATAGTGATTCTCCACCTACGTTGACCGAAATATATTTACATGTAGACTATACATATGTAATATTATTCAAGTGTACATATTACGAGAGGATATACCTTGCATACTACGCCAACGGCTTCAGACGGACAAGACTTTTCGATAACTTTAACCCCGCAGTCGGTTTCAGACATCAGGCAGTATCCTATGAATATAGGATCGGCTACTTTCACCAAGATGTTGTCCACGGAATGTGCGTGAATACTTTGAATACCACGTAGTACCATGTCGGCCAATATTCCTTCATTCTTCAAGGCACGATACACTCCTCCGTTTCCGTCGGGGGCCTTGGAGATACGATGCTTCGCATCGAAAATCATTTTCCCGTCGAAAGTGAAACACGGTAACATACCCTGTTTGAAGATTTTCACATTTTTCTCTTTCAAGCCAAGATAGTGGCATTTAGTTAGGTATTCAACGGTGGCGTGATGAGTGGCTTCGCTGGTAAGGATATACCTGGGAAAGAAAATATTGCCAGTTTCATGGTGCATCGGTACATTGCGGCGCGCATGTGTCAACCGTACCAAGTGATTTCTCCACATCCTCCGTACTGTTGTCGCGCCATATGTTGCAGACGGAGTATTCTGTCCGCCTGCAATTGGAAGAGGGTTTTCTGCGAGGGCAACTCGACGTTGTACATTCCCTTGGGATAGCTAACTCCTAGACGCGTGCCTTGACCACCTGCCAACAACAATACAGCGACACGACCTTGAGCAATTTGTTTCAAGCCGCGTTCCTTGTACACATTCAACTGTTGCTCGGTGGATGTCTTGACGGAAGCAATCTTGGTCTCGTCGATCGGCTGTATCTTGTCGTCCAGCATACTCTGGCAACTCGAGGATTCGACAGCCCTCTCAAAGTAGCTTGTAATCTCCCGCAGGTCGCCAAGCTCGTCTATATCATTCTCCAGCTGGCTTCTGTCCTCGTCCGTCAGCTCCTCCCAAAATCGGAGTAGATGATGCTGATTGTACTCGCACAGCTTCTTCCTGAGGCGCTCCATACTCGTAGACGATTTGACACTTGTGTTGCCGATAAACTCCTCGCTATCGACATTCGACGGTTGCCCACGTCACACCGACAGGAGCGAGGGAAGGAACGAGCGTCCAAGTAAGAGGCAACAGGTATTCATCGGGTTCGCTCGGCCTCTCCCGCAGGTAGCATACCTTCACTTTCACGCATCGACGTAGCACGCCCGGTTCGATTTCTCTTATCGACCCCTCCCGCCAGTCCCGCCCGGCCGGCCGCCGCCGCATTTTATCTTCCTTTTCTTTGCCACCATTTCTCTCGACTCCTCTCGACTGCTCTCAACGACCGGTAGCTGACAGATAACCTTACATCATCCAATTGCAAGTCGACTCCGTTTCGCGCGCGAGCGTCGACCGATGTTGGTAAATGCTAATGAATCTTCTTTCTGTTCTTTTCCCCTGGCGCAGCCACTCGGACCACTATTAGCATACACAACGACCTTGATTCAAATAACTAACCAAACGAGAATTTCTTCTCTCTTCCTTTTATTTTTATTCCTCAACCTCTCTCTCTCACTCCTCTCACACTTTTATCTTGCAAATAACTTTTTATCACTTTATCTCGCTTCATTTCGCGAGTGTAAATACAAACGTTTGCGCGTCGCGAAAAATATATTTTTATTCGAATCAAGGCGTGGAAAAAGTGATAAAAAAAGCTACTGTATATACGTATATATTTCTAGTCATTTCGTGTGCATACAAGACACGCGACGAAAGTAAAAGTATATAACAAAAAAATATTGAGAATGGTTGCATTTTCCGGCTTCGTGCTATAGACGTTTTCGGATCGAATGTACTCTAGATATTTATTCGTCATGACCGCTGGTGGAAAAAAAGTAATATTTTCCGTCCACTTGTCCAACGTTTTCAATATCAAACGTAATAAATTGTGTTGTGATGACATTGGCATATCTTCAGCCACTATTTGAATTTTTGTGGCTCGACATGAGAGCAATTGTTAAAATGAAAGTACGAGTGTTAAAAGAAATATATATTGTCCTACACCTTATCGTTAGTAAGGAGTGATTGTAATTGGCATGCACGAACATGTAGAGAAATGGTTTGGCTAGCGAGAATGTGAGAAAGACCGCGGTGTATATCCGACGATACCCGCTGGCGAATAATGTACAGACTACGTATATAAAGCACAATTACAATATATTTCACAAATTGTTTAAACATTCATACATAATTATACGAATTCTCGCATATGACGAAAAGGCGATTGAATGAAAAATTCGGGGAAGGAGTATATCGTAAAAAGAATGTACTTGAAAGACAGGAAAAACGTTGGGACATCGAAGAACGACCGCGATGCAGCTACGTCGAAATTGCTGGCGTAAAATGCCACAAATTGCAAATAGCAAGATCAGCTACGAGGTCTGACTTTTCGCCGACAGTTTGGAGCTTTTGACAATTTTCTTCTCAATTGAAATTCTCATCACGTTCACTGCACAATTTCGGAATGTCAAGGATGTATGTACACCTTATTGAGGTGTAATAAATAAATTGTTTCTCCTTTATAGCGAGACACATGCGTTCCGAGAACTGCAAGTTTGAAGGCAGGTCAGAGGAAGATGCACGCCTGCCGCGCGCGCGCGCGAGCGAGCGAGCGACCAGCCAGCTAGCGAGATAGCTTTCGTTCTCCCCAAGTTTTCTACATCACCGTCAACTTAAAAAGAAAAGTAGAAAGCAACTTTTGTAACTAGGAAACGATAAGTCATTGCACCATCTGCTGCAATCACCGTTTGCACTTTCGTGTAAATCGCGCTGGGCCGAAAGCGAGAGCAACTTTTGAAAATGTAGTGGACAGAGCAACATTCTCTCCCGTCTATTGATCACATTTTTATCATATTTATATAATGTAATGTACAATACGCAGCTACATTTTATGATAATCGGTATGTCCAACGCATTCGAAACTGGCAACACTGTGTGGGTACTCTCTTCCTTTTCTCGTGTGTTTGTTAATTTTTCTCGTTCAAGAGGTATCATTTTAATTACTCATTAATCAATGTGTATCGTATGTTTCAGAGTTAGGTACTTTAATATAATTACTTCCAAGTTTTCCACATTTTCGTGGCATCTCTGTGTAAAAAGTGTAACTATATAATGCTAATATAATAATAATAATAATAATAATTATAATAAGTTGCGCAAGGCAATAGTCCGGTGTGGCCGTTGGATCGTGTGCCTGGCGACCGCTTCCTCGCTCCTCTCCCCCCTCGTTAAAAAAAACCTACCGAGACGCACACAAACACACACACAGAGAGAGAGAGAGAGAAACTCCCAGGAATAACTCCTCTTACATTTTCCACTCGAGATGTCGGAGAACCTGCGACGTTTTCCATCTTTCACGTTTGTTTCTTATGTTACCCATTCGTTACCCAGTAGAGGGGGGGAGGAGGTGTGCAGCTGTTTTTTGTATGATGTTAATAGCAACTGAATGTTGACAGAGTAACTTTTCCAATTAGCGGTTGGCATTTTTCAGCTGATTGGAAAGCCAATCGAGGCCCTCGTAAAGTCCGTCACCACTCGTGGCACACGTTGCCTGTATGTACCAATTGCGATTACGTAGAGAATGCAATCCCAATTTGTCGGTGATCTCCGCTGCGTTCATTGCGTTTGGCAGATCCTGAAATGTTTACTCCCTTTAATTTCGCTTATCGTTAAAAAAGAAACAACAATCACGATTATGCAATCTGAGGCTACTTACTTGCTTGTTAGCAAATATGAGGAGTACCGCATCTCTAAGTTCATCTTCCGCCAGCATTCTCATCAACTCTTCGCGCGCTTCGCCAATACGTTCCCTATCATTACTATCAACGACGAATATCAACCCCTGCGAACAAATTTCAATTTACGTAAATCCAAACAGATTTCTAATTAGTCGAGTACATACTTGTGTATTCTGAAAATAATGCCGCCATAGAGGTCTTATTTTGTCCTGGCCACCCACATCCCATACGGTGAAACTTATATTTTTATACTCGACCGTTTCTACATTGAAACCTGAAAAATACATTTACGCGTTGTAATTGTTTATTCAAATAAAAAGGTATTCAAGTATTATTTATACTTACCTATAGTGGGAATTGTAGTAACAATTTCCCCTAATTTTAATTTGTACAGAATTGTGGTTTTACCCGCTGCATCGAGACCCACCATCAAAATCCTCATTTCCTTTTTGCCAAAGAGACCTTTGAATAACGTTGCAAACATGTTCCCCATGGTTGGTATTTGTATGTCAGGACCTGAACATATGCACATGCTCCATTACGATACAGCGTTGAGAATATATTCTTCTAAAATAGGCGTATATCGGATTTTGTCACGTTACGCGGCAAGAAACGCGGATTTCGCAATTGGGAGCATTTGAGGAAATGAAAAATTGCGTTTGCACGTTGGAACGCAACGTAATATTACTCGGCCGACGTGAGAGAGGGTGTTTTAGGAGACACGTAAACGTGGTTTCTTCCGCACGTGGGCGAGAGAGAGAGTCGGAACAGGCGTACAGGCGTACGCACGACCTCGTGCAGCGTCCGCTCTCGCAAGGAGGGAGGATCTAACCTGATCGCGTTAAAGAGCAGCTCGAGCGGGACGAGGAATCTCGGGGTTCTCGGGCACGGCAACCTAACCGGCGGGAATAGGTCTCGTCGAGACCTGCGAGTCTCGAGAGAGGTGAATAAAAAGGGCCACGCAGGCACGCTCTCTTTCTCTCTCCCTATCGATTCTCATACTGAATAAAATCGCTACGATAAGCGTACCGTCGGGGGATCGCTATAGACTGCTTCGCCGACGAGCGACGATTTATGCCGTTCGTACTATTTAAAAGGCCAGTGGCGCGTGATACCGCGCGAGCGAGCTGGAGGATATCGTGCGGTTTGCGAAGCCACTGCGTACACCCGGTTGCCTGTCACCTTCGACCTACTCCCCAGTCCCCAGCGAATCGTCAAAGGTTCCCGGCTCAAAGATCCATCACCTAGAGACTTGCTCTTACTATCGGGTTCTCTGGCGACGCCACGTTGCACATGTACGCCACTTGCGTTACTTACGTTTCAGTAAAAAAGATTATTTTCACGAGAAACGATAAAACATAAAACCAACACTCTCGAAAAGTACCGTATGTCAAAATGGCGGACGTGGAAAGGATTCGTACCTTATGCCACGTATAGGCTCACCGAGCCGCCACGATTGGCCCGACGAGTCACGTGACGGTGGAAATTAGCGCCGGTACGCGGCTGCCCCGCGAGATGGCTGCTCCTACGCTCTTTATCGCCATTTCTCGCCGCGCGAGAGATTACTCCAACTACTCGCGCGCGGGCATTTACAAATTAACTTTCCTCGAGAAGAAGAAGAAGAAGAATCTCTCATATCGCTCATATCTCGAGGAGCTGCGAGGAGACGGGAGAAAAACTTGGCAAAAAAGGCCACCGTCTCTCACATCTCTCGCGCATTGTCACCAATATCACCAATGAGAAATACCTCATCACTGTCATCAGATCTGGGGAAATTATCTAGGGAAAGCATATCCCCTCCAACGCCACGACTTGCTCCGATCTCCCAAATCACAACCGAGTAATGCCACAAATTTATTCAACATCTCCAATAGGTAATATTTTATTAGCGAACTTGCTTTCAATGTGTTTAGAAAATGACAAATTGCGTTGAATTTTATAAAACTTGGTATCGCTAGCGCAGCTTTACATATCATACACCTCGTGACAACATAAAATACTTGTAACAGTTGTGTCATTGCTTCAGAGAGAAATGCGGCGGTACTTACATTACCGAGATTTCCTGCACACGCATGCAACCGACGTCACGTGAATCCTGCATTCGGTGTGACATGTTACCGGGCAGTCTCTACATTTCAGCGCCAACTTTCCAAACCTGATTCTGACGTGTAAACGGGAGGAGAACGATATTGTATATAATTTTGTTACAATCGAATCTATCCAATTCTTTACCATCTTCCATCGACATTACCTTTTACCACATAAAGTACACGTTTCTGGTTTAATCACTATCTTTGATATAAAGCTGTGAATTGCTTTGACATTCGACACTTTGCAATCAATATTTTCCTCAGGTGCAACTTGAGTTTTAACAGCAAAATCTCTCTCCTCCATTCTCGCTGTTACTCCTGCACTGTTACTCCTATCTAACAAGTTAAACTCTGCAATCTTTTCCAACGTGCCGCACTGTCTCTTTGTCAAATGTTCACCACTAGCTTTATATTCTCTCCATTGTTTCTTTCTTCCAGTCTTAATAATAATATCGGTATCCAAATCATCTTCCGACTTGGATAAACAATTCAAGTCACTTAATATTGAACCCGTAGAATCTGTCTCCGCTATTGTAGCCAGGCTGCAAAAGTCATTCAATCACCACGCAATCGCTCCTTACATATTTACATACTTTACGCTCAATTTCACACCTACTGTCTGTCACCCCGTTCATCTTGGACGTTTACATTATTGTATTTCAAATCAATCTCGGGCGTATTAAGAAATTGTAATTTCTCTTTCATGTCTTTGCTCAGATTTGCTCCTCCATCGTCAAATAGTATCTTTCTAGCCATGTTAAGTTGCCTTTCCTTTCAAACACAAACACACTTGACAAACATTTTCTTAAAAATCATTTCCCCCTTCCAAAAAAAAAAATTGTCTAGACATGAAAAAGGAAATATACCAACAAGTTCTTATGATGCTCCATCACTCGACGTTTACGCTTCTCCTCCTCTAGATTTCTTCTAGCGTGGCATAATTTTTGACCAAGACTCGCACTTTCTCGGCGAATTCGTTCTAAATCTGAGCAAAGCTGGCGATACTCTTGCAAAGGTAGACACGTTACTTGTGGCACTTGGGTCAAAACTGTATCATTAGTAAAGACGCAAGTATATATGTGAAAAGAATATATACAGACCTTCATTTAGCTGGTTACGCGCCAATGATGATGTCATGTTCCATAAATATCAACGACTGATAGCCCTTTGTTCCCTGATTATGTTAGAATTGCGACTTTTGTGCGAGAACCGAGAGATTCTCTCGACCGTTTACATTATATTATATGTCTACCCTTCAAGTCACCCTTCAAATCCTTCACCTCTGCCAAACAGCTAAAGAGAAAATTCCTAGCTAATTTATACATATTTTTTGCACTTGTGTTAAAGAGAGATTTTCAATGCGGAAGATATGGACAATTTCACTCAACTATAATACTGCTGGTTGCAACGATTGAAAAGCGATCGAGATAATAAATAACTGCAAGTATAAACGGAAGAAAGGAGATAATGTCACAGGCATTATTACACAATTTGCCGGAAACGCAACACATAAATCCCTTTAAACATAAATCTGAGATACGCGACGAATTGATAGCAGACTTGAGAAAAGCAAAGACTAACGGCGAATACTTTCAACAATCGGAAATTGAGGTATTTTGAATAGAAAATTCGCTTTTTCGCACGCACGTTGAATCAAAATGTTTTTCTACCGATTGTGAGACAAGTAAAAATTGTAGGGAAAGATCGATGCTCTTTGCAAATGGATGTGCACAACACCTAAGAAGAGCGTTTATAGATTAGATCGTTTTACAGATTGTTACAGAAACGATCTAGACAGTTTATACGAGGCATTGAAACAGGTACGTTGAATAGACAAAATGATACTTTCACACAATTTCAAATTTAAGCTTGTCGCTTGTATATTCCAAGACGTATCTGCAACATTGTAATTTGCATCTCTGTCCTGGATTTAAACATTCTCGCTGAACGACACACGTTAGGACGACAAACCGGATCCGTCTATCCACTTTTTACCGGATCTTCCAAAGGGAATAGTTGCAGTCGATAGTTGGGATTCATCGGTGGCTCTTGATTTAAAGAGATATCCAGATGAAATTATCGTTGATGCTGCATGTGGTGCAGCTGTACTAAGAGGATCTCATGTTTATGCTCCTGGCGTTATTGGAATGCCAAATGGTACCATTTTTCCACGCAGAATTCTCTCTTATCGTTACAATACTTATCCGCGAGACATCATTATCATTGAATTTCTTAAAATAATTATAGGTTTAATCATTGATACCAAAGTTAGTGTGTTTGCCGATATTACTGGTCAATGTAAGAAAGGCTTGATTAAACCGTATGCCAACGGTAATAAGGTGTATTTAGGTAATGGCATTCTTCGACAAACCAGGAAAGAATTATTCCGCAAAGCAGCGGGAAATCCATGGTAAGGCACAATTTCCCATGTGCACGAGATTGGGGGAGGCAGATTTCATTGCGTCATAGTTGTTTTAATTAGAGGAGACTCCTTACACTCCTTACACTTCAATTCTATCTATATCTCATTGTTTAAGTCTCAATTTTCATTACTTAATATTTACGTGCCTTCGTTACCGTGAATCTCTTACATTTTACATTGTCTTTTCAGTGGTGTTGCGATAACTATGACTGATGTAATCTCACGAGTTCCACAATTGAATGTACATAACGAATCTTTGAGACCACATGCCCTCTTACAAAATTTGCCGTCGATTGTATGTAGTTTGGTTTTAAATCCTCAACCAGGTGAAATCATCTTGGACATGTGTGCTGCACCTGGTAACAAAACCACACATATTTCCCTGCTTATGAAGGGACAGGTACATTTTTTTAGGAAAAAAAAAGGAACAATGTGTCTTTGCCATTATGCTTTCCAACTGTTGTGCACTTTTTTTTACTTTCATAAATTGGAATAGAGAGTACAGGTAATTCGTTAATTTTAATTATCGTCTCGATATAAATTCCAGGGTACAATAATAGCTTTGGAGAAAAATCCAGGTAAAGTGGCTCGATTTAAGGAAAAGTCTAGTGAGAAAAATATCAAAATATTTTGTTACGATGCTACAAAGGCTGTCGTCGAACGAGAATGCAGTTTCGTTCATATCGCCGGATCACCTCCGTTCAAAGAGAATTATTTCGATCGTATCCTCTTGGATACCCCATGCAGCGCTTTAGGTCAAAGGCCGCAATTGTACAATACAATCACGTCGACGCAACTTTATTCCTACGTTCCTTTGCAGCGAAGTCTCTTTTCTGTCGTAAGTGAGAACACATTACTCATCATACGGATACACATATAGTAGTTTAAGCTTGAAAAAAAGTCTATACTATTGTGCAGGCTGTTCGTCTTTTGAAACCAAAAGGGACATTGGTTTATAGTACATGTACCGTTACAATAGCGGAGAACGAAGGAATTGTCGCTTGGGCATTGAAGCAATATCCAAAGTTGAAGTTAGAATCTGTTCAAGATCAGATAAAAACAGACAAATATGGCACTCAAGGATACAGCATAGATGGTTTAACGAATGAAAATGCGAAAAAAGTATGTAGATTTGGTCCTGAGAGTGATTCCGTTGGATTTTTCATTGCACGCTTCACAAAATGTTCCTGAGGTGATGAAATTTATCTAGAGACTCTGTACTACGTTATTATTTTTGGCTGAAATTTAAAAAACAATTATTGTCATCTTCTCTATAGTAGAGAGAAGAACAAGTTTGACAAAGTTATTTAAAATTAGCGGATGGGGTTGAAAAGAAAGAAAATTTGACCGCTAGAATTTGTTTCTTTGATTCTTGAAACAAACATTCTTTTATTACATCTGTCAACACAGTATCAAACGGTACTTGATATTTCTGCGTGAATATAACAAGTGTGTATATTCTACCGTTCTTCATACGTGACCGCATCTCCAATAATCTCTGTCGTTACCACGGAACAATTGTTACAAATTGCATACAATGTTTCTACCTAATTTATGAGAGAAAAAGAAACAGACTTTAAGGAAAAGGAGGGAGAGTTATCTGATGGAAAAGCTATAATTATATAAACTATAATTTACATGCATTCCGTGAACATTGGGAAAGAAGTAGAGGTACAAATATATATGCTCTTGCGGTTTGAGCGTAAAATACGCAGGCCACATGGCGAAAGATGGTAGAATCAGCATGTTATTGCTAGCAACATCCTAGAACGAGGTAGAAATACACTTGTATAATTATTGCTGGTAACGGCTTCATAAATTTTACCTCAATGTGCATCGAGCACCAATCGATTTCGCTCATAATGAAGAATCTGCCCTCGCCACCGACATTTTTAATCATCAGGGGTAAGGTGACTCTTTCACCTACGAGACACGTCCCACAGTCGAAACTTTTTAATTTCCTGTGTGCAGGCGTCACACTTTCTATAGATGTGCTAGCTGCACTCCTGCTTGTATCGGTAGACTGTGTTTCCATTGTCTATTAAAGAGAGAGAGAAAAAAAGAAAAAGTAACCGCGTGATTACTTGGAGAATATTTTGATGGAAAATTAGAAAATAAAGCCGTACGTAGTCCTCGTAAGAATCCACTCGTCGATATGGAATTTCTACAGTCAATTTCCATTCTGTGTTTCTTACCATCGTTTGCAGTTGTTGTGGTGGACATTGGAAATGAGGGATATTAATTGCTGCAAAATATAATCTTCTCTTTACGATGTATTAATCGTTTATTTCTTTTGTTCTCTATACTTGATACGTTTTGCATATCTTTTTCATACGCGTACCGATGAGTTTATTGCAATGCACAAGTAAATTCATTTACCTCTCAATAACGGTGGATCTCGGTAACCACGTAATTTAATCATTACTGAACGTCCTTGTCGTACATTTATCACTAACATTTCTTCGGGCTCGTCCAAGATGTCGCAACGAAAGAAAACAATCAATTTTATATATAACCCTGGAGAAATACTCGCCGTTTGTGTTTTACGTCCGATCATGACAGTGAAATGAGAATAATTCGGTCTTGCCATCAATTGAAACCTTGCTGAAGAATCGCTCACGTTTTGTAGCATGACAACTTTCTAGAATGGGGGTAGAAAGGGAGACGAGGGTGAGAGAGAAAATAGAATATTATTAATTGAAAAATGATATTTTATAATGCGTACCCGGTACAATTTGTTCGACTCGTAGTTGCGAAATTCCACAGAGCTAGGAGTGGCAATTAAGATGGTTCTTTGTAATTTGGTTTTCGAGCTACTTCTCTTTGATCGTTCAACTGACGAGGAAACTGATTCGACTCTTCTGAGAATGGTTACAGAATATGCATCGAGATACATGGCAAACGAATTGAACTAGTACTATATATATACCTTTGAAAGGTTTTCCCAAGAGAATTAGAGAAATGATAAGAAACAATGGAAACCGTTATTACCTGGCACGAAAGGTTGTCATGACGATTTTAAATATATAATTTGTATCAATTAGGATAACGCTTCAAAAATAGACGTGTAAAGTTATAATTTTATATTTATTGCGTTTTAAAAGCGATATTAATGGGATTATATACGAAACTTGGAAACTAAATATAAACTTATGAATAACTTGTGACATATTTCTCAGCGTATTTTCAATACACATAATCAAAATAAAACATCGTCGGTATGTGGGACGTCATTTTTCGCCTTAATTGTCAATTCTTTGCAAGACACGAGCAAAAGCAAAAAGAAAGAAATAAAAGGAAACAATTTAGAACCACGTTCATTTTCATTGCAGAAATCGCAAATAGGAGAGTTACAATTATTTATTTCACAAAAAATATATATGCGCATGTGTGTACACATACACAATATATTATACATATTGTATAAATAGCATATCGAGGTTAAATTTTTACAGATTATTTCATGCGTCATTATTTTGCATATCTTGGGCCCGGTTTCACCAACATTGTTTAACTTTAAGCTTCACTTCATTCGTTCTTTACCTTTTTCCGTTACTTTAGAAAGACAAACGTGAATTAAAGTTAAGGGACATTTGGTGAAACCGAACCTTAGGATTACCTGCAACTACTCGAGTAGGAACGGGTTTAATAATAGAACGCAAATTGATACTCCGTTCAACATTGTATTTTAAGCTTTATAGGTTCAGAAATTATAAGTTTCATTAGAGTGCACTTATTTATCCTACAGATAAGCACACACGGTCCATGTAATGCAATAGCGAAGTTGGCTGGATGTATTAATGTGCGCCCTAGTGCACATTAAAAACTATCGTAGGCAAATTGATGTATGTACATACGTATGTATGTACAGAGTGCCCAGTGGAATTCATTTGATAACTCTCTCTTCCCCCTCCTTCGCGCAACATATGCTCATTGTCGGGACAATTTATTGCGTTCGGTAGATTTAATTTTTTGTAATTGCATCAATCAAAATACTTGTAGTACGTTTTTAGGATTAGCAACGAGACGCTGCTAGTCCAACTACGTCTCTACTTTTAATCCGCAGCACACAGTTAATACACATTAGTGCATCCAATCAAATTCGTTATAAAATACACGTTACGATCGTATAACGATGTGGTATACATAACTCTTAGGGATAGTATAATTGATAGGAGAATACTTAGTTTTACCCATACACGTACAACTGTGATTTAAAAGAAATGTAAATTTTTGTTTTGACAAATAGTATCGCGGCACACTTTTTACATGCTTTTGATCAGATCCAATTTATCTTACAAGTAGTGCTGTCAACATCGGTATATCCGGGTGTACATAGTACTCGGAATGACAGCACAACTTGCAAGTGCATCCGACATGACGACCGTACCGTATCATCACCTTGGACTTTGCATGTGTGAGATAACAAGTTTTTACCAAAGCTGATTATTGATTGGAAAATATAAAACCCCATATTATACTTTATATTATACTTTACTATCCTACAAATACAATGCTTATTTTGCCGCACATACTATATAATGATATCACTGCATTAAAAGTACTGTTTTATTTTTTTGTGATTCTCTGTGCTATCCGTTATCATAAAAGTTTTCTAATAACACAAAAATGGAGATGTTTGCAAATTGTTGTTTTACACCGAGACATTTAAATATAAATATATATACACATATATATGTATGCATGTATACATACATACATACATACCCATATACCCACCCACATACATACATATATATGTATAAACACATTCCTCTTGTTTTTAAAATTTCGATATTTCTTGGTGTGTGCTGATTTTTTACAGTATACCAGCTATCTCTCGGTTTTACAATATCTAGTCTAGTCTAGTCACTGAATATTAAGACGTCATCAACGTGCAATTGTACGAGGTGAATGTTCTTACATATATACAATTCACAATCACGTTTTAAACGTACAATATGCGCGTATCGTGCAATTCGATGCATCGCCATGGTATCTTATTAGCATATGCGCAAGATGATATCCGTTTTCACTTATCAAGTTCTAGAGCGGCGTACTGTTCCTCATCCACTTCAGTCATCATTAAATTACCGTCCGGTAATAGAAGCACTACCCTCCTGGTTCCTCCTGAAAGGAAGACAAGTCAGACGGCGATTGGAGACGTATTAAAAATACAATGCAGAGGAGGTGATGATTTGGTTGAAACCATATCGAGAGTAATTTGAGCAGAGATTTTTACTCGTAGTAGTTTTTATAAAGAGAGTTTATATATTACCTGGAGTAGGCTCTTCAGCTTGTACCACTTGAGCTATAACTTGTGCCTGTCCGTCACTATCCTCTTGACTCCCGGTTACATCGGGTGTACTCGCGTTATCCATTATAGACATGACCATTGAATTTTCGCTCGGTTCCGCTCCATCCTCCTTCACGTAAAACTGGGGAGTGAGATTTACTTGGTCGGGGATCAGTTGCGCTACAGCCTCGGCAACTGCGTGGTCCAACGTTAGAACCGAGCCGTCGTCTCCTTGTTGTTCAGTTGTCACGTATACACATTGCTGCTCGCCATCAGCACCTTGTGTCACGAGAAGGGTCTGTCCATCCTCGGCTTGACCCGCGACTTGATACACGACGCTATGCTCGGCTATAGTAACCAAATTCGATGAATCGTCCGTCGTTACTTTTTTCTCTTCCGGTATCTTTTCTTCGCTCTTCACATCCGTCGAGCTCACTGTCATAGTAACGGAAGTGGATGTCGCTGCAACTGTTGACAATGTCGTGTTTATAATGGACGTTTCGGCGGAACAAGAAGAGACTGTTTCCGCCAAGGGCGTTGCTGTGGACGCGGAAGTAGTAGTCGCTGTAACTGTACAACTGCTATCGTCCAAGCAAGGTAAGTCCGGCGCAGGTATCGTCACATTTGACAGGTTGATCTGTGCTGCTTCACTGGATTGGACAATGGTGCCGGTTGTTCCACCAGGACTCATCTCGACCCTCATAATGCCACCGCTTTCGGTGAGCTCAAGAGAGGGCAGGACCAATTCGGCGGTAGCGGTGGTGGCGGCGGTGGTAGTGGCGGCGGCGATAGTGCTGGTGGTTGTCGTTGTTGTTGCAACAGTGGTGTCGATGGTAGCGGTTGTAGCGGTTGTGGTGGTGGCGGCGGTGGTGGAGGCAGCGACGGTGGTGGTAGTGGTAGTACTGGCCTTGACAACGACAGCCGTCGCGTCCGCTGCCACAGTTTCGGACGCGTTAGTAGCTGTTCTCGCTACGGCCGAATTTGTTGTTGCTTCAGCGGATTCGGATTCGCCTGGTTGCTCGATCGGTTCACCGTCCGGACCAATTATACGACCCGTCAGAGGACATAACGTGAACGGACGCGGTGGACTGTCAGGCTCTGGAGCCGTAATAACATCCGACTCGGGAGGAGGGGGGTGATCCGACTCGCCCTCGCTACTGCTCTCTTCTGAGCCAACTTCGTGGAATTCCATGTGAAGTCCATCACCTTCCGCTAATTTGCTTTCCTTCGGGGGTTTGCTTCCCGCCTGAGCTATCGTCGAGGGTGTTTCGGTACCTACTTTTGCCTTGTTTCGTCCCGCAGCGGCACGAGCGCCTGCCAATAGTCCACGATTTGCTTTAATTATACCTGCTGCTTCTTGGGCCTTTCTCTTTGCCATTAATAACTTTTGCTGCGGAGACAACAATGACTGTGCCTTATTCGCTGGTGTTTTCGGAGACTGTTTTGCCTGCTGTTGTTGTTGCTGCTGCTGCTGCTGTTGTTGCTGCTGCTGCTGCTGCTGCTGCTGAACTGGGCTAGTACTAGTTTTGATCGCCTGTTTGGTCTGCGGAGATGTCGCGAGTACTGTGAATTTTGGCCTGATTTGCGTGACCGTGCCGCCGGCAACTGGCGAAACTGTCTGCTGCGCAGTTACGACAGTTGTTGTACGCTTCTGCAACACTGGACGCGTCACTTGGGTCTGCATCTGTCTCGGTGCCGGTGCTCTGACGGGTGAACGAATTGTACCGAGAACGCTCGTTGCCGCTGTTGGGCGCAACGCCGGTCTAGGAAGCAAAGGCCGACCGTCTACGGTTCGTTGAGGTGTAACAGGAGCGGGTCTTATGCCGGTAGTTATTCTCGGTTGCAAGGTGATCGGAGTCACAACGTGTATCTGTTGCAATTGCGATGGATCCGGTTTTGGTTGTATCTTTATCGGCTCGTTCTTTTGCACGGTAAGTTTTGGTGTAACGGCCTTGGAAGCCGTGACCATCTTCATCTGTGTTACTACTTGGCTCCCGTCCTTTGATACGACTTTCACAGGAGTAATCGAATTGGACTGCGACGTCGAGATTACCTGTTTCCTCACCACGTTGGCGTTATCTCGATTTTGTACCATTACAACACTTTGCGTCGGTGGAGTTCCTTTAACCGCTAGCTTCCCACTGGGGGACGAATTTAACTTGATGATACCGTCTTTTCGCGACATGACGTAAAGACCGGAAGCCAAATTCGGCATTTGCTTGGGATCGACTTTAACAACTCCCTTGGCGCTTGCCACCAGGACAGGCGGTTGGCTAGATTTCGTTCCGTCTGGAGATTGCAAGCCTAACGACGTTGCCAGATCAGTAGACGACACCGAGGCTCTGTTGGATCCATTGGACTGTGCGTTAGCGCGATTAAATGCACGTTGAATCATGTCGCTACGACCCATCAGTCTTTCGTCTTCAGATTCCCCAGTCCAGTCGTCGTCACTGCCCGTGTCGCCTTTCGCCCTCTTTGCGGCACTGCTCCCACCTTCTTCCGAATCACTCTCCGAATCGTCGATCCTCCTTTTACCCAATACTACATTTACAACACAAGACATTAATTTAAACGTGACATTTCTAGTAATGGTATCGATTGCGTTATATTATTTAAACGGATAAATACATACGTTCGTTATCCTCGTCTTTCATCGAGCCACACCACTGCTTGACTTGGTCCATCGCCTTTGACTTACTGGATCGCATCGGGCGTCTACGTGCATGCAACAATTACCGTATCGAATATCGTCGTAGCGATTTATCGAATGAAATAGTTTCAACTCACCCCACTTGAGCCGCCGTGCTCGGTCCAGGCTTACTGGCTTCTGTTTTTATCACTGATTTTTGCAACGGCAAACTCGCACGTCCGATAACTCTTGTATTGACCTGCTGTTGCGCCGCTTTAAGCTCCTTTTGCTTGGCGAGATTCCGCTCAAATTCTTCCAACATAATTTTGCAAGTTGCCACAACCTCCGCAGACTCCCACGTATTGTTCTCGCTAGATAAAATTGGGAATATTTAAAAATACACACCGTTTACAACTCTAGTATCTTTCGAGACGACTGATAAGGAATACCTACTGTGAATAGCTTTCCCATTTAATTAGATATTCCGAGCATCTCTTTTTTGTATTAAAACGTTTGGCTAAAATTTTCTCCACGACGTATTCCTCGTTGCTCAAATCTGCACCTTCCTCGGTGGTTACCCTGCCAGACTTGTTCTGCGGAAAGGCAAACGTAAGCGAATTAAATGAAGCTAATTAGATAGTATATAAAAAGGTGCAAAATATACCTTGGGCTTGATCGATGGTTTCAGTCTCGGCTTTTCTTTCTTGTCCACTTCAATGTCCATAGGCTCACTCTTTTGCACTTTTACCATGTCCTTCTTAGCTTCGCTCGTGTCCTCCGGCTGTCCGTTTCTAACGACTTTACGAACAATTATCGGCTTGGTACCTGCAACGACAGTATAGAGTTTAATCAAAGTCCGCGTTTTCATCTCTCAAGAGACTATTACCTTCGATAGTCGATTGAATTTGTATCGGGGTATCCTGCATCTTTGCGTTACTAATTTTCGTAAAGGTTTGTATGGTCTTGCCTGCAGTGATCCACGAATCCCTCACATTCGTATCCATCTTGCACCATTTCTGGTACAACGTCCAAGCACTAGCCGTATCCTTGTCCGAACCTTCTTGTTGAACTTGCGTATCTTTCCACAACAGAAATGCCCATACTTGTGCCTTTTGTCCATTCTACGAGTATACAAATATACTAAGTTTCGGCAATCTCGCGCATAGCTAGTCTCGCAAATGTAACAAACGGTACAAACGTCGTTGGTTTCACGAAAATGTGACGCTTTGGAACAGGCGCCCTCCTGTGTACGATGTTGTTGAAATTCTTCAATAAAGTGAAACACGGAGTGACACTGTCCACATACCAGTATGTCCAATCGTCCCATTTCCTCTTGCGCCGCTGATGAAATGGAAAAGAAACGAGATTGAGTGAGATATATCTACATCTGTAATCGTCAACACACATGTATCACATGGCGTAGAGAGAAAAACAAGTTGAATCGCTTTCCAAGTAGATGTAAAGTTACCTTTGATCACGGTGGGTTTACTACTGATGGCTGAAGGGCCATCGTCTCCCTCCATTCTGTATGCTTGTCTCGCGATCTCTCTTCTAAAAATGAAACAACAGCCATGTTAATAAACGACACGATGCGACTGAGGGTTGTCGTAACGTGAGTCGCGCGGGAACGATAGAAGCAGATAGAAGCGACCGGGTACGTACGCCCACGTCTCTTACATTTCTTTAAAGAAGGCACTCGCGTTTCTGCCACGCTGATTCGTGCACGCGCGCCGCACAGTTTAGCCAAAGTTAGCGGAGTCGAAGACCCGTGGTTAACATAAAAATGAGAAAACGCTGTGTCTCGACTGGGCGTGCAGATCGACGCTGCTCGACACGATTGTAAACGGGGCCAGTCGCGCCAAGTTATGGACGAAGGGAGCCGACAGCGCACTCGTTTCCGCGCACGATTGGCCGCGCGGCCAATAAAGCCAGGTCTCTCGCTCGCACGCTATTAACAAGCGAGGAAAAGTATTTTTCGCTCGTAAGACTCGATATCGCCGGCTACATTGGCGCCATTCGCCTTAACGTCGTAATTCGTAATTGTCGCAGCCGTAACCCGTAACTGTAATCGTAACTAAAACTATAACCCCGTAACCCTGCTACGGTCGTCACCGTCGTCACAGTCGTCCGTGTCAGCAGCCGCCGCCGCCGCCGCTTCCGCCGTCGCGGTGGTGTCGTCGATGCAAGCTCGACCCGTTCGACGTCTCCTCTGTCTTTCGCGAGCAAGCCGATGCTCGTCAAAGATGGCTCTCGTCGTCGATAGTTTTCTACGAGCTACTCACTTCCTGTCTTTACGTGAATGCTTTCTGAACACCTTGTTAATCGCGGCCGCGCGCAAACACGATCAACGTTACGCTCGCGAAATCAAAGCAGCGATGCTCACTTACACGTGGCGAAACCGGCAAATCCGACTTTCCTCAGCCTGGAAAATTGCTGATCGTCGCGCGAAACAGAAGGAAAACAGCGACCGTGAGCGACCGCGTCGGCCGACAGTGGCGCCATGGCGGCATTGGCGGCTGCGGGTTGATGCCGTTGATGGCGGCCGCCCGGCAGCCTCTCGTTGTCCCCCCCCTCCTTCCCATTGCCGCCCGTTCTATGCCGGTATCTCTCTATCCAGTTGCATACATATTTAGCCGGCACCGGCACACTAGAGTCGGCACACCGGCACACTCTCGCTTGTCCGCGCCACCATGCACTCGACTGCACTCGACTCTCGACTCTCGACCTCGACCTATCCGCAGCACGGATTTTCGCGGGTAATCCACGATAGCTCGCCGATCGACTACGTCCAATTTCGACCATCTTCTCTTTACACAACACTCTTTTAACCTCTCTTTGCCCATATATATTACATTTGAGAATCATGGCAGAGGAAGAGTCTGAGGAAAAGGAGTACCGGTGGGAAACTGGTTACGAAAAGACATGGTACGCCTACCTACTTTTTAACTTTTTAACTTTTTAATGTCTCGCATTCAATATCCAATATCCACTCGTTTGGCATCTGCAGGGAAGCGATCAAGGAAGATGACCACGGCCTATTGGAAGCTTCTGTCGCAGACATTATCCACAATGCTAAGAGAAAACGTCAGTTGGAGAGGAAACGGGGCGCCAGATTAGGAATGATGAGGCATCTCTACGTCATCCTCGACGCCTCCGAGTCCATGTCGAATCAGGATTTGAAACCAACTCGTTTTCTGTGTTCTCTAAAGGTACCGCGACAGAACGACGCCATTTTCAATATGTGTACGCATTACTACATTATTCTCTTTTAAGCTTCTAGAAGATTTTATCGAAGAATTCTTCTATCAAAACCCTATAAGTCAATTAGGTGTAATTATAACGAGAAACAAAAGGGCTGAGAAAGTGAGCGATTTGGCTGGTAATTCAAAGAAGCACGTCAAGGTGCTCAATTTTTCTTATCCGCTCTATCCAGAGTATCTCACTTTGCGTTACATCTTATCGTCCATTTCATAGGAATTGCAAACGTTACAACAAACTGTAGTGGGCGGCGAGCCTTCTTTGCAAAACTCTTTGGAATTGGCTTCAAAGTTATTGAAATTATTACCGTCGCACGCCAGCAAAGAGATATTGGTAATCATAGGGGCCTTGACCACCTGCGATCCTGGAGACATCAACGAAACGATACGAGTATGCTTCGCTCTCTTGTGCGATATTTGCTTGCAAAATATATCTTTCTTAACATTGAGCTCGTCGTGTCCGTAGAACATGAAATTGGACGGTATTAGATGTAGCGTGATAGGATTAGCCGCTGAGCTCTACATCTGTAAACGAATGGCAAACATCACCGGTGGCGAGCACAGCGTTGCGCTCGACGATAAACATTACAAAGAGCAATTGAACGCACATGTAGATCCACCGCCTGCCGCAACGCGATTAGATGCAGCGCTTGTGAAAATGGGATTTCCTCATCATGCTTTACATTCCAGTGCACCGGATACATCTATGACAGTGTGTATGTGGTAAGTGCACAAACCATTCGAGATTACGTACTTTCTCTCGTCACAGCACTTGGATTTTCTTTACAGCCACGCACAAAGCTCCGATGAAACGGTGAAACTTATGACTACTGGCTACCTCTGTCCCCAGTGCCTCAGTAAGCATTGCGAGCTGCCTGTGGAATGTAGAGCTTGTGGCCTTACTCTGGTATCTGCTCCACATTTAGCGCGATCGTACCATTATCTCTTTCCTGTTGATCCTTTTCAAGAAATTCCACCCGAGACCGATCACTCTTTCTGCTTTGGTTGCCAAAAAGCTTTTACGCAAAAGGATAAAAAGGTAACGTCGGCCATTTCTCCTATACGTTGCTCCAAGAGATTGTTGAAAATCCATTGTCAGTTTTTCCTGACAACTCTGTATTCTCATCACTCTATAAATAGTGGGCACGAATTAGTTTACACATACAAGTTTAAATGTCAAGACATACTATGCAATTGAAATCACATGTATTTATTTCTAGGTATACACTTGCGGAAAGTGTGATGAAACATTTTGTTTAGACTGTGAGATATTTATTCACGAGATATTACACACGTGTCCTGGTTGTGCGGTAAATCCTGAAACATACAGAAAGTCTGCAGATAGATCTTAAAATTGTCCATTTCGAGGAAATTGGAAACACTGCCAAAGAGCTAACAAAATTGTCTTACCTAACATATTGTAATCATTAATTTTATAGTAATTTTATCGTTACAGCAAACTACGTTTACACATTACTGTAAAATTCAGTAGGTAATCCTATTATATCTAAAAGCGTATATTAAAACAATTTTTATATCAACATGGAATATTTCTTTACTGGCGTGAAATTGTGTTACAACTTTTATCACTCTAGAACATATATTCCAAAGAATTTTGCATAGAAGCTTGTAAGGCAATTCCTATGCATAATGCAAACAATAAAATTACAATGACTATTAAGATTACAATAACTAGAGCTAGAACTGGATGGACCATGGAGAGGAGCATTATCTCGGTTCAACTAAATAATTCAAGGTAAAAAAGAAAAGAGATTACGATAATCATAACATCATAATATGGCTATGTACTCTTACTATTTTATAGAATGAGAAATTTTGTACAAACACACAAATGTATTTATATAAACAAATTAATTATGTGTATATACGTATATGCATATTCTGTATTAAACATATTAAACACAATGTTTATACATGAAGAAAGAAAAAAAATTCCTTATATGCTTGCTACTTGTAGTGCCAGGTTATTACACTTGTGCATGCACAATATAGTTCAGTATAATAAAAAAGATAAATAGGATTACCAACGTTTCGTTGAAACAAGATACATATTTCGCGCACGATGATTAAATGATGTCATTACATATTTTCATCGAGTATATTCAATTTTTGCAGATATTAGCACTACATACACAAGCCAAATACATTGCAATTTTTTTCCATGATATTTCAATAAAAAAATTAGGTGTGGCGCTTTTTGTTGCGTGGGGTGTACGTTTTATATATCGAGAATGCAAATGTCCGAGTGTCTGACATGTGACTGCAAGTTTGCGACAACATAGCGCGACGGCTCCTAACGCAACGCAAATGTCCTACTTCAATAGTATATAGTGGGGGAACATTGAAGCTTATTGTTACATAGACAGGTGGAAAGTGGGCATCGTGAAATTACAGTACGTTATTAATTTACGGTCGTCCGTCGAAGCGACCGGTTCTCCTCCCGAGTGACGCTCCAGCAATTTGACTCACATTATTCACTCTAATTCGTCGATGAAATTTAGTGCCACATGTGTGCATATTAATTTATACATATCTTCAAATCAAGGTGAGCTTGTTTATAGTAAATTTATTTAAGTGCTTACGTGCGAAAATCCACTACGTCTTGGAAACTCTTGTAATTGGTATCCAAGTATTGATAAGCTGTAAATTTTATTTATATACACACCCACACATATATACGGTAAAGTCGCAAAAATAATCCAACTCTTTCAATACAACGAAATATTGTATTTTATCCAAAGTACACATTCCTTCTGCGGCGATACGACCATTTGCACAATCAACTGATGCATCAAATGTCCTTTTGCGGAATGAGATGCCTTGAGGATTCTCGTCGACCTTCTGGATCTGGGATATTGTCGTAATAATGCTTTCCTTAACAAACAGTAATGACACGGTGCCAAATCTGAAGAATATGTTGCAAATGGTGCAATACGTACGGTATTAAATGTTGAAAAGCATTCTAGAAAAGGATAGGAAAAATCGCATTTGACGCATTATACGATGTGCAATTTATATGTATATGTATAGTTTATGGAGGACAATTATACGTATAGATTGAAGGACAACATGTTGAGAAAACTACAAGATCGAACGTGCCAATTTACATTTGCACAGCACGTAGTTATATGGAATTCTGACGGTTATACATATACCTCTTGTCAAAATACTTGGAGGGAGTATATTTATAGAATAATATTTTTACTCTCTCAATTTAGCAGCTTTGATAAGAAATGATATTATTGGTAAAACTGAATAATACGATTTTTAATGATACAAGTTTTCTAATAGGAATGCGTGAATTGAAACGGACGTTGAAATGTTGGATTGTATAACTGCATTGAAAGGGAATGAGATTAGTTGAATTGAATCACCTCGTTGGGTAGATTGGGTAGATAACGATGCAGATTAACTAGGAACGTCATTATTCTCGATACTCATCGTTGATAGTTATCGTGATTATTGGCGAGGTTAAATAACTCTATTTAATTCATGGGAAAGTTAAAAATATTACCGAGTAATAATACGTATCGGATTATCGCACAATGATGTACGATGATTATTTTTTGTTTAAAAAGCCACAGTTGATGGAATCAAGATTGTTACTTTGCATTTGTTAAATTGAAATTATTCATAATCCTTGACTTTTCAAGGAAATAAATTTTGCTTTCCGCTACAGATTTGCTCGGGAAAATATAAATAAGATTCTTCCGAGTTGCATTTCGAGGGATAATTTATAGACTATTACAGACTATTATAGACAGAGTGAGGTGTATCGAGGACATACTCTTTTTAGGGGCAATCTAGTCCGGTTGCACGAGTAGATTAATAGCGAGTACGCGTGATTCCTGTTGCGAAGCCAAGTGTAAGAGACGGTTCGTAAATATTTGCTCTCTCGCCACTTAAATGCCTTTGAGTTCAAGGCGAGTGCGTTTTATGTACGGGAGTAACGGGAGTAAAAGCGAAAATCTTTGTATGATTATTACGATATTACTTGTAAGTTACAGGGCTTTAATTAAAAATAACGATCGAGTATTGTCGAAAGGTTTCCGTTGCAGTCATACGTATGTTAAATTCCTATTATTATCAATTTACCATTCGTATCAGTCTATTACCTATTTATTATTCCGTGTTCGATACGTTTTTCGTAACGTTTCGTAAAGTTGCTGATATATGTATATAGGTTGTATTGTTACGGAGTTTTATAACGTAGAGTTAACAGCGTTCCTTTTACACAATTACAAGCTTTTTTACAATCCAAATATCAGACAATGAGAAAGCTGATAACGATTAATTTTGCAGACTCGCAAAATTGTGTTTATTAAGATCCTCACGGTCTAATGCTCGGAATCATATATATGTATCGTTGGTCAACTTTTGAGCTGTCTTGTCAATTTTCGAGCTAGCTCATACACGCGGCTATATTTTGTATAGGCACGTAGATATGCCTGTTATCTTTGCTAATTATTGCGTGGAAGAATACTTGAAATGTCTCTAGTTTAGTTGCCACATAACTTAGGTACACGTGTTGTGGGATGTTGAGTTTTTTATTTTTTTGCTAATGTGTGCAAAAGGTCTCGAGGAAGGAATATAACGTACTAACGTATAGTATAGGACTATAGGGCATGGGGAACAAAGTGAACGGAGAGGAGAGAAAGTGACACCAAGGTCGAATACAAGTGCACGGTACATCCCGTTCGATATAGCTTTGCACATACGTTATACGTGTATGTACATTTGGTTTGGACGACCTTCGGGTTAATGGTAAAATACGTTTCGAACCATGAGCTTCAAGTTGAGTCAATTGTTTGCTACCGTGCTGTTAAAAGAATAATATTAAAAGCGAGAGAGGAATGTTTTCCTTCAAGCTTGATATTATCTTTAGCTATTTTATCTCGATTCCTTCTCGAGTCCATTTATTTTTTTCAAGTTTCACAATTTCCGTTGCACAATTACCGTTTTGCTGTTTTGCGGTGAACGTGTTTTTGCAAGCCTAGGTTTTACCTGGTCGCCTGGTAGGAGAATGTCGGTTTCGCTTAATCAAACGCGAGATATATCGACGTACGCCAAGTGAGACCAAGATGAGAGAATGATGAGAAATTATCGAGCGTTTTATAGTTGAATAGAGCAACTTTATAACTTAATAACAGTGAGCAGAGTGACGAAAGTAGTCGGCCAATGACATAAAATTTGTCTTCGCAGCTTTGGTGAAAAGGTGAGAGATATGACGAGCCGTTTATGGAGAGCCTTGTCGCGGAGGCGCATCGAGGAGAACGAAGATACGAAAGAGGAGCGATTGGCACGAGTCCTTGGATTGTTCGACCTGACCGCGCTCGGCGTGGGGGCGACTCTCGGCCTAGGTGTCTACGTTCTCGCTGGAAGCGTCGCCAAAGAGACGGCTGGACCTGCCGTTTCCATCTCTTTCCTCATAGCCGCTGTCGCGTCTGCTTTCGCGGGTAAAATATTAATTCCTACGTGGTATTTATTACCCAATTGAGCTCCATCACCAAGTGGATTAATGTCTACTTTTATATTACATAATATTACATTGTTGCTACTTGTAGGCATGTGTTACGCGGAATTCGCGTCGAGAGTGCCGAAAGCCGGATCAGCGTACGTTTATAGTTACGTAACGGTAGGCGAGTTTATCGCTTTTGTCATAGGGTGGAACTTGATCCTGGAATATGTAATTGGTGAGCACGCGAGAGCAATCTCGCTCAGTCAGATTTAGAGAATAGCAAGGTCGCAACGTAAGGATGTTGCAGGTACAGCGAGTGTCGCTCGAGGTCTCAGCAGTTATATCGACGCGTTGATAGGAAATGTCATGGGTAACGCTCTACGCTCCCTCATGCCTATCGACGTTTCTTTCCTGTCGGAGTATCCCGACTTTTTCGCTTTCGCGATGGTCATGTTGCTAGTGATCTTACTGTGCGTGGGAGTGAAGGAGTCGTCCATCCTGAACAACGTCTTTACCGTAATAAACTTGTTAACTATCACGATCGTCATCGTCGCAGGCTCGATAAAGGGTAAGCTGACTTATATTTCAAATTAGCATATAGATATATGAGGAATAATATACGTTTACAGCGGATCCGTCCAACTGGTCGATCGCGCCCCAAGATATTCCAAATTCCGTGAAACACGGAGGGGCCGGTGGGTTCATGCCGTTCGGTGTCAACGGAGTGATGATCGGGGCGGCCAAGTGCTTTTACGGATTCGTGGGATTCGACGCGGTCGCTACCACTGGCGAGGAAGCCAAGGATCCTCAACGTCACATTCCTCTAGCGATCGCGTTATCTCTGATCGTCATATTTCTGGCGTACTTTGGAGTCTCCACGGTCTTAACGATGATGCTGCCGTATTACGCTCAGGTGAGCGAACTCTACTCGAGTTCAGAGCCCAGAGATATGAAACAAACGTCAAACGTGAAACGTCAAATATCAAATTCAAGTGAGAATTCGTCTGTAGAGTGCGGACGCGCCCTTCCCGCACGCCTTCGACGAGATCGGCTGGCCCGTCGTCAAATGGATCGTCAACATAGGCGCGATATTCGCGCTCTGCACCAGTCTCTTGGGCGCTATGTTTCCTTTACCGCGCGTACTATACGCCATGGCTAGCGACGGCATAATATTTAAGGCTCTCTCCAAAGTGCATCCTAAAACTATGACGCCTGTTTATGGCACGGTGCTCTCTGGTCTACTTAGCGGTACGTAAACGTACACTCGCGCAAGCTATACCGAACATGATACATTTCACCACCAACAACGTGTCGTTACCTCACAGGCCTCATGACACTCATCTTCAATCTGCACCAATTGATCGACATGATGTCTATCGGGACTCTACTCGCGTATACGATAGTCGCGATATGCGTCTTGATATTAAGGTAACGTCCAAACGATAAGTGTGAATCGACTACTCAAACTACTGGCTACACTGTACTCTTCAATTGTTATACCTATGTAGATATCAAAAGGAGGGAAACTCGAACAACACTCCGGCGACACTGGACGATTACCAATTTACTTTATCGCTATATAATATATTTAAGCAATTATTCAATTTGCACAATCGGAAGGAACCCACGGAACTTTCCAGCAGGATCGCAAATGTCGGCATTGTCTTGCTCTGTGAGTTTACACAAACCAAATCAACTATTATACATATTATTGCTGTTTGTATGCGCGCCCAACCAAGTCATTCACTCGAGAGTGAAATTAAAGTTTAATCGTTTCAGGTGTCGTTATATGTATCATCACATTTCTGATTAGTAACATGGGCACGCACCTGTTCGCAGGAAATGTCGCGATATCTGTCATTCTAGCTGTACTCGTGATTGTACTTTTCTTGAATTTAGCAGCGGTTGGTAGGCAACCGGTGCAGGAGGCTGCTCAATTGTCTTTCAAGGTAAAGAGGAGAAGCCCCCGTGTCTCTTCAGTCTGAGAAGAAATATGCATGTGACGAGAAAAATGTAATGCTTCTATTTCCAGGTGCCCCTTGTCCCGCTTATCCCATGTCTCAGTATTTTTATGAACGTGTATCTAATGTTCCAACTAGACGTCTTTACATGGATTAGATTCGCCACTTGGTTGCTGATCGGTAAGTTTTATCATAAAAGTGACAAGCCTGTCTATATAATATTACATTTTCATTCTTTCTAGGCTTATGCATTTATGGCTTTTATGGAATTATTCATAGTGAGCAAGGGAAAAGAGATAAGGCGGAAAACGAAAAGCTGCAACTAAAATGCGTCGAAAAGTTTAGGATAGTGGCATCATTTTGATGTCCAAATTTCTCGTCAATTATAACGTTTAACATTCGTTTTAATATTCACAAGAGTAATAATAAATTGTGCGTGCGTGTGTACATATATCCATATTTATATATACTTAAACACGCACACACATCAACAAGTCTACAATTACAGTTTTTCCACTTCAATTAACTCTTTTTATGAATTCTGAATCAATGTCTCTAGCAAGAATGAATAATTGAGCATCATTCTTTTAAGTTTTCCGATTATATTTAGACAATGATAATAATATAATATAGCCGTAGCAATAATACAACAATAATACAACAACGATGTTAGATGATAAAGACAGTTTTTATTGTGATATTTATTTATAAAATAAAATTAGGTTGCAAACTTTATATTGATAAAATAATGAACAAAATACTTTTAGGTATACAATAATGTTTTTAATACATTGGCAATGTACATATTATTCATACATCATTTTACTAAAATGTTTTACTACGTACTTTACATCTATAATTTAACCAAATATTATTTTATAATTAATTAGGTATATGTAAGAAAAAATAAAATTATTAACTATTGTCCAGCAAGTTTTATCAGTAACATATCATACACGAGTACATTGATTATAATATAGATTAGCAAAGGTAGCTCTCGAGTATCATCCAATAAATACTGTTACACTTATCGGAATGTTTACACAATCACAGAATAATACTTTTAACTTATTGTACATTTCTAAGCATTTTGTGCTGTTTCGCTAGTCATAGATGCTATTATATTTATCCGTTTGTTATTATTATCATCCTAGATGTACTAGAAAAATAACAAAATGTTTACGCAATGATATTGTTAGTTTATCGTGTAAATATACTTTGATGCAAATTGTAACTCAACAAGTAATTTAAATGATGTACATGTACGTATTTTCTTGTATATTGTATTTTTTCAACTATATAACTGTATCATCGCAACTTCTTTTTAATACCCGTTACATTGAGGAAGAAGTTTCCAATGCAATAGCGTCAAGTAATTTGCTTTATATCGTGTTATAATTATTGATTTGACTTTAGCAATATTGTAATAATTAGCATGTGCTCATATATGTGTACATGCATGACGTTACATTTTACAAGGCAATCACAACATTGTTAACTATTTTATATTATCTAGCCTATGTTTTAATATGGTTACAATCAAGATTATTTCGTTTTACTTACAAGTCCCCCAAGACTTACGTTTTGCCAGTTTGCCTGTTAGGAATAAATCGAAATTTTATTTTTCTCGCATCTAATAATATATGGATTACGAGAGAATATCGGAAGAGTAAGAAAATTTCACATTTTTTTCTAGATTAATACAACTTGCGAATAATTTGATTACAATTATTTGTCTATAGTGAGAAAGTGAGTTGACGATTTCTCACGGTTCTCATGATTTTATGCGATCAGAGATTATATTTTCCGTTTATATTTACTTGAAATCCTCAACTCGTTTAAACTTGTTTTCGCTACTCACCCCTATACCGGTTACCCATCCGGTTCCAGCTGGATTTTCCCGAGTAACGCCTATTCTTCGACAAACAATGCCGGCTCCCGAAATTGCCCAAACTTGTCCCTGCTCTCTTGAAACGGATACATGTCGGAATCCTTGCTTAGCGTTTATTACTGACATATCTACGAATGTTAACGTGCGATTTAATTTCAAATACCGAAGTGTGTGTGCGGGTGCGCACGCGAAAGAGAATCTATTTGATACCTATATGAATAGGATCGTTTGGCATAGCTGGTAATGTTTGCCAATACGTTCCCTCGGGGAAAACATTACATTGTACTTCTCGGCGTACGGACAGTCGACCAATTGTATCCAAGGCCCATACTACATCGTGTCCCACAGAAATTTGTTTCAACTGAGCGCCTGAAGGTGGTTCGACATTTTGCCATTGTACACCTAAATTTTCGACCGAAAATATCCAAGGTTTTCATTATATATGTTAAGTTTATATTATAATTTGGTCATTGTAGCTGTTGTGTATAGTTTTGTAAACTTTATACCAGTTGGTTTTGTAGCATTGATTCCTAGCCTCCAACAGGAGGAACCGTTTTTTCCAATAGCCCAAACTTGTCCACATGGACCACACGATATACTAATTAAAGGCTGGTCACTTGGTATATGTTCCCATGATACTCCCTATTTAATACATTAGAACATATCCTTTGTGCAAAGAATTGTTTATCACGCATCGTGTTTACATTATGTTACATGTACAAAAGTGCAATTTCAATAGTCGTACCATTGGACAAGATTCTGAAACGCCTCTTCTGAATAAAGCCTCTCCGTTTGCAGCAACCGCCCAGACATGAATAGGACTATCTGTGCCAGGCTTCCCAGTCGCCTGTTATAGTTAACAGAGACAAGAGAGATACAAAATATATTCTTTCCGAAATGTTTAAAGATAATATTGGTAAAAACATGTACATATAAGGAGACATCGACGAGTTTCGTATTTCCCAATTCTTGCCAAGGCCCGCTCGTCGTTAACTGACATCTTCTAAACCATCGTCGTCTTCGAACATAATCGGTAAATTGTTTCTTGCCGTGATATTGCGATGGGAAATCAGTTGCGTACTGCCACCCATCTCTATCAACGCCACCAGGTGTATGAAAGTCAACGATCCAATCCGATACCTTCGAAATATCTCGATATTTTTATTTCAATCCCAAGAATTTATCGTAATAATAAACATTATTTTTTAGTTATTTTCCATCAAAAAATTGAAGCGAGAACCGTTAGTTTCCAGAATTCTTTTAGCAAGACGAGAATTCTTATCTCGCATTCACTTACCCAATGCCAATGCATCGACAATAATTTTGTGTGTTCTCGCGTACATTTATGCCGCCCTGTCGCATCGCTCCACATATATCGGTCGGTTGGAAGTCCATGTGCGGTATATCCAGTTACTGGATTCCAACGTTGATTTTCGTACACGTAATAATTGTGGGTATCTACCATTGTATTTATTCCTGTACTGCTAGCTCCCAAGCCTGTATAATTTATTTTGCATTAACAATGTGCGCCAAATTGCAGATAATGTAATAATTCTCTATCCTTCCTTCTTGCTTTTCGTACAAATATTAAATACCTTTGAGAAACGCGCCTCCCCAACCACCTGTGTATACCCAAGCAGTACTGTCGTAACCGATGCCCCAAGTAACACCCATGGAACATGTTTCAACTTTCTTTAAATGCCCACCAATTTGTCTCCAAAACACTGTGCTAGGTTCAACAATTAGCTGTATAAAATAAAATTCATACTTTCTTCATTAATATTCTTAATTGCCGAGATGACCAATACCACGAGGTAAGAGTAAAGTAAGATAAAATGTTTCACTTACAGTTGTAGATTTATACGTGATACCGCATAGAGTTAACAATCCCTTGATACGTAAATGTGTAATACTGGTTGGAGGTATTCGATGGCTATAAAAGGTATAATCGCTATCGTTAATATAAATTCTATAACCACGTTCTTCGCAAACGATATACAACGTCAAGTCACAGCCTGCCTTCAATGGACTACCTCCATTTCTTTCCTCATCTCCCCACTGGCTATTCTGATATGTATTCCGTACAATAATATTTTCTCTGAGTCTTGGATTAAAATGCAAGGCAATGTCATGACTGTCCGTCACAGTCTTTTGTTTCACGAATGTTGTAGTGTAACAGACGAGATTAAAAGACAACCTGAAATGATAACAGCTGTAATTATCAGAGTCTGCTCGACTCTCTCTGAGATTTGTCTAATTCACCTGTCAGCGTCATCATGAATGTATACGGTAATTCTCAGAGTACTACCGTATCCAAAACCATTTTGTAATATGCTTTCAAATGGTAAATCTTTACCAGCAACATCCATTTCTTGTACGTATCCGTCTTCAGATAATTGACATTCCTATGCATAATAAAAGTAGAGTAACATAGGATTCTTTGCGATTAACGAATGTTAATTAATGCAGGCACATCTGTTTTACCTCTGCAATTGTAGAATCGAATACATATACGTCGCCTAACGCAGTAGTAGTCCAAATAGAATTCGGACCAGGTGTACCATATACATTGTTCATCTGGCAAGATACTAAACGAAATAAAACAACATCTTAAAAAATTGTCCTTCCTTTGACTCTCTTCAAGCCCTTACCCGAAGTTAAATGAGCCAACCAGTCTTCCATTTCCGTATCACTTGCAAATTGTAATCTAATTACTTTTGAACGACTTAATTTGGGAGTATGAATTGCTATCCTTGGATTACCTGGCTCACTGCAGCAAACGACACACGTAATTTCCGAGACAGGAAATTGTATCTGCAATATTATTGTCGCATTACATAACGTCTACTTAATTTCTACAGTCGTGCGTTACAAATTAAAAAATGCCTCCAATTTCGATAATCAACGTACTATGCTTGTTACGCCGTCTGAATGTAATATTATCAAGGTTCCAGAATCTAATGATCCAGTATCGCTGCTTATCCATTCCAGTTCAATCTTGCAATCTTCGTATAGGCTGCCATTTTTTATTTTACATTTAGCATCGCCACTCTTCACCCAAGATGATCTGCAACAGCACCAAAGTAAGATCTGCACACCACCAAAGTAAGAAACGTTTCATGAAATTGTTATCGATATCACTTTCACTTACTTTTCAATCGCTTTTTCATACGCTATCGAAGAATCAAATGGCATTTTATTTAATCTCACTTTTAATTCATCTAAAATGTTTATTCTCCATAATTCTCCAATTTCCCCTTGCGCTGCGCCGTTGCCATCGGCAATCCTATCCAGTGGAAAAATACAACAAATTCACAAGGTTTGCCACAATTGTCAATTAATTTCTAAATAAAATTGGACATCTTACCATTTGGGTGGATTTGTTGGATCGACAAAACATGCCCCAGCTTCTACCTTGTACCACAACACTTCACACTCGGCCACCCAATATACTATTCCTGCACTTTCATCTTCGCCGTACACTCCAGAGTCCCCAGTCAAATCTGGATCAAATACACTCCCATCTGTCTCTGGATGTGCTTCAACACCTACCATGGACCCGACGGAATGAACAGGACTCCAAGCGGCAGGATTAATCTACAAGGACAAATGATTGGCATTCAAGTAACTTTTTTTTTCCTCCTATATATTAATCGGTATCTCTCAATCTAAATTCTAAAAGCATTTTAACCTTGACAGTGCTGCCCATTCCTTTACCCGAAACAATGATCGATTCTCCACTTTTTGCTAAAGACTCGTTGGATATAGTTATACTAGCAACGCTCGCTTCGTTCAAATCACTTGTATCTACAGAGTTTGTAGATGACCTGTAACCACGGAATTGAACCATTATATTATTTTATCAAATAACGTAAACAAGGGTAAACCTTTACCTCTTTCTCTCTTCATTGAGATAGATATCTTGGAAAGACGTTTGTTGAGTATTCTTTACGGATGTGCCGTCACCAGTACGTTGCCACAATTTTAAAGACGTGGGTGTTGGCGCCGAACGTGACTGCTCTTCCCATTCTCTAATTAACATTGTACCTTCACCGGTACTATGAGGACGATTCTATAGACCGAGACAAAAGATGACTCATCAAACTTAATCTTATTATATTATACCAATGATATTCCTACCAAGGAACTCCAACTCTGATGACGTTGTTGTTGCGGTGTGCCGCAAATACTGTGTCTATTGCTAGACGACAAACTAGCGTTACTACTCGCTCTACTCAGTTGCAGCGGTGCGTTCATCAATTTCCATCGTTTCCCCGTCAACTCGGAGCGCGTGATACCAGTACGATAATATAAGCATCGATCGTCATAGCCAATAGCCCACACCTTTACGAGAGAAATTTTCAGTAAAGTTAGCGATAAAGTTGATAAACAAGTGAAAGGATTAATTAATATTGTTACTTGATCGTTTGGAGCAACGGATACTAGTGCCATTTTGCTCAACATTTCAACCCAGCCGGTACCAGTGGCCAATTGTTCGCAAACACCGCTTATCTCGCCTTGGACGCCCTTTCGAAACCATACTCCGCCGTCGTGCGTTATAGCCCACACGGCGTCGGTACCGACGCTAACTTGTACCAACCTCAAGTCTTTCTGCGGCGGTTCCACTTCTGACCAATCTTCACCTTAAAAAAACATACGGCTCATCAGACGATGTCTCAATGTAACTTTGTCTCTCGTTCATTTACCTATAGGATTGTCTCTCGTCACACCAGTGCGAACCAACGCTTTGCCTATCGTAAGTACAGCCCAAACGAGACCGGTTACTCCAACGCTAATTTGACATACTTCGTAGCCATTTGCCAACTTGATGGAGCTCCATCTTTGTCCTTCAGGACAGGTAGTACTTGTTCCAACACGAAACATGACCTGAAGAACAAACGGCATGACGCAACTTTTCAGCTATTGCAAAAACCAATGTCTAGGAAAGCTAAAAGTTATATACCCTTCCGTGAGCCGTTACCGCCCAAACTACTAAAATGCCAGAGCTACTTCCAGGCATTTGATTTCCACCCACTGCCACGTCGATAAAAGGTTCCTGAGAACGTATACGCATGTATATGTGTATTGTATCGTGAGCAATGTGAAAATTACCTTGGTTGGATCTTTATGTAGAGGCGCAATAGCACACCATGAATTCATAGCGCTATATCTCCGATAACGAACCCATTTGCGTCTTCTTACACAAGACTTCCACTGCTTCTTTGTAGTGTACGTAGCTGGAAAATCAATAGCGTATGTCCATCCCTATCAAAATATCAGATTCTCTGTGATCATAAGATTCTCTTTGGTCGTGGGCACAACTGATAACAAATCTATACATAAACAAAATCTTGTGAGAAAACACAACACACTTGTGGAGAGCACAAAAGTATGTTTAGTATACTAAAGACCTGGTGTATAATCTATTTATCATGGAATTTACTTGTGCTCTCTCTCTCTCTCTCTTTTGAACAATACACATGTTAATTTGACATAGATAGTTGGAAGATAAAAGAAATGTAACGTGGTTTTATAAGCATATTTACATCGTGATCCAAGGGTTGACCGTCCAATGTTGTTTCTATTTGCCAGTCGCCTTCCCACTGCCATGCCATCGATGGCAATTTCACCTTGTCTCTACTACGATCAACTGTGCCATCTTGATTGGAAAAGTTATATCTGTCAGTTGGGAGCAATCTTCCCGAGAAACCCTCCAAAGGCAGCCAGCGCTAATGGTGAATTGTTATTATTAGTAAGGTCGATTGATTTATTCAAAGGAGTTAATTAAGCAGTAGGTACCTCATTCTCATAAGTTTCTTCCTTGATCCTGATTGGCACGTCTAAGCCGTGAACATGAACGTAAACTTGCCGATCGCCACCAATGGCCCACATAAAGTGTGGCACAGCTGACAATTGTTTAAATTCAAGTCCTAGGTACATGAATTCACGCCACATACTTCCGGACGTTGACAATCCAAAAACACGCCCTTCATTGTTAATGGCATATAGATACGAACTTGGCATTTTAAATTTCTGTTATACATAGATACATCTGTAAAGAAATATTTCAATTGTCGCGTAGAGACTAGTCTCTCTCTAGCTCTTTACGAAGGTACTCCTAATCACTTGGATAAAATGATTTTCTTCTCTTCGGTCGTAGAGCCTGATTAATAGACACACTTTGATTCACTTGGATCAACTTGGATTAATAAATCTCCTCGTCGTAGGCGTTCGTCTGGACATGAAACATGATTGAGAAAAATGTCAAACGTCAAACGTTAGGAGCCGAGACTAGATAGAATAGAGATAAGGCTACGACCATGGTGGAAGGGATAACTCCTTCCACCATGAGTCCGCCCCAGCGCCCACCTAACCTAACCAGCGCCCACTGGTCGACACCCATCGTTGGACATTTTCGACGCGATTGAACGAGCTGGCACAGCTGATGGAATGGGACCTCCACCCGTAGTCACCGGAATATCACCCAAGGAAGGCCCACCTGGCACTCGAGTGATAGTGCGCGGCGAATTTTTAGGAAATAAGGCTCAGGACCTTGTAGGTTAGCCAAGTTGTCCAATTTTACATAGGAAAGCATGCATCTTTCACCTAAACAATAAGCTCATGTGTCGCTTCACAGGACTGACAATATGCGGATGCGACTGCCTGCTCTCGGCCGAATGGAAGTCGTCCAACAAAATTATTGCGAGATCGGGGCCTTGCAAAGGCCGCGGGGATATAATAGTGACAACCCGGAGCGGAGGACAGGGGACTTCGACGGTACAGTTTCGCGGTTACCACGAGACTATAGGCCCGATGAAGGAGTCGGCAGTCTGGGTAGAGGAAGCACCTATGCAGAGTTTAGGCTGGGGTAGAAGGGCTTTGTCACCTACCAACTATCAACAGGAAGATCCTCTAGGACTCAGCGTCGAGGGCAACGAGTAAATTCTACATTTTACATTCTCTACTTTCTCTACTTTCCCTACTTTCCAACCAGACTGGATTGATTCTCTTTTTAAGCAAAAAGTTCCCCGAGGACGAGCTGATTGAACTCTTTGGAGACGGAAGTGGGGACCTCACCAGCGAAAAGTTTCATCCAGGATGGTTTTTATTGCAGCACCATCACGCCACGACTCTGGAGGACTTGAAGGCTGGCTTGGCTTACCTCCGAAGAAAAGTCAACTCGCAGAAGGAAGGGCAATTGTCATTTTTAAAGGTGAATATATCAATCACGTAATAGCCGTTACAACGTTACGACTCACTGTGATACTTGATAAGGCCAATGTCGGAGCGGTAATGGAACAACTTGACACAATAACGTCGCTAAAGGATCAATTTGAAGCAGATATCAAGAGCTATGGTAGCGATCCTACGGAGAAATTGGAGACAGCCATCAGGCAGTCCATGTCCGAGGCTAATAAATTATTTGACGACGTACTGGCCAGGAGGGACAGAGCTGACGCGACCCGTAACGCACTGGCTGTTATGCAACGTTACAAATTTCTCTTTTCTATGCCGATTAACATCGAGAGGAATATTAAGCGTAGCAATTATGATCTCGTAATTAACGACTATGCCAGAGTGAAGAATCTCTTTAAGAATACCGAGGTAGATGTCTTTAAAAGGGTATTGGAGGAAATTGACAGTAGAATCCATCATTTTAAAGTGTTGCTACGGACAAAATTACAAGAGATGCCGTTCAGTTTGGAGGAGCGCAAGAAGATTATTCGAAACCTCGTCAATCTCGACGCCGAAGGTGATCCGGCTTGGGACGCGATAGGTGTGTGTGTGTGCCGTCTACGAATACTTCAACATCGTTCCAAGTCTTACCATGTTTGTATATACATTTCAGTTTCGCACGCAAATTATTTAGAGAAAAGCGTCGCCAATGCTGTGTGTGAGCATTCGCGCTCGCAAAAGACTAACGGGGATAACTCACCGCCGCAAATCTTGTGCGTTGAAGTAATTTGCGATATCGTGGTCGAACAGTTGCCAGATCTATGGAGATTGGGACAAAGTTATTTCACAGGGCAGCTACATGTAGCGGTAGACGTGGAAAAGCAAAGTCATTTTAAAGTGTGTACTCTTAAGCTCCATCTTTTTTACCTAGCTTTCGTAGAGAACGCTTTCGATGAATCTATGAGTCTTGTAAATATCTAACGTATCGTCGTATGTGTGTCATTGTCCACGATAGAATTTAGTTTTATCGAGTATGCAAGATGCCATGGGAGCTATCAAGAATTTGTGCAGTCCCGATATAGAGGCAAAGTGGCTCTTACATATTTTACGTTGCGTTAGACAAATGTACGCATCTCTGATCCATCTGGATTTGCCTAGCGAAGCTCTCGACATTTTTGGATCGTTTATATTGGATCTAAGGTATGTCTACTACATTCAATGGTGAATCACCTTTATTACATCGTATCAATATCAATTAAATAATAGGATACAGTGCTTGCGTGCTCTCTTCAAACAAGGAGCGGACAACACGGCAGCACTGAGTCGAAGGGAAACATGGCAGATAGAATACCTGAACGAGGATGGTGGCGTTACGAGACTGGTATATACAATACAAAAATTGCAATTTTATTATGGATCTTGCTCACTTACGTACGTATTTCGTGCCGACAGCCGTACCTGTTTGAGGAAGTAGTTTTGGCGACCTCGAAACATGCGCGAGAAACGGTAGTTGCTTGCGGTCCGAGAGAAGGACCTCTCTTCGATAATCCGGATCATCAGGCTCTCTATCACAATACCATCAAGACATTATTCGTATCGTTCGCACGGTGTCTACAACAATTGGCGTTTAGCGGCTGCGAGGAAGCTATGGATAACGACGAACCGCCAGTTTCGCAATTGATTGGCTCACCTTCTGGCTACAAAAACAAAACCAACAGGCATCAAGGGCCAGTAAGCGATCAATTCAGAGCTTCCATGCGCTTATACAGTTAACACAGTAATACAGTAGTCTGTACAATAGTCTGTATAAATTTCTTATCAGACATGGGAGCAGTGTCTGTTAATCTCGTTGAGCAATATACGGTACACGCTAAATATCGTTCTACCAAGAATCGGAGATGCTCTCAAGGCACAAGGCTACCCAGAATTATCCACCGCGGTCGGCTGGAACTCTGATTGGACACAATTGGAGACGCTGGATATCGCCGTTCTGGACGCGTATCTAGAACGCCGTTGCGATCCACTCGTCGGTACGATAGAGCCTAGTATGTATTTAGGCGGTTTGGAATGGGACTTTGATACGGAACCGACCCATCTCAAGCCGTACGCCCAAGAAATATTGGCCAATCTAATTGCGGTACACGCAGAGGTAATGATCCAGTAGCATGGCAGCACACTCTTGGCTCTCTATCTCTATTGTTTGCTATGTCTCTCGCAGGTACGCCGAGTCGCACCAGCTCTGTTACAACGGATTCTGTCCCACATTATAGAGACCATAGCGGAGGAACTTGCGCGTCTCATGTCGTGCGTTACGCAATTTCGTCCGGCTGGAATTGTTCAAGCACGAACGGATATAATACTCTTGAGAAACGCCCTGCAAGCTTACAGCACAGGCAGAGCTAGGTAAAAGTTGATAAAAGATATGGAAAAATTGAGTATCGTTTCGTTGAACCTGTTGCAATTTCAATTCATCTCTCTCTCTCTCTTTCAAGCAGAAGCTTTTTCGAGGAAGCTCTAGACGCTATACCTCAGCCCGTCACCAAGGAAGATCGCATGAGGATAGATGCTCTTTTGTCAAAAGTCACAACTTGCATGCGACTGCAGCTGTCGTGTCTTGCCAGTGAGGCAATGGAAAATGTTCGTTATTTAACAGCAGATCCCGAACGCGTTACCACTGTGTGATTCATATCGACAAAGTGCGTAATAACTACGGGGACGTTGTAATTGAAAACAAATTCCATCATGTTTATGTATGTACATTGCGGTAGATTATTGTACAATGGATGTGGAATATCGAATCACCGACAAGCTCGCAAAACTTCCGTTTAATTGCAGCCATAATGACCATTGCAAAATAGACTTTCATTCGCTAATATGTTTTATTTTCTCGCCTTTTTATAAAAATCATTTGCAATTACAATGCAATAACGAAATCTGTCTCCATCGCCTTTATCGAGTTGAGTAGTTGAGCTTTTACAGCAATTCTAATGTGCCAATGTCTGCGGCTAGCAACACTTTGTCACCTGAAACGGAAGAACGCTTTATTGTGAAAACAAAAAGATTAGCGGTAATAAAAGAAATCTCAGATGGCGTAAATGTTTTTATACGGCGCAATATGAGAAACCTCACCCGTTCGAAAAGCTTGACTAGCGCCTTTAGCATTAACGATGCAAGGTAGACCGTATTCTCTCGCTACAACGGCGCCATGACTTATAAGGCCACCCAACTCCGTTACAATTCCACCTAATAACGGGAAATATGGACTCCAACCAATATCGGTGCAATATGTTATCAAAATATCTCCATGCTGTATAGTTTTCGCTTCGGACAAGTCGGTTATCACACACGCTCTGCCTTTCACAGAACCGCCGCAAACTGAAGTACCTTCGATCTTTATCTTCGTACATCTGCCTTTGGGCGAGACGTCGAGAGTCTTCTGTGATAAAGAGTAAATCTCAGGGATAGAGACATGAAAAGGTTAATGGAACTAACTGGATATAGAAATTGAAAAAAAAATGATGAAACTTTTCTAGCTAATAGAGTAGACGAAGGTACAAGCGACTCGACTCTACATTTACAACAAACCTGTATTGGCACGGGCATGCCGATACTGAATTCCGGATACTCGAGTTTTCCCAATTGCTGATAAATCCTTCTTCTACGTAGTGCTCTGAAAGATTTCAAATCGGATCGTATAACAAGTGTTGCGACACAGAGGAAGAATACAAACTAATGGAAAATTATAATGAATATTACTTTCGTACGAGTGTCGGATTATGATTCTTCAAGAGTTGCCCGATCTCTGGATGCGTCAGGAAAAATATGAGTTGTTCATCAGGTATGTAACTCTCCGCAACCATCAAAGCACCAAGTCGTCTGTAGGCTAATCTCAGTGTATGCACAGCAGATATAGTTACGTTCTTTGTCATTTCTCTCAATGTGACAGCCTTACGACACAAGGGTATTACTTTTCGCAGAAGCAGCTTCAAAAACGATGATATGGGCGTCTTCAAAGATGCTATGGTTTCCTGCACGCTTAGCGTTTTACTCACGTAATTCCCTTCGATGGACGTTGCTAGTGCCTGAAGGAAAAAAAATATATATATGTACAATAGGGAACATGTAAATATATATAAACCACAACGTTGTTACCATTTAAAACGGTAAGTTTTAATGCTCTTTGTAAATAATTGTTTTATTACCATACCTGAATCGTATTGATGATACTATCGGGTTTAAGCACCCAAGGCTCCATGAAGAAATCTAATTCCTGAACACATCTGTGACCGTGCGTGTCGAGAAAAGCTTGTAGTTTTTCCATGGCTGGAGGACAATTTAATTTCAACCAGTCCATAGCATTCGCGGTCTCGACTCTACCAAACTCATCAGCTTTGCCGTTCTTTTTTATGCATAGCGCTATTTTGCCGAGGGCTATCGGCACTTCGGTACTGATAACGTTGACGCACGAACTCAGCAGGACGGCAATGTCCGCAAGATGATGGGACGTAAACTCCTCGTTTCCGCTTGTTAAAAGCGACATTGCCATCATCTGGTAGGATACGCTCACCAGGGACGCCATGTTGTGGCCTCTTCCTAACTGGGATACACGAATGTCATGAACTTGATGATGTTAATTAAGTTAGGGCGTAGTTGAATAATGTTCACTTGGACTTTTGGACATTCGTGACAACTTACTAGGAAGATCTCCCCATACTTGTTATTTAAGCTGTTGTACAAATCGTGAGGTGTGTCAAATTCGTTAGCGTTCAGAACATATTTGTTAAATATATCGAGTGTTCTTTTCACCGTTGCGTCATTTATCCAGGCAAATTTGAACGTTTCGTATAACATGTATATGCTCTGCCATTTGCTCATGATACCATACTTTTCTATCGCTGTCTTGTGCATTTTGGGTGTCGTTACTACACGTCCACATATGGCTAGATCTAGCATTTTGTTCGCCATTGTTATCTCCTTACTAACATTTTGTAAGGCTGCCTGAGAAGAAAGAGTAGAAAGAGAGATATCACGTAAACAAGAGACGCTGAAAGAGGTCCAAGTCCATTGAATTATACTTACATCCAAGTAATTTATCGCGCACCTCATACCGACCATATGAAGGTAATTACAATCCAACTTGTTAAATTTCGCAGCAAGCGACAGATTCAACACTTTCATCACCGTGGAGCTCGACAGAGGAGTAATGGGATATGGCAGCACCTCCCCGACGTTGGCAAAGGACATAAAATCGACGTCACAAGGTACTCCCGAGTCTAACTCGTGCATTATCTCGAAATCGGTCCATGCGCTCAGGGTTGTGATAGGCCGTGCTTGCAACAGATAGATCCGCTCGCCGATTACCGCCCATTCCACATCTCGAGCAGACCCAAAGAGCGATTCCAAATCCAACCCTATTTTAGCTAATCGCAGAGCGATTGTATCGGATATCGAAATTCTCTTGGTCTCCCGTTCACCTAGAGCGCTCGTAGTTACTCCATCGTCGCCGAGCGAGATCTTTTGCCCCTTATTTCCCACCACGCACGCATCTACGCTCAAGGTGTTGTCCCACTTTCTACGAATCGTCAAAGTATCAGGCTCGACTTTTCCTGACACTACCGACTGTAAAAGTAGAGAAAAGATGTTACACGGGGACAAGTGTGTGCGAAATGTAATTACGAAAAACTGTTGAAATAGTTTTGTAAGCCGCTATTATATCCTACAAAGTGGTACGGTATTTCTAGTGACCTCTCCTAAACCGTAATTGGCCGTAATGACAATGCTGGACGGATCTCCGGTCGTGGGGTGTCTAGTGAACATTACGCCAGCCGCTTCTGCGTCGACCATTCTCTGAATGCAAACACCCATCGTTGCTTTAATCGGTAGTCCACTCTGCCGTCTGCAATCGATCAAAAATATCATACGAATGGTAGAGATTCAACACGACGTTGCAAACGAGTTTAGATACCTGTACGCGACGCTTTGATACGAGAACAGGCTTGCCCAGCATTTAGCGACGCATCTAATAACGTCATTCGCATCCTTTACACCTAAATAGGTCGAGTTTTGACCAGCAGCTGAAGTCTCCTCGCTGTCTTCTCCAATCGCGCTCGATCTTACGGCGTAACGTCGGACATGCGTATCTCTTTCACTCGCAGACGAATCTAATTCCTTCAAACTCTGTAATATCGCTTTTGCAATTTCCTCTTCGACAGGGGTACTCTGAATAATAGACACCGCCCTGAGAAACGAGAGTTTGGCTTATCAATCATTTGACAATTTTCTCTTTTTCTCTTTCTTTTTTTTACGAGATGTTACTACCTTTGGCAGCAGCTTTCGAGACCCTCCTTCTCCTTGCAACGGCTAATATCTATAACGTCGGTGATCAAGTTTTGCAGATGTTCGTGATGTTGCAATTGTCGTTCCAGGGCGAGGCTCGTTACGCAGAAGCCTCTCGGTACCGCAAACTCATCGGTGACAATAGACGTCAGAGTCGCGAGAGAATATCCCTTTCCTCCGACGACGCCTTCATTTTGACACTGTTTGTCAGCAAAGTGTAGAATGTATTTATCTTTTTGGGCAAACGTATCGGGTCGCGTGATATGTTGAATTTTTGCATTTCCAAGTTTGGTGCTTGCTTGCCTCGAGCCGATATACGGGTAGCACGTAATCATCAATCCAAAACCTGTACATTTGAGAGACGTTCACGACTGAATTACTGGCGAGTCGTTAGGCCAACGTACCTGTGCTGCCGTTCAGTTGTACACGCAAATTACGTGTGGTACAAGTCCAGGTAGACAATGGCTGACCATTGTAACAAGTTATTGCCTTGCTCGAGTAATCGATAACGGAGCTGTATTGCTTTCCAGCCGCTGAGAAATGATAAACAACAGCGAATGTTATGCGAATGTCAACAACATACTCGTCTCGTGCCGTCAGCATAAGAACCTGCAAATGCAATCTCGTGATGCTCTCTCCCCGTGGGAGCCGTATCCCCTGTTTCGAAGTCGCTCAGTTTCAGGTCGGTCCAATCGATTCCGGTTATTGTCCCTCCGACTTGCTCGAGATGTCCAAATTGCATGCTGCATCGAAATTTCGTTTCACGATTGATTGAAGAAAACAAATATATACATCGTTACTTGTACAAAACTCCCCATGTGACGCCTTGTAATACTTATCGTAATACTTGGAGGAGGCTAAATGGGTGTTTAAATACTAAGACGTTAGAGTTTTATCAAACGTAACGCGGCGATATCTTATCTCGCCATGTTGTCAGAATATATTACTATATTGTTTGTCTTACTGTGAAAAGCTATGCTTGGTACTGCTCGCACCAAGATAATACATCGCTCCATGTCGTGTCACGCCATAAAATGTGACAGTTCGATGAAATTGATAAGATTCGCGTTTACCCCATCGTCGCTGGCAAAGTCCTCGTAAATAAAATGCACTCGGACTTGAATCTTTCAACGTTATCTGCCCGATAATGGATCCCCATAGATCGAAACCGGTGTAATCTATTGATTTACTGCAATGTCGAACAGAATGAGAGAAAGAAAGCTTAGACCTAAGGTAAGTTGAAACATGGCTACATTGATTCTTGTTAACTTTTACATTTTGTGCATCCAATCAGGACTCTTCCATGGGTCTCGTGCCAAAGCATCCGCGTGCAAACAAGTACTCCAGTCGCCTGGCCATTCCAACGCTCGAGGCTTGCCGACAAAGCTGCAAAATCAGTTATCAATCGAGCCACCAATTACGCACCTCTTTTCACATTTTCGCCACTCTTAATTTACTCACACAAAATTTAGACGAATATGTTCCACATTGTCGTTATCGGATATGTCACCTCGGCATTGATTTCGGAGGAAGCCATTGTATGTGATTCTCCAACGTTGTCGCGGTTCCAACGACTCGATCTTTAGGCCCGATGCTGACCACTTTTGGCCTGTACTCTCCGTCGTAACTGTATCGGGATAATCTGCGCATTCGAAACGCACTCATTAGCGAGTGCAGTATATTTTGCGTTACGTGCATTATTTGTGTCGAGTGAATTTTACCGGGTAGCACGTAGACTCGGCCGTCCGATAGGGTCACTTGCAACATCAGTTCTACCGTATGATATCCTCTGTGGTCCATTTTAACAAACAGCGAATTGCCATTTTGGTCAGTACCATAGAAGGATATGTTATCGCAGCTCTGCGTCATACACAAGTGTGTTTGGACATTCATTTCTATTCTATTCATCTACTCGTAAATATTGCCTTACTTACGTTCTCGTCCATAATAATTTTTGGATTATCCGAGCGTGGTTTCAAAATCTTCTTTATATTATACATCGGGTCGCTGACTTTCAGTTTACTTTTCTCTGCTTTCTTCTCCTTCGAGATGCACAAAAGAGCCCACCATCGCTTTAGGAAAAACTGTACATCTGTCGGAACACATTAATGCATCATTTCACCAAGTCGGTTCAGAGTAAGCTTTTATATATCATTCTGATTCTGATACAAAATAAGGAAAGACCAAGTTATATAACTTATTTGCCTTGACCGTCTTACCTAAACCCAGGTAATGCGAGAGCTGCTTTTTTATGAACCAGAGATAAATCCATATAGAAAGAATTATTGGGATCATAATTTGTATCACACACATAATGTACGCCATTATTTATCCTGTATACAACGTGGCACAAGTATTGCAGTTTGCAATATGAATTTTCCGTTTACGCTGCAAAGAATATATATATACATATATACATACATACGTATGTACGTACGTACGCACTCACACGTGCGCGCACGCACGCACGCACACGTTACACACATGTGTGTATATACGCGCTACCATTTATGTAGGGAGAAGACTTCTCCCCAACTGTTTCTCTCCTATTATATCAGTGGATATCGAAACACTGACGTGTTATCGCGTTAGATTCGATTTAAATGATTCAAGGTCTCTCGTTATCAAGCTACACAGTCAAAGTATTTTCTTACGCACGTATCAAATGCAATCGTACCTAGAAGTAGCCTGATGACATATTACACCTGCAAATGAGGGTCCGAACAAGGAATGTGCCGTTATTTCATTTTTTCCTGCTGCGTTTGTCATATTTCTCTCTACGAGTCCTTTGTCACACTCTGGTAGTTGAGCGCGTCGCACGCCGAGAACATTATAGATAATATTATCGCATCGATTACAAGTTTATTGCAAAGTCAGTGTTCGATTATTAAAAAAAAAACCCGAAAAGACTTAAAAATTACAACGGTGCTCTCTAGGTGATTAAAAAAGTTGACAAGATTTTTTGTAACAATTGTATATATGTATATGCGTGTATTGGGTAAATTTTCACATTAGCGATATAAATACTGTTTGTCAGCACGTAATAACGTTTCAACATGCTATTACGACAGTTTCTAGATAACAAAGACAAACAATAACAGTAAACAATAAAATTCTTAATTTGTTTTTTTGTTTGTATTGTTGCCGAAATCAACAGCTTCTTCTGTAATTGTATCGGTATCCATACGTGACTTATCCACCGGGTATAACCTGCGGGCAGTGTTGACAAACGTTTTCTTTTTACGTTCTAAAATATTCCATGACGGACGTAACGCGAATGCGCCGAATACCACTGAACGAGTAAGCAGTTTTCAAACGAGATGGGTTTAGTTTAGGCCCTTCCAAGAACTGGTGACGTGGTAGCTTTGCTTCCAGTTACGATGATCGGATAGAAATAATAAAAAGGGGGGGGGGGAATTCCGTTAAAAGAAGGAACCGTTTGAGAGTTGTGCAGTTTGGTACATCTATTCACAAGTTAATCTCGAATGGGGATATTTCAGTGGCACTCGGCACGAATTTCGAGTTGAACGAACGATAATCTCTCTTACCATCGTTGATATAGATAAATGAGAAAAACGGCGTCATCTCTGAAACACGCTATTCTGTGCGCAGTCGGCATTGTTATAATGAAAGCAAACACATCGTCGATGAATGTGTTAAAAGCTTTGTACATGAACGCTCTCCATGGCAGATGCGCGACGGACTTCAATTTGTAGTTAACAAACAACTGCGGCAGCATAAAAAGGAATCCAAATGCGTAAACTCCATTCACTAAAGAATTTATGCTCCAAGAATACCAGCTGTAAAATGAAAACAATTTGGTTGACTCGATATGTGTCCGAGAGAAAAGTGTTTTACCTTTTATGCGGCTGATACAATAACGAGTAGATTGCACCAATGATAACTAGTGGATACAACAAATAACTTAGATAACGCATACTCTCGGCATCAAACTCTCTAGTTTTCATCTCTGCTGCATCAATGCCATCGGTTTTAAACTTAATTCTTGGCAAGATGCTACCACTGCTGATCAATTGGACTCTCGACATTTTTTTAAATTTCCACAGCTGTCGGCAAGAAAATGTATTCCGCTCGCAATTATTCGGCAAATGTAACAAGAGTAAACATGTTGCACAAGACACACCTCGATAACAGTGCTGATACCGGTCGGAATGAGAACGAGTAAGGAAGAACCTTCATCGCAGAGATAAAGGAAAATGACCGACTGACTGAACGCTCGCCATATGACGGTCCATTTGCTCAGGCCTATGAGATTACTCTTCTTCCGCCAAAAGCTGACATCATTTTTAATAGCGAGAAAATCAAACAACAACTGCAACAGGGAAGATTGGCGCCGTTTCTCTCCTCTCTTTCAGCTTGCGTAAGATCTGTACTTGTACTCACGTGTACAGCCGCGATGAAGAATGTACCAGCCAGTAGGTAGATGTTGGTGTCGGCAAAGATGCCCTTTACTTCATCGATATCCTTGTCGGAGAAGCCGAGATTCTTTAGATTCTCCATGGTTGCCTGCACGTGCAGCACCAATCTCAACTTTCCTAGAGACACGGGCGAATATTCTACCGCGACGTTCATCGTGTAATTTTGCGGGGTGATCCGCTTGAGGTCTCGATGCCGCGTTTGTAAGAAATCGCAATTAACAATCGGCAAGAACGCCCGTTTGCCAATTATTCTGCAACAAACAAGCGAGGTGGCACATTGTTGACACACCATACGCTACTCCGCCCTACTTTGAGTTACTTTGTGCGCTAAACATTTGTATACTTTATATGGTTTACGAGCTCGGCGGGTACACCGTATATAGGAAGCGTTACGTTGTCCGTCATTATTGTAAAAGTCACGCGACTTTTCATATGCGAGAGTGGACGTATGGCCACCTGGCCATTAACTTTCTTCGCACCTTGGCTCTTGTCGTCCAACAACTTGAATGCTTCTGCCTCAGGTACTGTGTATTGTGTCATTTTAATGGCGGTATATGAGGTAAATATATCCTATAAAGAGATGGAATATTGCGTGTAATACAGAACAGATAGGAGCGTCGAGCAAAAGTGTCGCATTACTTTTTGTAAATCAACAAACGTCCTGTCCCGTTTCACTGATGGAGGCGTCAGTAATATGTGCAAGAATAACGTTCCATTTCGGCGTGTCTCAGCTGGCACAGTGAGTATTACTGGACTGCAACAAAGTACATTCGTTAGATCCTTAGTATCCTGCTCCGCAGAGCAGATGACAGCAAGAGATGCTCACATGATTTGCGTTTGATCGTAATCAAAGTTTTGCGTCGAGTAGACGAGATTGGTGTCTCTGCTGGCGGGACTTCTCCTGACAGAGCTGTACATGTACAGATCCAACCTTGGCCGTTCGCTCAGGTATGACTCGAGGCACGGCTTGCCATCTTCGCAGGCCGGCGACACAAAGAGCAGAGACAGGGTGTATATCGAGTAGACGATATACGCGAGAAATATCTCGGAAAGAATAACGCTGAACGAGGGCCACTGCATCTCGATGGGCTATGGGTATCCACGTTGATCCACGTGTACTAGAAAAGACATTACAACATTATGTGCGTTTGAGTTTAGCAGCGTGGTCTACGAGAAATGCAGTACTCGGCTACCTGCGGCTACCACCGGTACTGACCAGTTCATTCACCACCAGTGGCACCAGTGGTACCGGAGTCCCACCTGATCCCACCAATGATTTTCATACAGAGTACCAGCACTAACAGTTACCGCGCGCACTATGTCACCGACAGTTCATTGGCCCGCTACGTGCTTGCACTTACGTGTATGTATACATACTCATACCCTTTAATCGGAGGAACCGGAGTCTCGCTCATAGACATATTATATACCTAGACCGAGCGTATGCCTTCATTTCAGCAGACAAACTCTGTTTCGTCAACAAGAGAGAACGAAATGGCACAAAGCAGAGTTCTACCCTCTGCCTAAAGACCCTCGGTCTAAATATATTATATATATCCCCTGGTCTACAATCTTACTTAAAATAAGAGCTGTGCAATAAATGTATGTGATTGGTCAATTTCTTACAGCTTACTTAAAGCAACTTTGTGGACCAGGGACATAAGGAAGCGCCCTGTGATTGGCCCGCCATTTTTCGTCAATTCGCGCCAGTTTTCTAAAGCGGTAATTACTTGGAAAATTAAACCCATTCAACGCGTTTTTTGCACAAACAAATAGAAAAAAGTGTCGGTATGACTAACTTTACCGGTGATATGACCATACGGAACAATAGTAAAGCAATTATATCGAAGGAGTAATTTTGAGTCAGCTAAATGATTTTGCGTACGACGTGACAGCTATTGCTTCACTGAGCGCCGTAGAAATGACGTAGCGCCATAGACCGAGATGTCGAGATGAATGTTTTACGCGTAATTTGAAGTAGAAATGCGACAAGGGAATTATTTCCATTTCGATAATCCACGGGCGATACCTTTCTTCAATTCGATCAAACTTGGAATAAATCTCTCTCACGTCGTGCTGAACAAATTTCTCGAGTTTAATCGTTGGAATTTACCGAGCGCTCAACTAATCAGCGATCGTCTCCTACGAGAGTTATTAACATTTATCAATCACGTTTAATTAATTGTCGCGATCCGTAATCTTGTTGATTTCTGCGGTGATTTGTCGTGACTTAAAGTAGAAGTGCGATAAATAGGTTGAACGTTAATACCTCTTTAACGATCGATCTCGGATGAATCTCTCTCACGTCGTGCTTTAATAGGTTTTTTTCACTTTGAAATTAAAAGCTCAAAGTAATGCACGAATCACTGGGTAAAATGACAAGGAAAAATTATAACGTATCGATCGCTTGCCGAGAAATAATATACAATTATGGACCAAATTTCGTGGAATATTAAAAATTTATCGTCAAAGTAGCGAGCAATGTAGAAAGAACTGTCGATATCGAATATCTCGACAATTGAACACGTAAGGCTTTTGTTATGTCTGCGTTTTTCCGTTTCCTTCCGAATGATTTCTCGTGGTTGACTTGTGGGTGAAAACTTGAGAAGGGGTGAGCTAAGCACACCCCTGCAGCTGGAACGCGTGCGCGACTCGACATTGGAGCACGCGAGTAGGACGTGAGTCGTCGTGGTGCGTGCCACGGACGGAGAGGTCAGAGAGAGTGCGTCTCCTTACAGGAGTACAGCTGGCGCGGGTCGTGGGTCAAGATGTAAGCCGTCAAGGCGCGAGGGTGTCGCGCTAGAAAAGAGCGGGCCCAGGCCGAGAGAGCGAGTGAGAGGGGAGGAAGGCTAGGGAAGGGAAGGGAAGGAGGGGGGGAGAGAGAGAGAGAGAGAGAGAGAGAGAGAGAGAATCAGACCTGGCACACACGAGGGGAGAATATAGAAATGGAGTAGCTGGAAAAGGGGATCGATCGGTTGGCCGATAACTGCACGGCAATGGAGGACAGGATCAGACTGGGGTAAGTACTGTATCGCTCGGAATTTAGTCGAGAGAGTCGCGCGACCGGGCACGTACGTTACGTACGTACATGCGTGTGCTCGACCGAGGAGGAGCGCGAGTGCGCTCTCGCCGAGGCTGAGGAGAGGAAAGTAGGGCGTCGGGGGTGGTTGGTGGCATGTCGGGGAGGGCGGTCGCGCACGAGTCGCGGGGTTGTCCCGCTTTTTCGCCGTTTTCACCTCGTCGCTTCCGGATACGTCAACGGGAAGCAAGCTTCTCTTCGAAGATGACTTGGCGAGGATTTGAGCGCGACGACACGGCACGCGCGTCGACGAGTGCAGCGAGAAATCGGCCAAGAGGACGGTGAATGTCTGGTGTGGGTGCTGGTGCTGGTACTGGTGTCTCTTTAGTGCGTAACGCGATAATCGCCAATGGTGACAATAAGGAGACGGCATCTATATACCAACTCTGATGAGTTTTCTCCTATGAGTGTGACATAACGATCGTGTGAGAAACTTAATTTCGACGAGTCGATTCGCCGCTACCACCGTTACCGCTGTTGCTGCCATGCGATAAACGGTTTTACACGTTTCTCTTTTTCTCTCTGTCTCTTTCTCTTCCTCTTTCTCTTTCTCTTTCTCGCGTGCTTCCGTATCACTATCGCAAATAAACGTAAAGATTTCGCTACCCACTGTCAAGGATTTCGAAATACGCTTTTTTCTCTGACTTTCTTCTCTGACTTTCTTTCGATTTTTTGCCAAGGACAGCGCAAAGATATCCCTTCATTGATCCCTTCACTCTAAAATATGAAATAATTATGTTTACCTGTGCAAATAGTATGTGAAAGTAGCGTGGAAAGTAGACGGAAAATAAAATAACGGAGATGGAGTTGCACTCACTTGCGTATTTCTCTTCATTTAAGTAGTTATATTGTCTCGTGTAATCGATCATTAGCGAGACGTAGAAATGATCGCGTGTATTCACGTTTACCAATTGAACTCGCTCATTGTTAGTATATATTTGCCACGAAGGGATGAACCTCACGGCTGTCACCGAATTTATTACACTATAGATACACGCTATGGATAGAAGAGAGATTACCTTTGCCTGCTTACAAGAAAATAATTAAAACGCCATTGCTTTTCTACCTTTTCTACAAGCTTGCTAATCAGTACCGCGGTGCACTGACAAGTACCTTTATTTTCACCTTTCGGTACTATGATAAATCGTGTCGAAATCTGTCGCTGGCTGTGGCTATAGATCGACGAATGCTCGACAGAATGCTCTTTACTAAATTTCACCAGTATTCTATTTTCTTGGCGAAATAAAAGCCACAAACGAGAGATGGATATTTCGCAACTTTGTGACTTGTATGCAAATTGCAAAGATACATCTTCCTCGGGAATGTCCTAAGGAAAATCTTGATGCGTAGACTCGCATTTGCGCTTCGAAGGTGATGCGCTATTAATAGAAGAGCCTTGTTAGCGGCTGCACAACATAGGCGCCTGTATACCTGTTCCGCTACTAGATGCATCAGGTACAAGAGCTACGTCACAATATCACATTATAAGATGCCATTCGATCCGCGAACCTATATCAACTGTTCTAAATTCATCGTGGATTCGCCCATTCGACCACAATCTCTATCTTCGATTTTAACTGTGCGAAAATCTCACAGCACTACAACAAACTAAACTATTTGCTTTTTCTTTTTACCAATAGAGCTTATTGTTAGTTATCAAGGATTAACAATATCTCGCAGCAAGCTTTATTTATTTATTTATTTACATTGATTATTACATGTATATCTATTATAATCGAATGATGAGTAAAATTGTCCATTTCTCCATGGTGGCTCGATTATTACGCCTTCGATTGATATTCCTTTCCTCGGTCAAATCCTCAACTGACTTGGAACGTGCAGATAAACGATCAAATAAGTAGTGTTAATTTATTGTTAGTAGTGATAGTTATTTGTATGCGTATTAATAATACGGCAACACGTGAGAATCTCCTTGTCCACCCGGCCGGTGTAATTTCGCGCTCGGTTTGACTTAAGGACAACCAACCAGCCAGCCAGCCAACCAGCCAGCCAGCCAGCCAGCCAGCCAGCCAGTCAACGGTCATGCACGTGCACATGCACACGCACGCACACGTCAACGACGATCCGGCAAACTTGCCGTAACGATCGATCTTTCTGAAGACAGGCTGTGTTTGCTGAGAGTTTTTCGGCCGGCTGATCCGTTCCGATCGATTCAAACGGATTACTTAACGCTTTTCAGAATTTGCGCACCGCAAAACATATATTTCTTCTCTGATGATTACAAAAGTGGCCCGAATTACGAATATGTATGGCAGGCATCGAAAGTGTTATAATTTCCATTTGTCGAGATGATAAAGATTCATCCTACAGACGCCAAGATCTCTCAACTTTTAAACTTATTACTCTTAATAACGACTCGGTTTTCGTTCATCAAAATTCAATTTCTCCGCTGAAGACAAATTCTTCATTTCCGTTGTCAGACATTTTCATTGTCGCGTTAGTACGAGTGACCATTCAACTATTGATATTTTCGCCTCTCAGATCTGCTCTGGTGGATTTATCTATGTGAAATTTTGCAGAAATTACAAATAAAGAAAAGTGTGCATGGAGCTTGTTTCGAATCATTTTTGATTTTTTCTCGCATCCCTTCTGGCTGAAATGTACCAAATTTAAGATAAACGAATTGCTTTATGTCAGCGCTAAAATAGCTTTTAAGAGAATAATGTCTTTCGTTTAACCTGGGTGAAAATTACAGTCTGTTACAAGTAGAGGGTCTCTCTGTCAATTTGCGTGTTTGCAAGAAGGAATCCTTCATCATTGTTAATTACGAAATTAATCGAAGAAGAACGCGTCCAAATTACTTTTCCGTCCAAAACCCGTTTTTCCCTTCTTCCTCTTATGTTGGAGAGTACAATTCTGTTGGGTATAGTTTTGTAAAATCACTTCTCGCTTAAGTGTTATCAGCTTATAATTACTCGCGAACGCAGCTTGTACGAACGCGCGTAAATAATTTTTCCAACAGTAGCGACATCATTTTCACTGTTTTACGCTGAATAAGGAGTTGCTCATTTTTTGCCAATGTTTAATGCAACCAGTGTTGAAGAATTGGAAGATGCCGTGACAATGAATCTTCTGTTAAAATTAGTCCATAAAGTAAGTGAACGATGTTTTAACTTTAACTAACAAATCATTTTGATGCTACACAGTAAACATTAAGTACACGTTATTAGTATTAGATATTTATTAATTGCGAAGCAACTTGTTGCCTCGATAAATATCGCATAACATGAGAAATTTTCTTTAATAAAGCTAAAACTGGCAACAAGTGCCTTTATCATTTAATATGAGCGTCGTTTGAAAATAGTTTCTCGAACTTTATCAAGCGAGAAATCGCAGCGAAGAGCGTCACACGATGTACACCTGTTGGTATTATTACATAATACTCGAGAACCATGGTGTAACAACGGCGAGAATGAGAGCGTAATAACCGAGCCGGCGATCACGACATGTGCATTGAATTCTTTTATACGCTCTTAAGATTATATGGAATAAGACTGCGCTTTCGTTGGAAATGTCGTTGAAAAGTATCGCTTAAAAGCCATTATATCGTCGGCAAAAATTTCATTTCTCACATTGTTTCAGCCTCATCGTGGTCTGAGCGCTCAAAAATGGCGTCAGGATTGCCGAATGTCCATCAAAAGAAGCTTGGACCAGCGCCGATAGCATCCTTCGAAGACTTATCCGAAGAAGTGGAAAACGTGAGTCCTGTCGCGAGTTTCCTCTAAATTCTAAATTCCCAAAATTGGCACTCTCTCTCTCTCTCTCGCTCTCTCTTTGTCTGACAATGAGATCCTCTTTTGACTTGAATCCCAATGTGTGCGATCTCGAAATTAATCTCCTCGATCGTCCGTGAGTTCTGTGAGTCACTGCGAGAAGCCGGCCCACGACCTGAGCCCACCAACCAACCAATCGACCCCGTGTGACTGTGCTACGATCTACGACAAACCAGGAAACGAATTTGAATGCAGGCAGAATCGGCGGCGGCGGCGGCAGCGGCGGCGGCGGCAGCGGCGGCGGCAGGGCGAATGCCGGGTATCATCGAGGTCACCACGCCGGCAACGCCTGGTAGTTCGCTCAAGACGCCTAGTACGCCACGAATTGATATCAGCAGGGCGAGCAGTTCTTCGCACCATGAGGATAGTAATTCCAGGGACTCGTCGCCCGAACGGGAGCTTCTCGCAGGTGATTACGCTTCTTTCTTATATATTTACACTTTATTCAGCGGATATCGTGAATATTGCACTACCACGTGAAACTTTGTTAACGCGTTTTTTACTTGCAAAATTGGAGTAAAATCAATTTTTCTTTTTGGTATATTGTCTAATGAGTTGGATAATAAACGATTAGTACAATAGTACAATTATTAATCGAGGTATTCGACACGGCATAATGGCACAATAACGACGTGCGGTTGTTCCTGCAACCCCATCGAGCAACGAAAATCCACGATTAAATTGAAAACCTATCGGGGTAAGAATCGAGCTTTGCGTGCACGGATTGCACATACTTTGAATAGTTTCTGAAAAAGGATCTCTTAGGTCTTAGGTCAAGGTCTTGATCGATTCAACTTATAAATGCGATTCGTTGTTACCGATTTCAAATATATTTATATAGATCTTTACAATATAGGTAAATACGTCTTATTTATTCTCATCTATGTGTAATACATTTCGCTATTTACGATCCCGATCAACTCTCTCTCCCCTTTACTCGTATGTTAAGTAGTGAAATTCGGTCTTCCTCTGCATGGGGATAGATGAAAATTGTTAAATAACATTGTAATATTATATATATATATATTTAATGTTTATTTGAATAAAGGTACGATTTTTCACGTACGGTACGTTGGGAATGGAAGATATAGTGTCGAATTGACACTAACGTATCTTGTAGAAACACTGGCTGTTGGTTGACAAGGAAAAAGTCTAACAATAAAATCCTGATTCTGAATCAATTTCTAGGTGCGGAACCTCCGTCCGGTTGCAAGCTGACCCTGGGCTATAAGGAGGACGCTCAAGACCTCAGGTCCTCCACGGAGGAACTGGATCTGCAAGATCCCGTCCACGAGCAGGATCTCAAACGGGAGTCGAAAAGACGAAAGCGGAAGGAGGCTGACGGGTCCCAATCAGATTACAGCGGCAAGCAGCTGGGTCAGGACCGCGAACGCAAGGACAGTAACTGCTCGGAGATTTGCTTGCTCAACATCAGCGGTAGAACGTCTAGACTGTCGTCGGTTGGTAGTCAAGGCTCCGGCGTCTCCGGAAAGCTCTCGGTCATGTCAGCGACTTCTTCCAGGTAAAAAATGCAACATATATTATCTGGCATGTTTACCGGTAAAATTCCCCTTTATAAGACAACTCTTTTGGAAATCTAGTTCGAGGTCGCCTTGCCAATCCAAGTCTCCTTGGATTGATATCACTTACACAACGTTAACTTACTTATAAAAGTAAGAAAAGCTTCGCTTGTCAAAGTCATAGAATAATAGCGTAAAATGCACTGCTATCTGTCTTGATCAACCATGTGTGCATTGCGATTTTCTTTAGATCTCCCAGTCCTCACAAGTGTCTACTGGAGACGTCCTTCTGCGGAAGCAAGCCGACGTTGGCTGATAATCTGATAGAGCCGTCGAAACCGGAGACCGATGATCTTGAGAAGATACTCTTGAAGCGGGAGGCCGATACCACAAAGGCGTTGATTCCCGAGAGTATTAAGGTGCCTATGGTAGGTGGCAATCTGAAGCCGGATCCGTTGGACAAACCCAGAAGACGTGGTCGTGAGGAGCGGAAGGAAATCTTCAAACGGGAAGTCGAAATCACCAAAAGATTTCTGGAGAAAGTTAATATAGAGGTTGGTCTGTGTGTGTGTGTGTGTTTGTTGAGCTCCTCTCTTTCAGTCTTCAAGTTGCAAGCTGATATTTTCTATCGAGAAATATCCTGGCGGCGTCTCTGAGTCTCGCCGATTGGAATTTTTCTTTATATGAAAATTATGTCAGTCTACTTTAAGACTTTATTCAATTGAATATCACAGTGTCGTTAGACTAATTGTAAGATGATCGAAATCTAAGAAATCTCTTAAAAATGTGAGATTAAGCTTTGCTCGTATTATATGTACATGTGTATGCGGCGACAGGTACCGATCATCAAAAAATCAGAACAGCAAGGATCGGCACAGCAACAATACAAGCAGCAGCAGCAATACCAATCGACAAAGACTCAAATCCAGGAAGTTCAAAAACCTGTGACACTCGACTTTAACGACAGAAGGAAGAAAGCTCAAAACTTTAAAGAGATTGTGCAGACGACGCCTACGACGAGTAGCCTTACGGGAAGTCCGAAATTACCAAGACACCAAAAAGTTCGCGAACTTGAAGGCTCGAGAACGCCCAGTCCGTCATCCGTGTCCAGAAAAAGTAGCTTTGCTTCGCTGTTCAAGGTACATAAATGATCCTTACTAATTACTTCAGTTTTATTAGTGATAAAAAAAGAAGATTAGTAAAAGATTATGTATTATATTATATTTGTTTCAGAAATAAAACACAAGATATATTAGATAATTTTGCAATAGTTGTTATCAATTGAAATAATCAACATTCATAATCATCTTCAGTACGTATTTTTATTCAGAGAATATTTTACTACTTTTCTTAACAACTATCAGAGTCTTGATTTAAAAGAAACAGAGAAACATTGATTCCGCATCTTTCTAACGCCTAATCTTCTGTTGTCAAGTTACTGAATTATATTTACTATTGTTAATTATTGTATTTATGTTTAAATAGGCCAGAACCGACGGCAGCGTACTGAGCCCGGAATCACCGTCACCCAGCACAAAACCACGGCGAAGTCTGACGTCAAAATTGAAGGACACTACGGAGAGCCTGAGGAGCCGTTCAAAGTCACGCGAGAGAGTCTCCATCGATAAAAGTTCAATCATGAAGAAGGACTCGAAGAATAAGGGGGTGTTTTCGTCTACGCTGAGCTTGTTCAAGAAACGCGAGAGGAAGAAGAGCTACGACGAGGCAATCGCGGCCTCGTGTGACTTGGAAGTTGCCAGTGGGGATGAACACCCGTCTCTGGAGAGCATCGGTCACGTGGAGTTTACGTTCAACACAGAGAAAGAAAGGAATCGCCAGGATGATTCGATCTTCATTAGTCTCCATGCCGATGACAGAAATTATGAGGAGGCCTTGCCATCGGAGAGCGTCTCGATACCGTTGGAAACACCGACCAAACTACTGGACGAATACGAGTCCGAAGAGCCGCACATGGGCAGCATTATCACAGAGGTGTCGATCGAACACCACCCGACGCCGCCGTCGTCGTCGATGGCCAGAATTAGGACTGAGGCTCAGATTGAAACGATCACGGCGACGCAGACCGTGTCCAGAAGCTTGTCCAGAGATAGCCAGCCACCGCAGAGTGCAACAAAAGACTCGCATATGTTGAAAAGTTCCAAGTTGAGAGACTCCAAGGTTACCACGCAGGCTAATAAAATAATTGAGACACCGACACTAGCCAAGTCGTCATCAACGACATCGACGATTAAACCAGATATTCAAGTAGAGATTAAATCGACAGACTTGCGAACGTCTGGTGGTTCGTCGAGAGAATCTACTGGCAAAAGGCCGGATATAACGAAGCCAAAAAGAAAAAGTAAAGAGAATCAGCAGCAGCAGCAGCAGCAGCAGCAGCAGCAGCAGCAGCAGCAGCAGCAGCAACAGCCAGAACCACCCGAAAGGATAAACGACGACGTAGCGACGCAGCAAAAAAGAACAAGTCCAGGAGAGCTTTCTCGAGCCACTCAAGAAACTAAAAGACTCGATGACAAGATTGGCAAGTCGGCGGAAAAGGAAGGCCTGGTAAAAACACCTAGTGTGATATCTGATCTTGATCACAATAGCTCCGAATCCGAGAAAGATTCACAATCAGAGATCGAGTTTATTCGTAATAAGGTCGAGAAGCTGGCTGAAGAGCTGCCGGACGAACGAAAGGGTCTCTTTTATGAGGAAAGCTTCGAGGAGGATCTTCCATATGTACCGACAACTCTGCCATTGGAGAAGAGCGTTGCTATACCTATTCTGCCGGTTAAACAACGACTTCAGGAAGTAAGGTAATTCTTTCAAATGATAAATGCACAAGGGTCTGATTAAATGTAAATTCCAAGGAATAAGGAGGTTAAAAGCCATGACAGGATGTTAGTGTTTGAATAATTTTATTATCAATTTATTGCGAAAAATATTACCTTAGCCAGAGTTTGAGCCTTGTCTTTCGTGACTGTTTTCGAAAAAATGTTCTTTCAAATGAAATGTGTCTACATTATTTTAATTAAATACTAATATCAATGTATGTACATACATCGAGGATAAATTTCTTAACAATTTTTTATTTACATTAATGGTGCGTAGTTCATATCATGTTGATTCTTATTAGGACAATCCCAATCGAGAGACCACGTTCTACGACGCCGATAAATCCAACTTTGTTGGACGAGTTTGTGATGCAGACATCGCTAGACGAGCGGCGCGTGGAACGAATGAAGATATCTCTGCCGCGAGAGGATAGCTTCAAGCTAAAGAGTCCACGTCGTCAATACGCCAGTACAGCGAATACGTTTACTGAATTTGCGGGCAAGGTGCCGCCGGATGGCGGCCGCAAAGGCGCTACTAATCAAGGAAAATCACCTAGTCCACCTCCACTGCCACCGAGAGCATCAGCGTCAGCATCATCGGCATCGACATCGGCAGCGGCAACATCATCATCATCATCATCATCATCATCATCAGCAGCAGCAGCAGCAGCAGCAGCAGCAGCAGCAGCAGCAGCAGCAGCAGCAGCAGCAGCAGCAGCAGCAGCAGCAGGAGCAGCATCAACGCGGCCAAGCAACTGGATCAACTTTGAAGAAATACCGGAGAAGCGAAAGGCACCGAAACGGATACAGACGATACCGCGGCCAGAGGACGAGAGCGCAAAAACTATCAGCGGTGGTTACAGCTACGTGCAACCAGAAGAGTGTAAGTGCGAGTGTCACGAGGAATCTAGGCGAGCGTCTATGCGGGAGGCAGCGGCGGCAGCGGCGGTGGCAGCGGCTGTCGCCGCTACTGCCACCGGTACCGGTACCAGTACCAGAACCTCCTCTTGTAGCAGCAATGGCGAGCGACCGTGCAATGGTGAAAATTGCACGGCGCCGACCACTGGCGGTAGCTCGGTCGACCGTGCCAGTATCGTCAGGTAAACCAATCGGCTACCGATTGTCAAAGCGAGCTAACCACCTGTCCAGCCCGGGACGATTCGCGAAGGCGCTAGTGACGAGTAGAAATCTGTTTCTGTACTTTCAGTGACAGCTCGCTGGAGTGCTCGCTGAGCATCGACGACGGCCAGAGCACGCAGGTGCTTCTCGGCAACTCGACGAAACCCTTCGCAATGGATCTCGACGTGCGTTCCAACAGGTCGAGCATCGTATCGCAGGAGGAAAACGACGAGAATCAGCACCAATAATAATAATTGTAATAATAGCGCACCTCGTATAGCGCACCCACGCCTTAGGATCTTTGGATTTTCCTCTTCTTCGTATCGAAAGATGAGTCCGAGTTCCTCCGATACACGAATCAAACGGGCGATTTGATTCCGAATAAGACGTGCGCCACCCTTCTTTTTCGTCGCTCTCGTTTTCCTTTCCCTACGACAGAGAATAGAGTCGGAATTCATTGTCTCAGTATAGGTTGTAGTGAAAACTTTCGATCGAAAGCACTTACTTCCACTCGCGTCTTGGAAAAGTCGGACTATTGTCGCGTAATCGTACCGCGTCGGATTATACACTTTCGCACGACGGTATTGTTTCTTTCCTTTGGCGTTGCAACTTGCTAATTGAAAAGCTTCTTTCTTTATATTCTCCTCTCGAATCCATATGTAAGATAAGGAAATGGAGAAGTAATGCGTGTAACGCTCTTCACCGTAATCACTTTTTCTTTCCAAGTATAACATTAACATCTTTTACGAGAGAAACCGCGGTTGGGCGAAATCCTTTCATTTTACGAGTTTAAGAGTTTATCGTACGCATGCATATGCACGTTGATACAATTTATTAGAGGTAGATTTCGAGGCACCTCGAGGATGGTGGCTCGCTAACGTTTCTACTAATCTCTACAAATTAGTCAGTAGTTTTTCTCCGACGAGAGAGAATCGCACCGCTACGAAATATCGGCGGTGAACAACGCTCGGGTATCGCTCGTATCTCGTTCTCCTTCTCAAAACAAAGAGAGTATATAAACGTTTTATATTATTTCATCGGTTATTGTACATACAGCGACGATATGTAACGTCTGAGGCGAGATCTCGCGGTGTTCGAGCTTTCGAAGCTTCATATCATGTAGATAAGCGTAGATTTATAGATACGTATATTTCCGTGGGCACGTTGATCTTACCGAGGTTAAGAAGTTTATTCAATGTTGAGCCGGGATTGTACCGGCACGATCATTTACTGATCGATTGTTTTTCAAACTTGTACGATAGCATCTAATACGTAAACGAGTCTACGATGACTGAAACGACAAGCAGATCTCGCGAACCATCGCCAATGTTGTACGCACGTTATAGTTTCTGGCGATTTACGCCGCATTATTGTCCGAAAGCTCGCGCATTGTCGGAATGCTAAATGCGTGATCGAAACCGTTTTAACGCGTTATTATCGCGTGTATCAAGTTTTTCAACCATCACACGTCATCTTGTAGAATTGCCGGCGACTTTTCTACTCGCCACCATCTTTTTGCATCTTCATTTACGAATCTGGCTTGGCGAGCCATCATTCGCGTAAATATGCTACTTTCAAAGGGAATGATCTTTGTCATTTTCCCCTCGGTCGGGATTTTCAGGGAGCTGAGACGAGCTGCACTCATTAATCGTGCGTGTTCCATAAGTCGAGCTCTCGTACGAGATAGAGAGAAAGACAATTCTATATTATCTACCTCCGTAAAAAATTAAAAAATGAAAAAAGAAAAACAGAAAATGTACCAAAGACAGTCGAGTGTCTGTGGAGAGTTGTTTCATCCACGCTCTGAAAATCAGAGTTCGCGACAACGCGACCAGTTCGGTTTGACCCCTCTTCTCGCGACAAGTTTCATTTCTTTGGAGAAGAAAGGAAAGGACATGTGGCATACGTGGTACATATATAAAAGGTTTGTAAAGTAAATATATGTATAGAATAATTCAGGGTAATTGCGATATTGAGATAAAAGTAATCTTTTTTTCTCTCAATGGACCAATCGGCCAATTCCAAGATTCATGATAAAGTGGAAATTACAAGCGTCAACATTTTAATAGTATCAATCTTCGTCTCCGGATTAGGACTGTCTCGTTAGTACATGTACGGATGATACAAATGTAAAAAACACAATTTGTTTTCTCCTCCAACAATTTGTCTATAGATTGTAACATTTCAGGCAAAGTCAGTCTAATAATATAATCGTGCATTTTCAAAATATATTCTTCAGAGTGTTGAAAGGACGATGAGTTTGTTCTTCTTTATAACGGTTGAAGAACAGGAAGAACAGGAAGGGCGTAGAGGCGCCTTAATTTCGACTTTCGATAACTTTTGAAGAATGTAATCTTCATGTTTTTAAATTCAGAGTTTGGTTTGTCAAGTTCTTTTTTTTTCTTTATAAATTAGTAGAGAGAGCGAGAGAGAGAGAGAGAGAGGGAGAGAGAGAATAATAATAGTTTCCCACTTAGCTAGATCTATGTTCTACAAAGAGCATGTATCATAAAAGGTTACCGTTACATCGAATTCCATTTTGTACATTCGATCGTTGCAATTACTCAATCTATAATATTATTTATGAGAGAAAAATTCTTTTAGATATTAAATATATATATTGCATACAATGTTTATACATAATTTAAAGATTACTGGAAAAAGGAGGAAAAATAGTGGTTCGGCAATAGACGTACGTGTGTATCGTGGCTGGATGGTTTATTCATCATCAGAATGAAACTATCTAAATTGAATTAATTGATGAAAGTGGTTTTGTATACGTATAATTATGTCGACGACTGACTGCCAATCTAATCGAAGAACGTTGTATTTCGAAATATACTTGGCACCGAAAGTCTCTTAATTCATTTGCATGCGTAGTGAGAAAGTGAGCTTACAAGGGGTCAAACCAAAATTCACGTATGCATTTGTACTAGTAAAGTGGCAATTTCGTTTGTTCCGCACGTGATCGTATTGTTTGTTCTTTTCTTACAATTAGTCTATTTTACGAATGAAATATACGATTGAATACTCTATTGACAATGAGTTCAACGATTCGCAATGTTATCTTTCGTGTTGTAAAAAAAGAAAAAGGAACTAGCTCTGTGTTCAACAGATGAAAGGATTCATTATTAAACAACAGAAACAATTTGTAGCTGTTGCTTGTCTGTCGCGCCGCGCCGAGCGACTCGATGAAAGATGTCTTGCGATTAGCATTTGTCGACTGCGATAACAATAGTTGACCCTCTTTTGAAATTATTTTGTAATTACTTTACCTGAAAATTTCACTAGGTTGTTACAGATATGAAAAAGCAGATATCGCATGGCTCGACGTGGCAGATATTAATCGTGCATAATGGAATTGAATCAAATTTCCATTCTACTTCCATTTCGTTCTTAATGCTCCTACTTTCCCTCCGTCCTTTACGCTCCTCTTCACCTCCACTCGGACATACGGTAGTTAAGTCGAGAAATGAATAAATTAATAGATCTGTAAGTGATTAAATACTCGGCGAATCGATCGGACTCTACCCGTTTCTTTTCCCTTTTCTTCTTCTTTCTTTTCGGCGAAGGAAAAGGGACGAGTAAATCTCCATGCAGTAGGTTATATAATCTCGCGAAGACAGTTTGGCCGATGTAGCCAGATGTTTTGTGCAACATGATTTCTCTCTTTTTTTTTCTACATTTTCATGTTTAGCTAAACGAATTTTCAGAGTACATGTGTGTATGTATATCTGTACGCGAGTGTGTGCGTGCATGTGCGTGCGCGCGTGCGTATGCCGGGTATATGTGCATATATGCGCGTCTACATAAACACACACACATTATTTACACACAACTGGAGATCGTAACTTGTGTAAATTTCACAAGTTTAATTTTCATGCTGGAAATATAAGGCAATTGGGCAATATTTTTCCAATAGATACAAGAATAACAGTAATTATAATAAACTTGTCGAAACACGATGATAATTTGTTCACTTATTAAAATTGTAAAATTGTTAACAGTTGCATTATTGCTTTTATTTTTAAGAAATATTTTTGCAACAGTACATTTACTTGCAATTTTTCTCGTTAAAGTTTCTTTATTGCCATCAATAAAACTATGTAAATTATTTTTCGTATCGAAGGCATTGTAATCTGAGCTGGAAATTGTATCAGCTTCTTGCAGAGCAAGCACAGAGATCAACATCGGTTAAAACGAATATACATATAACAATTTTACGATTAAAGGCAAAGATTGCGTTTCACGATATACAAGTTGACGTATTCTCGCAATAGCATGATATGTGTTGCATCATATTATATACAATTAAAAATGCAAAATTAAATTAGAATCGGATTCTAATGTTCCAAGAATATAACTAAAAATGTATACACATACTTCTTTAAAAGCAATTTATTTTCATTAATTGTGAAAGTGAAAAAATTTCTTTCGTTATTACATTTACTTCATGTTTTCAGTTCTTTATTTATCAATCATATTTATTTCTCTCAATATACTTTTTATTGATACTGAAAGGTTACGCGCGCAAACACACACTACACGCATGCACCCACGGTATAAATTTTTTATTTGCAACATTTCTGTCTTTGACTAACGATAAGAAATACTATGAGTGTTGCGCCGACTAGAAATGTGCTCGATTTTTACAAAGACACACCTTCGGTTCGGCCAAAATTGCGTTCTTCTTTTTATATTTAGAAAAAGACAATTTGCAAAATTGTTTTCGCAAGATTTTGTAAAATACAAATTTTGCAGACAATTTGTTGAAGAAAAGAAATAAACAAGAAGAAGTGAACATTCTTGTCCGTTTTTTATGAAAATGGCGCATTAAAAAAATCGAATTTCTTTTTAAATAGAGAGAGAGAGAGATTCTCCATTGCGCATTTATTCTAGCAATACATGACTGTTCGTTATTATTTTTCATGCAATGTAAAAGAGTGTGAAAAAATGGAATAAAAATGGATATTTAAATGTTTCTAATGTTATGTAAATAGGATTATAGGAATATGCGCGCACGCGCGTGAAAATACATTTTCAATACTAGTAACATGTTTGAACGATGATGACTACGATAATGATACGTTTGACGATCTCATGTTCAGAAAAGAAAAAATAAATTAAAATAAACTGTTTACGTGTGTGGTTTTTAATGAATGGCTGTATTATTTTACATTGCTATGTTGGTTCATTGATTATCCGATACTTATCTACAAATTCTCCAATAATGTTAAGTACCACAATGATGTCTCATAATGCTATCATGAATATTGTTATCGAAATAATAAATTTTGTTTAATATTTATATATTTTACTTATCTTTAATCGATATGCCTTTTATGGCTTTGAATGGATTCCAGTTTATACATTTTAGTATTTGTGTCAGTGTATTTTTTTATTATAACTAAAAACCATGTTTTATGACATGTAACACCCAATCGTATCATTAACTTGAAATTAATTAGGCTTATTTTAAAACCCAGTAAACATTAGATTGCACTCTTATATAGCTTCTATTAATGATCTAATATAACTGAATTACACTTGTTTGATCTCGAAATCTTGGCTAATCTCCTTCCATTAAACTTTTATACTAAATATCCTCAACACTCCTTACAAATTTTGTCAATATATAATATTTATTGTTTGTTTATTTATGCCAAGTTAATTGTAACTTAAAAGAACATTGAGAATGAAAGATTTATCAGAAAAATGTGAGACATTGGAAAAAAGTTGTCTAGAAAATATCACATAGTTTACTAGGCTGTGTTAGACTTGACGTCGCGTGTAATCTTTTACCGTCGCTTTTGAGACATGTGAGCCTGCTGTACGTGCAAAGTTTTGCGTTTCGGTTTTCTTTTCCTCTCCATTGTCCAAGGTAATTGGTAACTCGGTATCTCGCAATAACAGCGTAGTGGTCGTTGGGACGAGCGTCGAGTTATTATCCTGTAAGGATTGCTAAAACGTAACAAAATTAATTATTGTAGCGATAAGTCTCTAATAAGAGAGGAATAAGTGGATTTTTATTAATTCAGTGAAAAAAGTGAAATGTTTTTTCTCATACAAACAACTATTAATTACAATGGTACATCTTTGTATAGAAATGGAGTTGATTTTTAATATACATATAGTTTACAGCTTATTGGATGGTCCTTTTATTTGGCAAAATTAATAAAGTAAGTAGTTTTTAGGGTAGACTTAAAAAGAATACACATAATTACCTGCATAACATTTAAGAGAAATAGAAAAGCGAGCAAGGTCAGCGCACTTAGCGCAGCGCTATTTCCACCTTTTCCCTTAGAGCTTGTAAAATTCAGAAGAGTATTTAATAAAAACGTTTCCTTCAGAAATATTTAACATTGATCGAACTTTAGGTTTGTTTGAATTATATTCTGCCATACCCACGATATCCATGATGATGATAACTACTACCGTCACTGTGATAACGCTCGACAGGTATGTCCCAAGGAGCTTTTCCGAAGCCTCCAAGACCCGTTAGAGACTTGAACGTCATGTTCTTTACAAAATAGTGATACATAACATTTACATTTTGCAAATCAACACGAAAATATATTTATACGTATATACAATAAGATTGTAATATATTTTAAAATAAATCGTCCATGCTTATTCGTCCATTATTATATAGAAACGACTAATTGTAAGGTGTTTAACATAAAAATATATGAGTTAATATTGATAAATTATACTGCTTACTTCGTGTTTACCTTTGACGTAAAAAAATTATACCAGAATAGAAAGGTTTGCTAAATTGCGTAACACTGATTGCGATTCCATTCAGAGAACTCTTTCTTCAAGGAGATTCCGTATGAAACTGTTCCACCATCAAGGAACAAATCTTGTCACTCGACAGGAAGGTCACGGTTCCTCAAGTTTCTGCTCGTTGACGGTGACGCAGACCGTATCTCTTCTTTCATTATAAATGCTATTTTGCGTTACAAAACTTGTAAATATATAAAAGGAAGACCGTTTTTATTTATTATATTTATTAAGATGTAATAATCACACATACATACAACTTATGTCTATATCGTATAAACTAATAAACTACGGGAATATTACAGAGAGAAAAAATAACGGAATATTAGTTCCATCCATATGCATGTACCAATATACATATACAGGCGTACATACAATATATATATATATATATGTACGTGTATGTTTATATATGTAAATACGTATACCTATAATACTTATATACAGTAGCTAAAAGATTTAGGGCGGATGCTAAAAGAATCCTGAGACATTAACATGAATGTTAAATAGGGAAGGCCATTCAATAACGAAACTCATTCAATTACTATTATCGTGAAATATTTAAGTTAAGTTATCGGAAGATTTCAAATTTATTTCATGTTATTTAAATAATTTTTGTATTTCGAATAATTAATCGCGTTTTGCATCTTCATTTTTTGAATTTTGACTCGAGGAAAATTGAGAAAATTTCTCTTCTTTTCACGTCAATCGGAGCATTGATTGAAACAACGAAATACTACTTTGCTATATACGTAGAAAATTAATTGAAGCAATCACAAATAATCTCATCTTTTGTATTTTCCATTTTGAAGGATAATAGTAACACTTGAACAGAGTTCATCGAGCACATCAAAATTTGCCCATCTTTTTTCTCCAACAGCTCTAAGCGCATCTTCCTCCCTACGATCCTAATTTTACTACTAACGTTTCGCATACATAACGTACATTTAATGCTAAATGCGCGATGTGTATACGTAAATAACTTGGATATTAAGTGCAACAATTGTAACTGATTCAAACAGTTTCAAAAAGAAAAAAAATTCAATCAATACAACAAATGGAGTAAAATAATTTTTCATGCAATATTGTAATACATGAAAGTTACAAGAGTTTTAATTACTCAAGTATCACTTAAGTACAATATAACGTGTTGCAGAATCGAATTTCGTTTTTGTGACAACTTTTCCATCATTAACGATAACGATAATGCTCTACCGATACGAATGCCGCTACTTTCATTACTCAATTGTATCTTGAAGATATATTACATTTTAGGCAACAAATTGAACAAATTTTATTCATCGTATACATAAAAATAGGTGTGTCAATGAGTAAACTTGCGCTGTCTGTTGCACATAATAGTCGTCGAAATATGAAAATATAATGAACTCGCGCCGAGTCCCATCCACAAATGTGCTACACCTATACATTTAATACGTTCAATAAATACAGAAATAAATAATATAATTGTATAATTGCGTAATCGACGTGGCGAAACTCGGCGATCGACAGCAAAGGAGAGAAACTTACAACATGCAGTCAGATGAAATTTCATCAAAGTATAAACACCGACTCGTAAAGAGATTAACAAAACCTTTCAGACTTGAATCTACGTGTATATTGTATATTGTAATTATTCTCGAGACAAGCGCGACGTCAAATGCCTCGTTTATTCGTTGAATTACGTTGGGATCGCGGATTAGTGTCGAAAAGAAGTTATATTATTTAGCGCGTACACACACACACACGTGTAAGACGAATTTCTCTGATTGAAAAAATGATCAATCGTGAGTTGGAGCCGAGGTGAGAGACGAGCTGGCGAGATTCGATGCGAATCCCGGCTCGGTGCACGCCCGTGCCGTGGATGCGTCGATTAAACACCTATACTTCTGTTTTAACATGGCCTAGACCGTGGGACACCTGCGTGAAATGTCTCGTCTCGCTCGAACGCTTGACGCATTAACGATTTTCTGGTTTCCATACTCTCCATCACCAAGACAAAGCACAGGATGTACGAGAGATTGCTCGAGTCAAGTTTCGTCGGGAAAAATAAATGAAAATCCCGCGGAATCTAAGCCACGTTCGACAGAATGCTGCGAGGATGAACTCGCTCATACAGCGTTGCAATCTATAAAGAGAGTCCTGCAGTCCTCGCCCGTGCGACCGCGTCGTCCTGCATCGTACAAGGCCTCGAAGCTCACGCCGCTTTGCCTCTGTAGGAGATAACTCGTCGCGTACCTGAGGAATGTCGAATTCGATCATTGTTGTGTAACTCGACAGGTAAAGAGAGAATGAAATGCAAATATGGATACTCACGATCCAAGCTGGCAGAAGATCGACGATGGACCTTGCGTGTCAGCGATACACTCCGCACTGGCCTCGCAAAGTGCCCTCTCGGCGCAACCACGCTGTCCTTCCTCCTCCGCGCGACCTACGTAGCTAAAGGACTTGACGGATCTCATGTAGCCCTAGCGGATGAAATTTAGAGTGACACAATGGCACATGCGATCTTCTTCTTCAATCTTTCAGCAGTCGTGCAATAATCGTTGCAATCAATCGCCAACGGATTATTTCAATGGCTAATGAAATTTACCTTTAACATAGAGATGGACGCTATCGCAGCTTCGGAAACGGTGTCTCGTCGTCCGAGCGAGCGAGCCTCCAGAGAACGATGAGAGAAGGATGTCTTCAGGGCGTCCAGCAGGTTGATGACTATGCTGATGAACTGCTTAATAACACGGATAAGTAAAGGTGTAAGTGAATTTCTTCCCAGAGAACACTTGGAAAAAGACTAGGTATACGTTCGACGGTTAAGCTATCCGATACGGTATAGATACACGCGAAATTAATCCCTAATATCTATGGTTGCAGTTTACTGCGGCCAACATTTATTATCAAAGCGCAGATAAATATTACTTGTCGTTGCGCGACTCTAATTATTTAAGTGTAGGCATTACAAATGTTGCAATACAAATGAATGAATGAATTAATAATTGGGTTATAAAAGCAATTTTAAAATTAGCGACAGTTGGATTATCAATGCAAGTTGGATACTACGAGTACTACAAGTGCTACAGGAACGTCGGCACGGAAGCATTCGCGAGACGTTCTTGAGCATTCTCAAAGCAGGCCAACTCGCCAAAGGGTAAAGCACGCATTTACACGCATTTTTCACTCTCAAGCGAGATAAAAAGTTTAAAGAATTTTGGATTAGATTCGTTCATAGACTCGTACTAACCTCGGAGGCATTTTTCGCCATTACAGCAACCTGTTCGGGGTCTCTGCCCTGTCCTAGAAACGCGCCCAGCACCGCAGTCAAAATTTCCTAAACAACCGACACCAGCCAGTGTGCGTCTAAGTCCAAACTTTGACAATTATTTACAAGGAATGTGAGAGGGCTATCGTCTTGTCTCGACACTTTTGTCTGGCGCGTTGCTATCGCGCATGGATTCTTTCTTTTCACGATAACGCTTAGCTAGTTGACGGGACAGCTGGAAGAAGACTAGGATAAGCAAGAACCTTGTTTTTCGTAGAACAATATCAAAGGCAAACTAACTAAAGTCACGTCATGTCCACCTGCTTCACATTTTATCAGTAGAAAAATTGCTTTAGGCGAGAGCAAAGTTTTTCCTTCCTTTTCCAAACGACTGCCTTCACGCAAATGTGATGGTCAAACACAAAGAGTGAAACGCCGTTAAATTTCCGGCCGTGAGACAAATTAAATTGTGTAGAAAACGTAAAGATGGTGTGACGTGTGGCGCAAGTGCGTGAAAATAATGGTTCGCCGTAATTAGGGCAATTATTCGACGCAACCTTTTCTAGCCGTCATGGTAGTCGTACTTGGGTGGCTCCCGTGACAATAAGCAGCCGTGCGTTTTTTATGAATTTTTACCGAACCTTAAATTTAAGTTCTTTCTCGCCTACGATTCTTATTAAGTAGCACAAAATTAAGATATACAAATATTACACAGAAATATTATATATCGCATGAAACATCTGTTTATGACAAAAATACATCAAGATAGATTGAGTATACCTGTATATTTGTAACACAATCTAGCATTAGTTGTTGCACATATTTACACGATATGTAAATCTAGCTTTGGCTGGCTCTTTTCTCTCGTATTGCGTCGCGACGCGAGAAAGATACACACACACACACACACACACACACACACACACACACACACATAAAAATAGCTAGAGAGAGAGGGGGAGGGAGAGAGACAGAGGCATTCAATGTTTCAGACAATTAATACGCTCAGTAATGTAAATCTCACAGATTATGAGATCCTCTTTCGCATGTCTATGTACTACGTGCTAATAGCAGGCTGTTGATCTGTTTAGCGTGGATGCAACTAAAGGGAGCGGTTGATTTAATGTACAAGTCTCGAACGGGGCGTGAGAACTAAGTTTTCATTTCCAGTCAGACTAAGTGAGGTGCTTTCAATTCAAGAGAAATGTTCGTCCATCTACATTCCTATGCGTGGTAAAAATTGCCAAAGAAAAAAAGAAAAATATCAAAAGAGAAGAGTTACAGATAGGAATGTTGGAAAATTATTATGATGATACCTTCTGAAAAAAGCCGGTAGTTGTATGCGATTACAGAATTCACGATACTTGAGTGAAAAAGTTGATCAAGAGCTGACGATACAAATACCAATATAAATATAAAATCTCTGATCTGAATGTTTCGATGATGACAGAGTTTTAATGTTTCTCCGAAATTACTGTTGCCATGCAATAGGAATATTATTAAAGAAATTGTTTTCCTTTCTCTCATAAAAGCTTTAGAATAAGCGAAAAGACTTGTATCCCTCTTGAAGTGAAGCCCTCGATTGTCGATATCAGCCTGACGAAAAATAATGTTGAAAGTGGAACCAAAAATAAGTGTCACGATTATTCTCACTTACCTGCATGGGACTACTTTGATTGTCCACCTTGTCGATACCATCCACCGGTTGCTGAGGTCCGCCCAGTAGTGCCGTGAGGACTCTCAGACCAACGGAAAGCAGATTGGTCCATGGACTTACAGTCGCGCTATCGTCTATCTCGTTTTTGCTAGGTCCGGTCGCACCCCCGGTTTGACCTAATAACATCTGCATCAACATCCCTAGCATATTGGACCACGAGAAGCCGCTACTGCCACCCTCCTACGCACAGAAAAATTCCTCAGATGTCAGTGAGCAAAACAGTTTGAGGTGTATTAGAAATTCAAGTATATATATTGTAATTTAATTGGTGTATATTACCTGAATCTGATTAGTACTAATATCCTCGAGATCATCGAGCGCCACCTTCTTCATCGCGTTTGGCTTCTCGGCAAATTTTCTCTCCTCTCTGATCTGTTGTTGTTGGTATGGCTGCGGGTATTGCTGCGTGTATTGAGGATGTTGTGGTAATGCCGCGACTTGTCCCAAGACAAGTGCAATCAAGCACACCGACACGTATTGGTTGTATTGCATTCTATGAAAGGAAAGAGAGAAGTTTCCTCTCTATTTTCATTCATAATAATCATCATATAATAACATTTTCTACAAATATCTCTGTAAATTTATCATCATTTTTAGCGCATCTAATCCGTAAGAGTTGAAATAATTATTAAGGTCTCGCGTAGAGCAAAAAGACATGCAATAATATACCCATGATTAGAGTACATATTGTACATATTTTGCCGTGACGATCGCGATGGATCGCAATATTGTCGTTTTCATCTTTTCAGCATTTGATAAAATGACACACGTTTATCGAATACATTTCAATCGCACTAATCCGATATATTTATGAGTGTATTGAATTCTGAATGTTAAAGAAATTGCTTGACTTTGGAAACACGAGAGATGGAAGATGTAGGCACGCGATACGGGGTCACGGTGATTCAGAAACGAAAGTATGCCGCGACAGCTGAAACACGGAACGATGATTCTAAAATCTAGTTTTTTCTCACCTTTGAAATTGTCGTTATTTGATGCCACATAAGTATAGATCGAGATAATATAGCTGAAGAATAATATATCAGTTCCTACAAACGTTTAACAAAAATGTTTGCGAGGAATTTTGGGAAATAATTATACTTTTAAAACAGGTGTACAAATCACGAGTTGAGACGATAAATGTAGTCATTATTATTTCGCGTTACGTTTACGCGTACTATAATAATATATATAGTGAGACATGTATTAAATTATCGAAAATTGAGATGAAAAATGAGATTTAACCGTCATCTTCACCTTGAACACTCGGAACGAGAAACGGAAGCGATTGAATACATATTACGGACATGGTAATAGAATGCTTGCACGATGCTGCTGAAAGTGTGCCACGATGGTTAAGGTCGCCTCGACGGCGAGCATGCCGATCGCTCGTTAGCCCACTTCCCGATGGCACGCCGGTACTGGTTTGTTGAACCCGACAGGTACCGTTACTGTAAAAGGCGGTCACGACCTACTGCCGATCGCAGCGACGATGTTTCGCGACTGGTTTCGCGCGCTTGTGTGTGTGTGTATCTCCGCAGAGAAATTTTAAAAAATAATGAAATCGACGTGATGATCGAATTCTTCAAAAACTCTTCTTGTACAATCTTCACTTTATATAAGTTACATTATATTACTGAAAAATTCTTATTATTCGATATATCTATGTGTCTTTCGATATTCAATAAATTCTTCAGATGCAGGTGTCTGTATTTCATTTAGACAGTTTATTTAAAATATGCAAAAAGTTTTCAGTTAAACACGTGTCTCTTTATCAGAAGGATATTGACATTGTCATTGACATTAAAACAATGCTAATATTTCCATAAGTGATAATTTTATCGTAAACTCATAGGTAACGCGCAAATTCGACTCAACAGAATGACGCAACCATGAATTAAATAATGTTAATATCGGTGATGACCAAGTTATAACGAAGTGACGTTTGTGAAAGCAACGAGAGAGATTGCTCTCACTGACAACGAGAAACGATGCGCGGCGCGCCTTTGGAAAACGGTACATATCACAGTGAAAAAATCCAAAACGAGTTTCTAACTGTATCCTTATACTCGACGACAAATATTTTCTACTTGGTTGCACACGATAAGTCCGGCGTACAAAAGAACTCGCAAAAACTTGTCACGAGGTTATTGCGAGCAATTCCGCGATGACTGCGTTTCAAGTGATGGAAATTAAGTCGGAAAAATCGAATCTCGTTTGAGAGGGGGAAAGAGAGATTTGGCTAGAACAGAAAGAATACATGTGACAAAATCATATATTTACTAGTATAATATCATCAACTTTTGAGTAGGTTTTATGTTACTTTTCGTCTTGAAGATGGGAACCTTTCAAATTAATAAATTTTTATTAAAACTTTTTTCTCAACACTTTGGTTGTACACAGGAGTTATTAACAAAGATTAATTACTAACTCCATTTCGGCTAAAATGTCACATGTCTCCTTTCTGTTGTCACTCTTTCAATTATTCCGATGATAATCACTATTTGCAAGAGTGGGATAACTTTTGTAGAAATCTATCTCTCACCAAAGTTGGATAAATATATATATATATAAGTAAAAGTAAGTGTATAATACATTAAACAAATTAAATTCTACAGTAAAATCTCAATTTAATTGAGCCCGATATAATGCGCCTATTTCAAATTGGATTTATTTTGGATAGCGCGAGAGATAGACTCGCATTGTTTCGATGTTCGTCTACCTCGTGACGTGGTCAGGGTTGTGTACAGTTTCTGTGATTTCTCAATTGTGACGTTATATATTTATTAAATAGTTTTAGAATCCTGATAATTCAAAGTAGCATTAAGTGGAAAAGAAGTTAAAAGACAGTACTGTCAAGCTTTCGAACATTAGAAACAATTAAAAATAACCTCCCTCCAGGTTAAATTCGATTTAATAGACTTTGGGTCTTAACGGTCACCCCTTCTTCCCAATTAGTCTATTAAATCGAGTTTTTAATGTATTAAATAACAGTAATAAATAAAATATGTGAAAAAACACGAAACTTTGCAAATTAGCATTTGATTGAAATATTTTCTAGTTTTTTTTTGGAAAATTACATTATAAAGAGAACTAAAATATATTACAATATAACTATTACGTAAGGAAATATTTTGAATAATATGTGTGTCTGTGTGTGTGTGTCGGATGTGTAGTAAGTATATGCACGATACAAATAACGACACAAATAAAGAAATTATTGATTATTCTTTAGATCTTAAAGTTACATTATGTTGAAGGGCTTAACAGGGCGTTTGGCAAAATGCATACGTTGGCGCGTTTGTTACAATTTTCGATCAATAGTAAATAAGTAAATGTATGAACAAAATAAGAAATTTTACTCCCTTTAGGTAACGAAAGCAATCTTGAATATACATTTGAGGAACCCGCGAGTCCAAGAGTAATAAAAAAAAAAAACTATTTTATTACTCACTTAGTTACTTCCCGATGAATTTCCGTGACACTGACTCTCAGTTCTGAAGATGAAATTCCTCGCGGGGTCTTCTATATAGCCTGCGAGCACACACGTGGGGGTAAACCGTTCGGCCAATGACCACTCATCTTTGCTACCATTTTCAATGGAACTATCCAATCGCACCGGACTGATTGGTGAGAATTCTAAAAAGTCGTCTACTTTGACGAAGAATATATTTTTTCTTTAGTCACTTAGCAGCATAGAAGAAGCGAAATTTGCGCGGCACGACTCTGAAATCGCTTTACCTCGCGCTCCAGCAGCGCCCGATACCGAATTTTCATCTAGAATTCCTTCTTCGCAACGGTATATCGCTATGGTCGCGTTTGTAACGATTCGTGTCACGTCGCATATTCGATACTTGTACAAATTTAGGTCTTAATTATTATCGGCGTTGTTTTAGATGTAGTTGTAATAAAAGATTTCTTACAATTACGAAAGATTTGCGAACGATATTTAAAGCGCTGGCTGTACAGCTTGACTGAGAGAGATTTGAATTAAATAAGTCTTTTCTCGTCTGACTCGCAACGTTACAAGTATAAACACCATATAAGGTGTGCGTGTGCCCAGAGAAAATAACCGTTGTTAGGCAAAGATGTCAAGGTTATTATATTTTGGACTCTTCTTTTTCATCAAGCGTTAATCTCGCTCTATTCTTTCGTTCTTTCAGCTGCATTGGTTTCGCACATTCATCGTATCACGCGTAAACGCGTGTGCATCTTCTTCCCGTTGACAATATCATATCGCGAGAACGTTGGCGCGTGTTGACGGCTAATGGAAAAAGCACTGGCGATCCATCATAACTGTTTCAGTAGCGGGATGCTGGCGTCGGTATTCTTCTTATTAGGAGGATCTTGCTAATCGCGCCCCGCAAATCGATCCGCCGCCGCCGCCGCCCGGATCATCTCCCTCTGCACTCGTTGGCATGGTTCGTAGCGGCAAGTTCAGTGAACGTATTACGAGTCGCGAATGGATCCGAATGGAGCGTAACGGAACGGTGGCGGACGACCTTCGCGGATGCGCGGCAAGTTTCGCAAGTTGCCGAGAGCTCGACCGCAGCGAGATTGCAATACGAGTATATCTCGCCACACCTTCGAGTCCCGATTACTCTTATTACAGTTGGAAATTCGATCCTGCCAATTTTGGAAGAAACATAATATTCTCATACCACTCGCTTCCGAGAGGCGACAATCGAACAAAACCCAATGGAGCAGCGCACATTTTTTTGACAGCGCTGCTCCAGCGAGCTCGTCGCTTTCGTCCGCGTGCTGATATCGATGAGATCGATGAGACCGATATGCGATCGAAAGTACAACCGAATTACCATTTCGGGCGCATTTCGGACGCATTTTGCTAGCATTCGCAACACGCTCTGTTTACGCGCGGTGGGCTATCCTCGTTTCGGCGAGTTTCCAGGCTAATTGTGTAAGCGTTACTTTCCGAAAATGTGTCCGTTTCCGTGGTTGAATGCGCCACGCGATGTGTCGTGACATATATCCGGAAAATTGCCGACAACGTCGTACAACGTCGTGCGCAACGCGCGTAACGCCATTCTCCAATATTTCACACATACATTGTTTTACTCTCTCGGATTTGCTCTTTGAACAATTCTTTTGCGAGTAATGATTCTGTAATTGGAAATTGAAAGGATCCGCGGAAATAAATTAGACTACATTTTCCCTTTTCGCGCGCTTTTGGCAAACACATTTTAAACATGTATTACCTATTTCAAGTGTACACAGATAGTGTGCGCTAGTTTAACTATATATATATATATATATTAAAAAAAACATGTTTTACGATTTTCCGCGGGCGTTCCCATGTATATCGACAAAGAGTGGTAGGCACTACAGCTATTCGACACAGAAAACCTTAGCTATGTAGCGGGATCGGCACGTGGCGGGCGGATTCACGCTCACGTAAATATATGCACGCGAATATCACACTAATCCTGGACAATCGTGCTTTGGTATGCGATTAAATGCGCGAAGGAAATTTATTTCAGCGATGGGTACTAGATGATTCTTGACAATTTTCAACAAACTTGGCAAAAATTTACAAAAAAGCTCTAATATATTGGTCTAATATTGTTATTGCGTTATTAAATCTTGGCCAGCGTGGTCCAATTTAAATCTAATATTATATATTGGACCGCAATATTTCACGTACGTTACTTAACGTAAGCAATTTTACAGGACTAAAATATATACGACGAAAAGCGGGGCCCTGGCAGCTTTCAGGCTTTTCTCTCTGATGGCAAGGGGGCGAAGCGCTGATTGGTTTATCGCAATGCGGTCGCTGCGGTGCGGATCGCTCTTTATAGCTCCGTGGCCATCCGTGGCTAGTGGTGGTGGTGGTGAGTGGTCATAACCTTTTAGGTTAACTTGTCGTTTTCGTGACAGGCATTTTCGCTGCGTTTGTCGATCATACTTTCTTAAACGCGCGCGGATAGAGAACCGTGTTACGAGAATGGAGTGCTTGATCGGTATTCAGTGTAAAGATTTCGTTCTAGTTGCGGCCGATATGACAACCGCACAGTCTATTATAGTTATGAAAAGCGGTAAGATGTTTTATATTATCCTCTCCTTGCTGTATACGTTATATTACAATATCTTTTGCAGATGAACACAAAATCCACAAGATCTCTGACAAGCTTGTCATGGCGATATCTGGAGAATCGGGTGACACAACACAGTTTTCGGAATACATTGGAAAGAATATTCAGCTATACAAGATGCGAAACGGCTATGAATTGTCTCCCGAAGCTGCAGCTTGCTTCACAAGGAGAAATTTAGCCGATTATCTAAGAAGTAGGACTCCCTACTTTGTCAACATGCTATTGGCTGGGTATAACGATGATTCAGGACCAGAATTATACTTTATCGATTACTTGGCATCTTGTGTAAAGGTTCCTTACGCAACTCACGGATACGGCGGGATGTTCTCCATGTCTGTTTTAGACAGATATCACAAATATGGTAAGGCATTAACGAGTACATGACAGCAATCAAGTTTTAATACCAGCTGGAAGACTGGAAGATGTCAACAAGTAGATACGTTTCTTGCAGATTCTACCGAAGAAGAGGCATATGCGTTATTGAAGAAATGTGTTCGAGAAATTCAGAAACGATTAATCGTCAATTTGCCAAATTTCAAAGTTCAAAAGGTATCCAAGGATGGAATCAAAGATATGCAGCCAATCACAGCTGAGAACTTGGCTGTGGAAAGTGCTGCTAAAGCATAAAAGAAACGTTTACTTAATACTTTCCATTGTAGAGAAAAAGATGCAATTGTAATTTCAGGATAAATTAAATCGATGCTTTTCACTATGAAAACAAATAGCGTTTTAATATTCTATTCCCTCATCACGCATATACTTGCGTGTACATAGACACTTGAAAATACAAGCAAGAGTGGAAGAATAGTCCATTTTCTTTTCAGATTTTCATAGCATTTGATTATGACAAATGTATATGTAATTACTAATAGTGAAGAAGAAAAGTCACAAGTATTTTGTATCTCCAGTATATTTATATCAGAACTACAATGTCTTTTTCCAAATCTTTTCGCGAAAAATTGACAAGATTGTGCATTTCAATTTCAACAAGATCTTCAATTCGTATATACATAATATTTCCGGACAGACATTTGTATTCATTTTAATCATAAATATCCATTTTTCCACAAATAAATATACATTAGTATATGTATACTACATGGTGTACGTTTCATATCTCGTTCTCTTCAATTTTATATTAATAACACAAGGAGACAAAATCATTATTTTTACACTTATAATTCATGATTATCACTCACACATGGTAAAAAGTTATTAGAAATTGGGGGAATGTTAGTAAAAACTTATATGAAACTTGTACCAAATTAATCTTTAGAATTACTTAACGTACAATAATATATTGCAAAACTCAGGGAGACTCCTATAGCAGTCTGTCGTACACATGTACGAAATATAAATCAACAATTGGAAGTATTTTCATTCTCTCTCTCTCTCTCTATACAAAGCAATGATACAATAAAACTTCATCATGCAGTGCTTTCTTCTTATCCAGTATTTCAAAATGTCCATCATTAATACCATACATGAGTGATAAAGCTCTTGCATGCAAATGAAACGGCATTCTTGGTTATCACAGTCCCAAATCTTAGGTTGGTTTCTTCAGATCGAAACGATATCCGCGAACGCTAATCATTGTGAATCGTATCATACGAATTCATGTGCACGCAAGATAGTTATAGTTAAGCTATTGTATTTTACAATTCGTGATTGTACGTCTTGAGCATGAACCATGAATTATTACTCCTTTTCTTTTCCTTTTTCCATACACATGATGAATTCAAAAGATAATTACAGGATAATGTCACCACTTGCATAGCATGTTCTATGCATTGGGATATTATTTATCCTTTTTTGCTTCTACCTGCGTCTGTTCAGAATGTTGCGCCGTATTCGCAGGCGGTGACGGATGATCCTCGTACCTAAAACATAATTAAAGAGAAACCTTTCGCCAATGTTGCAAATATAAACAAGTGAATGTATGATTGCAATTTGCCAAGTACTTACGAAAACAACGCTTTGAGGTCCCCCTTGACCAACGCCAAAAGCAATGGCGTGCCTATGCACGCAGGTACCAAATATAGCAAAGCAGGTTGTGCGTGATTAAATAAGTGCATGATCATCATGGTGGCGAGTAATCCCATAAAGTACGCGAAAAATGTCGAATAGAAGTAGATGTTGGTCTTCCTACTCAAGCTGTTGTCGAATCGCAAGAGCAACGCGATAAAAATACCAGGCAATACTATGTCACCCAATCCTAACATGGCAAAATTACCAGCGTTCAAGCCCTTTTCTAAAAGGTCCTGTGGAAACACAAGTTTAATGGGCACCTCAAAGGACTTTGCGACTGTCACCATTACATCTGTACCAAACACCCAAAAGGCATCGTAAAACAGAAGACCACATAGTAAAATGCATCCAGTTACGACATTATTCAGATGTAACAGTTCGACCCCATTAATGGCAAAGGCTATGCCAAAGAGATTATTAGCTATCCAATGCTGAAAAGAAACGGCGAAACGTAAGGAAGATGTAAACAAAATGTATAAATATATATCTATACCAATTACTTTTTTCAGAAGATACCAGGCACCCACGAGCGAGCAACACACGAGGCACACAATGTCGTGAAGATTAAATTTGTAATTAATTATGTGCTCCTCTTTGTCATCCTTTCCTTTTGTAAATAAAATGTGATACTGCGTCTTTGGGATTGCAGCGGGCACCAATGATGAAATCAATGGGCTGAAATTTTACAACTTGAGCATTTCTTTCTACTTAAACGTAGCAAAAAAGATGCGCTAATAATTGAGATTAATATTTTGTTGAAAGTTCCAACGACGTATTTATAATGGTGCAGTCTAAATTACCTCGTAAGATGACACAAGGCTAGAATACCAAGAAAAAAGAAATAACCAGCTAATATCAGATTAACATACTCCTTTGCGAATACCTGCAAAAAACAATACAAAAGTCATTTCTCGTAATATTTTGCACAAGTAGCTTTTACACACAAACGCCCGTGATTACCTTATACAATATATACAAGCCAACTAACGTAACGCTGGAAATAAGAGGAAACATGGCAGCTTCTCTGCGAGACATAGTGTCGGGCTGTTCGCCACTCGTTTTATACAATTTCTACAAAATAGAAAATGTAAAATATGTACATGTATAAATGATAATTTTGCAATTGCCGCAACTATTTCAACTTGCTCTAGGATTTTGTTACGCTCCATCGTGAAATACACTGCGTTTTTTTATCTTAACCGGATTTTAATTTCACCAACAATTGCGATACTGTCGTCAAAGCTTAGCAAATGATACGAAGACTTCGTAAGGACATATGTGTCAAACATATGTCAAAACGCGTGGCTAACCTGCTGTTCCTTATGGTGTTTGACGGCACGATAGCTACCGAAAAAAATTGGCAGAATAGCCATGATAATAAGGCTGCCATACGCGATCGCCATTCCTTCGGGCGTCGACGGTACTCTCGTTGTAGTTGCATTTTGGAATTCCGTTACATTTTCATTTGCCTGTGCCGTAATCTCGTTCACCGTGCTCGCCATCTTGGATACGTAGACACAATGCCCCTTATACCCCTTGTACTGTAGCAATATACAGAACTAAAATGACATTCGAGAGAGCGAAGCCAGTTTCGATGGCGACTTGGCAATGGTAAAGAAAAATAACATAGAAGCGAAACTACTAAGGCTGCGGTCCCATGGACTGCGGGTGCTTTCACATGGAGCGTAAGTTGCGTAGCGTAACCTGCGTATCGCCAATCACAGGACTAGTTCAACGGAATTATTTAAACGGTTCTATCAGTATGATCCTGTGATTGGTGATACGCAGGTTACGCTACGCAATTTACGCTTCATGTGAAAGCACCCTGATATTTCTCGCGTAACGCGTATCGCGTAACCAATCATAGACGTTCCGCGTTTTCTGTTACGCGAAATTGAATGTCCTTAGTGCGCATGGAACACAAAACAACAGCAGCGTATCGGATACAACCAATGATATCTATCAATTCTCTTGGCACGTTCTAACAGAAATTCTAAATGTTACACTTCACTGGTTACGCGAGTATATACTACGCAAATTTTTCGTCTATGTGAACGATGACATTTGACACAGGCGTAACAGAAAACGCGGAACGCTTCTGATTGGTTACGCGATACGCGTTTCGCGAGAAATATCAGTCCATGGGACCGCAGCCTAAGTGTTGTAGGCATGCGTGAAAAGAGCGTGGGATCGAGTGCCATTAACCTAGAAGGAAAAAAGGGTGAAAAAGACACCTTTATTTTTAAGCGTGGGATGTTATTAATTAAAATAAAATGGAACTCGATAAATTGATCTCTACATGTGCTTTGGTTATACAACACAGGATTTCTTTTCACTAGTTCTATCAATGTCCTCCACATGTTGATTCCGATTTATCATTATGATCATCAATCACATCTACATCTTCATAATCAATATTTTCTTTCAAAGTTTAACCGAACTGCAAAACTTAACACATTGCAATTAACGACGCTGCAACTAAGCACGAAAAGTCTGAATGGTCTAAAAACATTTCGAGCTATCTTCTCGTGCCCTAACCTTCCTGAGTTTTCCTCCTGCGTTCTAATTGGCCGAGCGTAAGCGTAAGAGTAAGAATAGGCGTAAGAAATAAAAATAATTCATTCCGCTTACGCCCTTACTCCAGCTCTCTTAAACCGGAAGTAGCTCTCTTAGCGCCGGTCTACAATACGTGGAGTAAGGAGTAAGAGAGAGCCCTAACTTCTAGCTTTTGGTGTAAGGCAGCTAAAATACAGGCATAATTTTTAAAATATTTGTGACACTGATTGATGGCATTTTGATTGTCCGAGAGTAAGCCTATAAGAGCTGAAGTAAGAGTAAGAAATAAAATGGATTTATTTCCTTACTCCAGCTTACTCCAGCTTACTCCATGTATTGTGGACTAGCCTTTAGATCTCGACGAGGGCTACAACTTTGGCCCTATGCCCTTTTGCTCCAACTCTCACCGTTTTTAAGATAAAAATTGTTTAAATCCGTGGGTAACGGGGAAAAAACCATTTTTTAATCTCGGAATTAATTATGGATTCTTGCAGTAGACGTCGAGACGAGACAAACGAGGTAATGGACCGGGGGTCGGAGACCACCCCTTCGCCCGGAAAACCACCCTTAAAGTTACGAGGGCCCGTAGCTCGGAGGGGGTTTTAGGTGGGGGGTTGGGACCCGATGCAATGTTGTTCCCCTCGACGAGTACCGTCCATCCCCCCAGGTCCCATCCCCCTACCACCTTTACGTGCGAAAGCAACACGCCGGAGCGAAAGCAACACGCCGCGCGTGGACTGACGTTTTTTCCAACTTTTTATGACGGTTTCTTTTACATCTCGACAAACGCTGCAACTTTGTTGATATGCACTTTTTCGCCATCTCTCACCGTTGTTGATGACTATTTGTTGACATTGAACTTTGTTGAATTTCCCAACTTTTTATGACGGTTTCTTTAACATCTCGACAAACGCTGCAATTTTGCTGATGTGCACTCTTTCGCCATCTCTCACCGTTGTTGATGACTATTTGTTGACATTGAACTTTGTCGAATTTTCCAACTTTTTGTCTGTGTCTGTGTGTCTGTGTGTGTGTCTGTGTGTGTCTGTGTGTGTCTGTGTGTGTGTCTGTGTGCGTCTGTGTGTCTGTGTGTGTCTGTGTGTCTGTGTGTGTGTGTGTGTGTGTG